ATTTGTTTTCTGTTTGTTTGTTTAATAATAGCCATACTAATATAGATGAAGTGATATCTCATTGTGGATTTGATTTGTATTTATTTTTCACTTCAGAAAAATGTCTAGTAATCCTTGGTCCATCTTTGAAAAAAATTTTTTTCCTGATGTGTTTGGCTCTGCTGGGTCTTAGTTGGGGCATGTGGGATCTAGCTCCCTGACCAGGGATAGAACCCAGGCCCCCTACATTGGGAGTTCAGAGTCTTAGCCACTTAGTCTAAGCCACTGGGGCCAAGGAAGTCCCCGTGGTCCATTTTTTAATTGGGTTGTTTGGGGCTTTGTTGTTGTTGTTACGGGAGCTGTTTATATATTCTGGATATTACCCTGCGACTTGTAAACACTTCCTCGCTTTCTGTAGGCTGCCTCCCAGCCATTCCTTGTAAGGTTTAATCTCGAAGCCCCACGTTTCTAGTTTTCCTTTTGGCACTGTTGCCTTTGGCATCATTGCCAACACTGATGTTTGGTGCTGTGTGCCTGTACTTGTCGTGACCGTGGTGAGGGGACCCTGTCGTGTGTGACATCGCCCCTGTCTCCCTGAACCGTGCTGACTGCTGGCCCGTCCTGCCAGACGCCAGCGTGGCCGGCCCCGCGCTCGCCGTTTGCGCCCTCTCACTTTCAGCCTGCTTGCGCCCTCTGCCTTCGGTGCATCTCTTATGACAAGTGCGCAGTTGGGTCATGTTTCTTTACCCTTTAGCCAATCTGTGCCTTCCAAATAGGAGAGTTTCATCTGCCTATGTTTAAAGTAATCACTGGTAAGGAAGGATTTGGAGATGAAACAGCAAAGTTTGTTTTATAGTTGTCTTTTGTTGCTCATTCCCTCCATTCCTTCTGTTGACTTTTTCCCAAGCGACCTGCTTTCGACCTCCTTTTGCGTGTATTCTACGTAGCCATTTCCTCTCCAGTTGCCAGGGGATTACATGTGATCATGTGACTGTTCAAGTCTAACTTGTACATGATTGAAGTTTGTCTGAATTCAAGACTTCTCCTGTACAACTCTGTCCCTCCCCAACTTTGTGGTTGACTTCAGAAACTGACCCTTCAAGCATGGATCTGTAATTATATCCACGCCTCTCGTCTTCTGAACCCTGTAGATCTGCGGCTCAGGGCCGTGACTCTGCTTTCAGTTTGCCCTTCCTGGGGGTAACAAGGGGCTCTGTCCAAGGCAGGCTTGGTGGTAATGAAATTGCTCAGTCTTTGTCTGGGAGGGTCTTGATTTTGCCTCACTCTCGGAGGAGGGTTTCCTGGATATAGACTCCTTGGTTGACAGTTTTGTCTCCCACCCCACTGCTTCCTGGCTTCCCAAATGTAGCAGAGAAGTGGGTGGATAATCTCATTGATTCCTTCATGTAACAAGTCACTTCTTGCCACTTGTGACTTGGTGTCTGCCGTTTCTCTTCTGTCTCAGTGGGGGTCTCTCTGAGTGTGTTGTACGTGGAGTTCAGTGAGCCACTTGGATCTGTCGATCCATGAGTTTTGTTGGGTTGGGGCAATTATTTCCTCAGATCCCCTCTCTGCCCCTCCTCTTTGCCTCCACTGTCTCGTCACTGGTTGTCTCTGCTCAGAACTGTTGGACTCCTGTGGGTTCACTAGTTCAGTTGTATTTTTCGGCTTCAGGGTTTTCTAGTTCCTCTGGACATGGTTCACCTCTCTGCCCACCTGTCATTCTCTGGACACGCTTTGGTCCTTCCTGTTTCCCTCCAGCCCCTTATGCATATTTTAGGTATTTGTCTAACTGAAGTTTTCAGACAGTCCAGCATCTGGGCTTCTCCCAGGTGGTCCTGTTGCATTTTCCTCTGGAGAGGCTGCGGGTCCCTTGCAGCCAGGCCCGGTGCTGGGGTGGCCTTCACCAGGCTGGGTGTGTTCAGAGCCTGGGGGTGGCCGCGTGCAGCCCCCTCGGGGTCTCCCTGCACTCCTCCTGGGTCCTGGATGGCCTGCTGTGTGTGTCTGACAGTCACCCCTTGCCCGCAGCCTTCACGAGCAGCCCCCTTTCCTGCCTGGGATCTGAGTTGGGCAGAACAGGGGCTGGGCTCCCTGGCAGCCTCCTGGGGGGCTGCTCCTCACGGCCCCACTGGGGCGGGAGCTTCACTGCAAGGAGCTCACCAGGCTGCCAGCGAGCCCGTCTCTGGAACGCCAGGGGTCGGCACTGCTGGTTGCGGTGGTCCTTGGCAGTGTCCTCACGGCGTGTGAGCTGGCGCTCTGTGAAGTCGCTCGTGCTCTCCGCCTGGTTGTCGCGTTTCTGGCACTCACCGTCCCTGCAGGGCCCTGGCTCTGGGCCCACTCCGGGCGCCGTACTCAGCGGGCTGCTCTCTCCCTGCAGGGCCCGCGCACCTCTCCAGACTCTCTGGCAAGTGCTTCAGCCTGGTGGAGTCCACGTGAGTGAGGGCAGGGCAGGGAGGCTGGGGGCCAGGGCCCCGCTGACGGCACCGTGCCCACAGGTACAAGTACGAGCTCTGCCCGTTCCACAACGTGACGCAGCACGAGCAGACCTTCCGCTGGAACGCCTACAGCGGGATCCTCGGGTGAGCAGGGTGCGGCCGCGGCCCTGGGGGTGCCGTGCCCCACCCCGCCTCACTCTCTGCCCCTCCGCAGCATCTGGCACGAATGGGAGATCACCAACAACACCTTCAGGGGCATGTGGATGCGGGATGGCGATGCATGCCAGTCACGGAGCCGGCAGAGCAAGGTGGGCAGCGGGGGCGGGGGGACGGGGCCTGCTTTCCCCACTCGCTCACCAAGGTCCCCCCCAGGTGGAGCTCACCTGTGGCAAAAGCAACCGGCTGGCCTACGTGTCTGAGCCAAGCACCTGTGTCTATGCGCTGACCTTCGAGACGCCTCTCGTCTGCCACCCCCACTCCTTGTTAGGTGGGCACCTGGGCGGGTGGGCGGGGTGGGGGGCAGAGGGGCTCAGCTCAGCTGGTTTCTGTCGGACCCTCAGTGTACCCGACCCTGCCTGCGGTCTTGCAGCAGCGGTGGGACCAGCTGGAGCAGGACCTAGCGGACGAGCTGATCACGGCCCAGGTGAGCTACGGGCGGGCCCCGGGCGGGGGGTGGGGCGCCCAGTGGGCACTCACTCCTCACCCTCCACCTGCAGGGCTACGAGAAGTCGCTCAGGGCGATTTTTGAAGATGCTGGTTATCTGAAGACATCAGAACCAAGTGAATCGGCGCAGCGGGAAGGAGCCACCAAGGACCTGCAGTTTGAGACACTGGAGAGCTGCCAGGAGGTACAGACACGGCCCCCCAGCCAAGGACAGCCTCCCACCAATGGACTGACCACTCGTCTCCACCCCCCGGTCTAGGCACATAAGGCCCTGTCGCAGGAGATAGAGAGACTGCAAGGCGTGCTGACCCACCACGGCGTCCCCTACGGGAAGCCTGCAGGTCCGTGGTGGGGGGTGGAGGGGGTCAAGCCCACCAGGGCCTTGCGCCTGCCGGTCGGGTCCTGACTCCTACTGCCTGGTGTTTTGGCAGAAACCCCCAGCTCTGAGCATTGGGGCCCCCAGACACCCACGGCCGGGATAGCAGAGCCCCTGCGAGGCGACCCTGGACTGCGTGGGGACACCCTGTGACCTTGGGGCTGTGGGCCTCGGCCTGAGGACTTTTCTCTCCTTCTGCACCAGCAGGCCCTCGGGGCTGTCCTCAAAGATGCAGACAAAATAAAGATCAGAGTTTTAATTAATTTCCATACTGATAAAAATAATTCCATGAATTCTGTAAACCATTGCATAAATGCTATAGTGTAAAAAAATTTAAACAAGTGTTAACTTTAAACAATTCACTACGAGTAAATGATTATGCATTATAAATACTACCTTCTGGGTTAAGAAAACTCCATCCCAATAACATTCTCATCTAAACACTCTAACATACAGATTGGGGCTTCCATAAATTAATTTGTGTGAAGCATCCACAAGGAGTCAGGTCTTCTGCCCACAGCGACAGATGGTGGGACGACAGAATGTCACCACTAACACGGAGCTCTCAGGAACTGACACTCGGCAGCAAGAACCACGGCCTCACCGAGCACCACGTAGCTTCAGCTGCTACACCCAGCACCCCCTTGTCGCCTGAGTGCGGAGCAGTGACACCCCTAGACGCTGAGCCCGGCCCCGGGGCAGCCCCAGGGGCCCCACCCCGGTGGTTCTTTGGTCTTCCCACCTCACCTGTCCTCAGAGCCAGCAAGTACCTGGGGGGTGCGCCTCCAGTTCCCCGAGCCCCACAGAGAGTACTGACCGGAGTAGCTTATAAATACACCTAAAGCTTAATTGTTCCTGTTTATAATTTGAAAATGTCTAGGCTAGATGTCGATTACAGACATTGTCCCGTTTCCCTGGAAGGCCAAAGACCTGCCATGGGAGACAAGTGCATAAATATTAATAAAAATAAACTTTAAACAGTGATAACAGTAGCACAAAATATAGGTAATTTCTAAGAGCTAATAAATCATCATCACTATAATTGAAACAAAGAAGGTTCAACACAACTGAGTCAGAGTTACCGTTAGCAGCGGGCGAGCTGCACGGAGCCATGGACCCACCGTTGAATGACAGCTTTCCCATCAGTGTGTCTCACGTGAAAAAAAGGTTTTCAACCTCTCACTGTAGTAAATACATTCTAATTTGGTCACTGATAAAAAATTTTTACCTAGTCACTTTGCACTTTAAAAAAATGCTATATAAAGTCTTTGGCACAGCCCCAGGCAGGCGGGCAGGGGCGGCTCGTCCCTTTCAGGCCAGGGCCCAGTCCCCGCTTCGCGCCCTCAGCAGACTCCGGGGAGATCCTTGCCCTATCCATGTCTGCAAGTAAGGTCTCCATCAACTACACCTTTTACTTCCTCCCGGATTCCTCGGAAAAGTGACCCGACGCAGACAGGAGAGCCCGAAGCCGGCACTGAGCCAACCTGTTCCCAGCAGCCCTGCCCCGCACAGCCCTCCCGGTGGCCAGGTCCTCCCCCAGCTGTGGTCATGTGATCACACCGCCTGGACAGACAGACCTGTCAACAGTGTCTCCCACGCGGATGGATGACTGTGGGCATGGCTCCAGCTGGGACACCCACCAGTGAGCCTGGGGGAGGGGAGCACCGAGGGCCCTCCCGCTGCCCCGCCAACTCACACACGCCGGCTGGTCCGGGGAGGAGGGATGCGCCATCCCCGGCTCTCCGAGGCAGAGGCACTTGGACGGGGCCTGCGGCCACAGGCTGCCACTGACACTGCAGTTACTGTGCACACGTTCAGGAAGTGAGTTCCCTTCATAAAATTTCATCTACATGTGTATGTCTCTCAATAATCACTCTGCTATAAATACTATTGGTTTGCACTTAATTTGAAAACTGTAAAAATCCTAGGTATCTCTCTACTAGATAAATGCTCACTTCTTAAGTACTAATCGCATAGGAACTAGCATGGTTACCGTGGTACAGGCTGAGAGAGACCGAGAGGAAGTGCTCTGTTCACAGTACACGTGTAAAGCTTCATATTATCGCATATTAAAAAGACGAACCTCAAAGCAGCTCAGAGCACCTCAGAACCTCTACCTAACCTCTTCCGTCTACAAAGTGCTTCTCGGGACTCGAGCTCCCAGGATCCAGTCACAGTGGCGTCAGGACCGCAGACCCCGAGGGGTCACCCTGCCTTCACCCCCCGTGGAGCGTCAGGGTCTGCGAGGAAGAGTCCGAGGCCGTGGGTGGGCCGCGCGGGGCTGCGGTCGCGACGTCGGTGGCACCAGGAAGCAGGTGAGGCAGCGGTCACCAGGGCAGGGGCTGGCCTGCGCAGTAGGCACACTCGGGGGCGCTGGCCGCGCAGGGCTCGCAGAGCACGCGGTGCTGGCAGGGCCGCAGGACGGCGCCCGCCCGCTCCCCACACACCACACACTGTTTCGCCCGCAGCTGGAAGATCACCTGTGGGCCAGGCATGAAGCACCGTCAGGCTGGGGCAGGCTGCCCTCCCGCGGCCACCCATGAGCCAGGAGGGAGCGGGAGGATCCACCACGAGCCTCCAGGGTGGGGCTGGGCTCCCAGGCCGGGCCGGGCTGTCTAGGGGTGTCACTGCCCCGCACTCAGGCGACAAGGGGGTGCTGGGTGTAGCAGCTGAAGCTAAGTGGTGCTCGGCGAGGCCGTGGAGGGGCGGGGAGCCAGGCAGGCGGCCCGTGGAGGGGCCTGGGCAGGATGGACCCGGGCTCCTGAACAGCCTCCAACGAGAAAAGCCAAAGCCTGTGTGCGGGCCAGGACAGGGAAGTGGCTTGCGTGAGAGGCAGGGCCGGGGAGCCCCTGGACGCCCCGGGCTCTGACAAAATGCCTGGTGTGGAAGGGTCTTCCTGCTGAGCCACGGGCAGCGGGTTCAGCACTACAGCAGGAGGGTGAGCAGGGACCCTGGAGGGTTACCCAAGGACGTGGGCGACGCGGCCCCTGTCCAGGGGGGCATGGTGGCTGAGGGGAGGCGAGGGGGGAGCGGACGGAAGCTGTGCCGGGCCACCCGCCCACCTCGGTGCTCAGCCCGCTGGTTCCTTGAGGACAAGCCTGGACTTACCCCGTCCACCGCCTCCAAATCCAGGCGCAGCTGACTCTGCAGCGAATGCAGCTTGGGGAGAGGGATGGCACCGATGTCACCGCAGCCGCGCAGCCCGGGGAGCGCGGAGGCCAAGCCCCGGCCTTCCAGCTCCTCCTGCAGCCGTCGGAACTGCGCCTCCACCTCCTCCTTCTTCTGCAGCGCCAGCTGCCGGGCACTGTCAGCCGCGAGCGCCCGCTCCTTGGCCTCCTTGGCCTCCCGCTGCCACGCGTCGCAGGCCTGAAAACCCAGGAGCCGCGGTGTCTCCCCTCCACGCCCAGCTCCGCCCCATGGGCCCCGCCCCTTGCCCCTCCCGCCCGCACCTTAGCTCCCTCCAGCTCACCTGCTTCACCTGCTGCCAGGACTCCTCCCACTGCCGGATCTTCCTCTTGGCCTCGTCCAGCTGCCGCCGGACCCGGGCCAGCTCAGCGCTGCTGGGACTCACGCCTGAGGAGGCTGCAGGGCCAGTGTTCAGGATGGGGGACGGGCTGGGAGAGAAGCTGCCAGAGACGAAGTCCCAGATGCTGCCGGGGACGCCGTTCAAGCCTGAGTGCGGAGAAGCTGGCATCAGTGTGCTTGAGCCTGGGCCTCTTGGGCATTCCCTCAGCCAGCTCCGGGGACCCCAGCCCTGCCCCCTGACAAGGACGCCTGCGCCATCACTCGCCCGAGGAGCTGCGTCGTGGGGGCCGCGGAGCTCAGACCCTAGTCCCAGAACCCTGTCCACACTTAGGACCTGGAGGACCCCACAGGGTTTCTGGTTACGTGAGTGACATCTACTGACTTATGTGACATTAGAGAGTAAAACAAGTATTTAAAAACATTGTTTCTTTTAAAACAGGTCACAAGTCTCCTGTTTCTGCCAATCCATCTGCTTCTGTGCTTGGCCTCTGCTGACTTCATGCCCCTGGCAGGTCCTGCGAGGCAGGTCCCACCACTGTGGCGTCCTAGAGCAGTAAGGGGTCCCAGGCACGCTGACCCCCCCCAGAGGTCCAGGTGCAAACCCTAGGCCCCCTCTCCAGGCTGGTGCAGCTGAGCAGCGGCAACAGGACATGATGGACAGCACTGGGGCTCCCCCGACCCCGGGGCCCCGCAAGGCCACTCACCGAAGGAGTTGTAGGACGAGGCTGCGGGGCCCAGCGCTCTGGGCTCTGACTTGAGGGGTGGCGGCTGCTGGGGGGGCGTCATGGCCGAGGAGATGAGCGGGCCTGGCAGGGACTGGGAGAAGGAGCCGAGTGGGGAGGCGGACAGGGATGAGGAGGAGTGCAAGGACGGGGAGCGCGGCAGGCAGCCCGGGATGGCCACAGGGGCCGAGCCCCCCAGCGACCTCTGACCTGCGTGGAGTTGGCAGGGGGATGTCAGGTTAGTGGGAGGTGATTGCAGCCCCAGGGACCAGACACGACACGAGACCCTCTGCCCCGGAATCACCCGGCACTGCCCTGAGCTGGGGGACCCCCACCCAGGTGAGAAGGCCACACCTCTCACCCCTCAGATGCTCTCTAGGCCCGCCTGGGTGACCTGTCCATGGGCACAGTGGTCCCAGGACGTTTTAGGCCCCAGAAGTGGTTTAAGATCAGAGAAAAAAAAAAAGATGAACTTTTACATTGAAGAAAACGATTCAGTATCTGACGTGAACCGAGAACCCATTTGTCTTCATACCAATGTGGTGGTTACCCGTCTCCTTGGAACCGCCACAAAGCCCTGTCCCCCACTCTGCAGGGGCTTCGAGGTTGCGGGGTACAGGGAGGCAGGCAGGACCCCTCCCACCCCAGAGGCACGGGGGGCAGCCCTGGAAGGCGTGGGCTTGGGGGCCACCTGTGGGTCCCAGGTCACGGCCGTCGTGCTCCTCCAGGTCCTTATCCGGGGGCGCGAGACTGATGTCACCGAGGTGAAGGTCTAGGGTGGATCCTATGGGATAGACCCAGTGTCACCGAGGGGGGACTCAGGCTCCTGTGGCGTGGGGACCCGCCTGGGCTCAGGGCCCACCCCTCCTATAGCCATGGCAACACAGCCTTCATTTTGCTGACTCAGCTTCTGATCATTTGGTAAAATCTAACCAGATCACATGCCCGCCTACTAAAGAAAATTCGATGAGGGCGATGTCCACAGGGAGAAAGGGGCTCACAGACGACGCGGAGGGTACCTGCACTGACCTCCACCCCAGGGCCAAACCAGGTCCCGCAAGTGGGCAGGGCTGTTTCCCTCCTGTTCTGCTGGGGACCCCCGTGCACCCCGCAGCCCTATCAAAGGGACAGGGGAATTGGCCGTGGCCCCCTTGGTGCTGACCACCCCCCACTGTCCCCACATAACACGCCCTCCTGGGGCCCTGGCACGGAGCGGGACGCCGTCTCGGGACGGCCAAGGTCAGGTCCGCCAACCCCCCAAGTTCCCGTGGCCCCATGGGGACGACTCGGGGAAGGTGTGGCCTGAGGACCAGGGTCCGGGGGAGCAGGAGCTCCAGGGACAGACCCAGGGCCTGAGCAGCCCCCCAGCACGGCCACAGCCAGGTCTGGGGAGATGTGGTGATGCTGAGGGCCCAGCACATGGCAGCGCTGCTGCCCCAGCTCCCTTCTGCCCCCGCCCCGCCGGGGACCGCTCTGGAGCACTCCCTCCAGAAGGCTGGGACCTCTCTGGTATGGCCTGGTCCTATGCCCCCTGCTGTCCACAGGGCCCCACAGTGCCCCTGATACCTGGCCGGGCACACCAAGGCCCATTTCAAGAGAGGCCCCAGCCTCCAGCCCAGAGTGGACCATGGGACCCTCGTCAGGCCTGCCTGCTCTAGGTCAGCTTCCCGCCTCCACCCCCAGCTGCCTGGTGCCAAGTGGCAGAATCCCTGGACGGCGGCCAACAAGCAGCAGAGGGCTGCACTTCCGCCAAGGCTCCAGGGACCCTCCCTCCTGCCTTCCCAGCTGGCAATCCTCGGTGGTCCTCGCCTGTGGATGCTCCAGCCCCACCAGTACCTCTGTCCTCACACGGTCTTCCCTCCCCTTTATTCTGTGTCCAAATTTCCTTCTTCTAAGGACACGTTATATCATATTAGGGCCCATCCTAATGACTTCATTTTACCTTAATTACACCTGTAAAGAGGTTTTATTTTTTACTGTTTGGTGGGGGGCAGGCTGCACTTCACAGCTTGCAGGACCTTAGTTCCTAAGCAGGGGTTGATCCTGGGCCCTGGGCAGTGAAAGCGAGGAGTCCTGACCGCTGCACCACCAGGGAATTTCCTGCAGAGTTGTTTCTAAATAAGGTCACTTTCCCAGGGCCAGGGGCAGAGAGTGCGGGCCAGAGAGTGCAGGGCTGAGGCAGGCCTTTAATTTAACCCACAGTAACTGGGACCACCTGTCCTCATCAGGCTGTTCTCTGTGCCCAACAGCGCCTCCCGCAGGCCGAGGGCTCCAGGCCTCTCAGGACCCCTCCTGCCGCGGTCAACTCTGCAAAGGGGGACGCCTCTGGCTCCCACCCTTTCTGAGACATGATTGCAGGACCCACAGGCCCTCACCCAAATCCACCCCAAGGTGGCCGACCCCCGCTTCTTGCGATCCCCAGTTTCCATCTCACTCTTCAAACTGTTGCCCCAGCCTTGCCCCCCAGCCCTGAGTGGAGCTCCTAAACGCCCTCACCACCACCCTCCACCTGTCCCTCTTCCCTCCTCTGCCTGGGGCCACCTCCCGGCCTTCCTGTCCTCCTAGGCAGCCCCGCAGCCCCTCCTGTGGCTGTCCACACCTGGACACCAGTGACCTCCGTGGTTCTGACCTGCAGACACCAGCTGTCCTCCAGTGTGGCTGCATCACCGCCTGCCACCAAGAGAGGCCCCATGGCAGCCCCGGGCCTTAGCAAACTGTGCACGCAGGTTTGGGCTGCTGCGCTGGTACCCACGTGCTGAGCAGGAACCCAGCGCGTTCCTCAGCTCTTCCCCCACCACCCCTTAGGGCCCCCATCTCTGCAGGCTGCCCCCCAACCCTGACCTCTTCTGCCCCAGGAGGAGACTTTCAGGGATGACAACCCCTTCATGTCCCAAGCCCTGCCTCCTGGAAAAGACACCCCCCTCAGTGACTGGTCCACACTTCCCAGCAGGACCTCTCTCCCCTCCCCCTCCCCAGCAAGGGCTCCTCTCTGCCCTCACACCGCAGCACTGCTCTGGGCGGCAGCTTCACACACAGCTTCCATCAGCCCCAGCAGTTCTGAAAAAACTCCTGCTCAGCCTCCAAAACCCTTCTCAGAATCTCTCCCCTTCAAGTCACCTGGACTGTGCGGTCCATCTCAGACCCAGACCACTGCGGGCTGACATGCAGACCCACCTGCTGTGCATAAGCAGGGTGACCTGCCCATTGCATACTTGCCCCACACCACCTCCCCAGGCTCCCGAACCAGCCTGGCACGTCCACTCTGCTCGGGACATGTCGGTCAGCTGGGCCAGACAACATGGACTTAGCCCTTCACCCTGCAGTGGGGGGGATCAGGTCGGCTTCAAAGCTGGCAGAGTTTCAGAAACATTTTTTTTTTTACTAACAAAGGTGTGTAAAAGGAAGGAAGGGATGGATGGATGGAAATAAACTGAGCTCAGGAGCCTTTTCTCACCTCGAAGGCATTTACTTCATCCCACTCCCCCACCCCCACCCTGTGACTCAGCACAGAAGGACCTTGCTGTTGCCCTGCCCCCCTCAGGTGCAGCCAGGGCACAGCCGGGACCAACTCTCACCTGACAAGCCACAGCCTGTGTGGGGTGATGGCAGGCGCCCCCAAGAGGTGTCCCGGCCCCCAAGAGAATCAGCGCTGCTTCTCTTGTCCTACTACACACCCCACTGCTCCCTGAGATCAGATCCAGGTTCTGAAATGTTCTCTCAAAACAAATGACTTTTAACACTCAGAATCTACCTGACCCCTAACCCGCCGTGTCAAAATGCCAGGAACTGCCCAGACATTAGTGAGCAATTAGCTGAAAACTGCTGAGTAACAGCCTTGGCAAAGCTCAATTCCCAACGTGACACAGCACATCTGAGGGATGCCCAGGTCCCCAGGACCTGGGGACAACTTACAGCTCAAGGATTAGAGGCCAGAATGGGGAACCCTGACCCATCACCCCCTGGGGCGGGCCAGGATGCCCCTGGCGGGCTGTCCTTCTGCTAATTGCTGGATGGACACGCACCCGACACAGCGGCTCACTGCTGGTCTGAGTTCCCCATAGTGCAGCTGCAGTTCGCAGCAGGACAAGGCAGGGACCCAGTCCTCACCTGCGAGAGGGAGACCCACCCCCGCTAGGCGATGCAGGTTTCCCTGGAGAGCCCGGTGGATAGCGCCCACACAGGGAAGCGCCGGGCGCCCCTGCAGAGCAGGCTCCTAAAGACGGGAGGTTTTTTGGCCTCATTCCGCAATCCCTAAGATCCTGGCACGGACCCCTGGCTGTCACACCTGGTCCGGGGCGCGGGTGCTGCTGACTGCTACGAGGGCCACTGGGAGGGGAGGGGGCGGGCGGGGCGGCGACAGGAAGAGGCGGATGCACGGCACCGGAGGGGTCACCTGGCCCGCCTGTGGGGAGGGGATGGGGGGAGCATCTAGCGGGGGGAGTCAGTGTACCGCCCCATCCGCAGCTCCGGGGAACGACGACCCATACCCTACCGGCGCGGGGCTGACGATGCTGACTCACCGTTCCCGGGCCCCGCACCCCGCGCTGGTACCGCTGCCGCCGCCGCCGCCGCCGCCGCCGCCGCCGATTCAAACGCGGCCCGCTCCCCGCCCGCCCGCGCCGGCCCCGCCCCTGGTGACGCAAACCAGAGATAGCCCCGCCCCGAGGCAGGATGCCCCGCCCCCGAGGTGTCCCGCCCCGGTGACGCAAGCCTTAGATCGCCCCGCCCAGCCACCCCCGGCCCCGCCCCCGCCCTCAGGGTACCCCTGCTCACGGCCCGCTACCCCAGCCCCGCCCCTTGCCCTGGTCTCTGGCCCCGCCCCGCCGCGCCCGGCCTGCGCACTGTGGACAGGTGCTTGCGGACTGGTGCTCGCCTCGCGGCTCCGCGTCCTCGGAGCACTGCGTCCCCACCGCCCAGAGCACGGGCCTTCGGGGGAGCACTCCACCTCTTCGCACCAGCACCTGCCTCTTCTGGCGCTGAGAGGCGGCGTGCTGGGACCCCAGGCCCAAGAGGTGCGAAAACCATCGTGGCGAGGGCTGCTCTGGTGGGTTAAAGTGGGATCCCAGCGAGCTCTGCCGCCGGCCGGCTGCTCCTACCCTGTCCACCCGCAGCGGCTCAAGTAAAACGCTCAACCCACTGCCCGTGGGTCAACAGGCCGTGGCCATGCCCTCAGCTACCCACAGCCCCGGGTCCCTCCCTCCCGGGTCCCACCGTTTGCCAGCCACCTGGCGGTGAACTCCGCAGGGAGGTGAACTCCACCTGCTTGTTTGAGGTGGAAGGGAGAGGAACCTGCCCAGTGGCCCTGAAAGGGCTCCATGAAGGGGGAGGTCTGCAAGGAGCACCGGCTTGTTTCAGCTGACATCGCAGAGGTGAAGCCTGAATGGCCCTGGGGGAAGCAGGGCAGCCCGCGTCTGTCAGCCCCGCAGCGCGCGGGGGGGGGGTGGGGTGGGGGGACCTGTGCACTCCGGGTTCTGGGTCCCAACAGCGGAAAAGCCAGCCAGGGCTCTCCTCCCGGGGCCAGAGGGCAACTCTGAGCGTTCCGTGACTTCCCACAACAGCCAGGTGCCCACTGCCCAGACGGGGACCAGGGGATCGGCATGACCTGGCAGGGGCCATCTCACGCACCAGCTCCACTCTTCACTGGGCTTTCACTACAGACCGGCCAGGGCTCTGCGCCCGGACCACCGCCCCTAACCCAACCCCCCACGTCCGATTACATGGATGATTAGTTCACAAACCCACAAGGACGCCCAGCCGCCAGGGACGCCTCCGCAGCTGGTAGCCGTGCTCGCGCCTTGGGAACGCCTCCCGCTCCCCACCCTGGTCACTGTCCCACCTTCGGGTGCCCTGGGCACCCCTACAGGCCCCCATCATTTCTCTGAAGCCTCGAGTTCTCGGTGGTGCTGCCGCTCTTGCCCGCCAGAGGGCGCCACATCCCCTCTGCTGCCCGCGGCGCCCAGCGAGGTAGGCGCTCCCCAGGGCAGAACGGCCGGAGTGGCAGGGGACCACCGGAAACGCTCTTCTACAAAGGAGAGTGCGCACACACGCGTGCGTCGAGGGAAGGCGTCAAGGCAAGTGCAGAGAGGCAGCAGAGCCCCGGGCTTACCTGGGACGCCCTCGCCAGCGCTGCCGGAAGGGTCCAGCGGGTGGGTGCGGGCCGAGAGGGTGGGCAGAGCGGTGGGCGAGGAGCCGCCTGAGCCGGTGCTGGACGCCAGGCTGGACGCAAGGCTGGAACTCACGCTGGGAGCGAGGGGGTGACCCACTGCCAACACCGCCAGGTGGCTCTGTGCAAAGACACAACAGGATGAGCCAGCGCTGGCTCTGGGACAGCAACGTGACCACGGCCGCGCGATGACAGAGGACACTGGGGGGCCGAAACGACAGAGTCACAATGGACAGGCCGGGTCACTTCGCTCCCCAAAACAGACCAGAGACAGCCGACTACTTTTCCAGATATTCTAGAGGGAGGGGCTTTAAACGTCTGGTTAGTTAGAAACCATCACCACAGAATCGTAAGCTGCTGACCACCCAGGGATGGGAATAAGTGCATCCAGAGAGTGTCATTCTTACTAATGACAATAGTAAGAATCATGATAATAGATACAGAGCAGATGCGGCAGTCAAGAAAGAAGCCATCACAGGCACGAGCAGACAGCCAGCAATGCTTCTGATGATTTCGATGAAATAATCTTGTCATCTCATTATCCAACAACAAAAATAAAAGATTGGGGCAATTCACATTATCTTTATTTGATAGATTAAAAGGAAAAGAACTGGCACAATCTTGGATAAACAGCCAGGAACGTGGAGGGCACTGTGCACAGAAAAGGCAGTGATAAAAATGAACCGGGACTGAGTTACGAAGTCAGGCCTCAGGGCTTTCCAAGGTCACTAGGAAACTAGGAGTCAGAGGCTATAGTAAAGTGAGACAGTGTGTCGTCTGGGCTTTGCTGTCGGGGCCCAAGGGCTCAGGGTTCTGTGGCTGCAGGAGGAGACGGACGTCCTGGGGAGGAGCGGATGGCACCCACATGCAGGGAAAGGGTCCCCAAAGCAGCTCTGAGCACCAATTGCCCGCGAGAGCCAGCAGGCCAGCCTCACGGCCATGGTGTCCCCTGGGCATTCCAGCAGACCCTTCAAACAAGTGGAAAGCTCAGGGTGCCAGGGGCCCTCTTAGATGGCTTTCCAATACTGCCCCCCCCAAACCCCTGTTCATTGTCCCTGGAGCCCGGCTTTGGGACAGGACGGAGGGGGTCCCTGGGTGCAGGTGAGCACTGGCTGGTAAATGAACTTGGCCAGCCTACTCACAGCGCCTGAGGGGGTACAGCTCGCACATCACATCAGGAACCACCTGGCCCTCTCAGGGTCCCCCGCCATGCACCCCACTCCTTTCCAGGTCCTTCCTCCACAGCCCTGAGACCACAGCCACCATTTCATGTTTCAGACTCTTAATGAGCAATGTCTCGATTTCAATATCTTTTTTAAAAGTCACAAAGTAACTGGGTTGTATTTTTACTTTCAATCATCCTGCTGACTTCAGAGATGGCTTCAGAACTTCCTAATGGCAAAAAGTCCTAATTATCTCCCTCTGAAAAGTCCCCTGGGAGGCACCCTCAGGGCAAGAAAACCAGCAGAAAAGAAACAGTGAGACCCTGTCCACTTGGGGATTTAAAAGAAAGCTCCGAGCAGAGGGTGCGTGCTCGCTGCCCGCCAGCCAGGCCCCAGCCTTGCAAAGCTGGCGAAGCTCCCTCCGCCTTTTCACGGTGGCAGAAAAACACGCATCCCATGTCTGAAAAAAAATCCGTTTCTCAAACAACTCGGTTAAATGAGCACACAGGAAGCTGGGTGGCACAGAACAGAGAGAAAGGGTCCGACTGGGGGGAAGCCTCCATGTAGCCTCACAGCTCCCTCAGAGGTGAGAACGAGCCCAGGCTGTGACCCAAGAGGGAGCCAGGCTCACCAACGGACGCTGTCGTGGGCTCGGCTGGGACTCAGATGTGGGGGTCCTGACCCCCCGCACCTCTGGGCGGGACCTGACTGGAAGTCAGGCCTTCACCGAGGGAATCAAGTGAACATGAGGTTGTCAGGGCAGGTCCTGATCAACAGGACTCACGTCCTGATGGCAAAAGGACGACCGGATATAGACGCAGATGCAGAGGGAAGACGGCGCCCCCAGGCAGACGGCAGAGGGCGGCCCGGGGCAGATGGCGCCCCCGGGCGGACAGCAGAGGGAAGACGACGCCCCCAGGCAGACGGCAGAGGGCGGCCCGGGGCAGATGGCGCCCCCGGGCGGACAGCAGAGGGAAGACGGCGCCCCCAGGCAGACGGCAGAGGGCGGCCCGGGGCAGATGGCGCCCCCGGGCGGACAGCAGAGGGAAGACAGCGCCCCCAGGCGGACGGCGGACAAGGCCACGGGAGGAACCGACGCCGCCAATCCCCCCGTCTGTGACTTCGGGCTCCGCATGGAACCAAGGCCTGAGGTTTAAGCCTCGGTCTGTGGGGCCGTCACGGCCGCCCTGGGACACCCACACAGAAGACCACGAAGGGCACGTCTTCTTTCCCCAGTGTGGGGGAAAACGTTAAGAGGCTTTGGTTCTGTTGTTTCTAAGGTACAGCACATTTTTTAAAAACATGAAAACAAAGGACACACGAACAGGCGACTCTATGGAGACTGTGAGAAAGGAGCTGTCTCACAGGAGGACGTCAGCCCGGCCACTGTGTGAGGCGGGGGCAAGTGTGACCAGCTTCGTGCAGGGTCCTAACACAGGCAGAGGTCGGTCGCAGACAGCACGAGGTACCTGCTTGCCGTCCTGCTCACTGGCCTTCTGGCTGCCGTCGGCAGGTGACTCTCTCCGCTTTGCCTGCAACAGAAAACACACTGGTTGTTGGAAGGAGCAGCAATTGATCAGAACCACAGAGAGGCCTAAGCTCCACCAGGAAGGCAGGAATGGCCAAGCACTTAAGTCCAGGAAACAGAAAAGGCTTTCAAGTCACTGCTTCTGCAGCAGTACTCCTGGGATCCATTTCCCGTACCCGACGTGGATCTCTGAGCTCTCGGCTGGGCTGTGTGGAGGCAGGTGAGAAGTCCCTGAACCCACAGCGTCAAACAAAGCATCCTAGGTAGGGCTGCACCTCCAGAGGGGGGAGAGTCTTGGAAAGTCAACCCCTGAGGCAAAGGATGGTTTCCTGGAAGGTGATTCTCTGCCTTCTCCTTCAGGCCTGGACACAGCCCCCTCCCTCCCAAGAGGAAGAGAAGAGCTTCACCCCAGAGAATTCAAATCACTCAGGGCTGCAGGAGGCTGAACCTCACCACAAACTCTCTACGTAACCCTCCTCTTCCACTATTTCCCCCATGTCTTTACCATCCCATAATTCAGCTCCTGAAAGTGGAAACCCCTAGGTCTTGTCACTTCTCCACAGTTTATCACTCTGTTAAAACGGTAGATAAGTCCCCAGGTCTGGCATCCTAACGCATAAATAATAAATCTTTTCTCCAGGTAACCTGGCTTTGGTCAGTTTAATTTGCGGGACCCCAGACACTAAACCTGGAAGGGTAGAGGGAACTGTTTCTTCCCCCTTGCCTGTTCATGTGGAACTCCTGACCCGCAGGAACCACCTTCTGGGGAAATTGTGCGTGGGGATGGCTTTGCCTGCAGCGTTTGGGGCCTGGACTCTCTCAAGTCAAACATCAGCACAAAGCTGCCATGAAACGTCCTGCAGGCCTGAGAAGTATTCTGATTTCTGTGTCTAATCTTATGATAAGTGAACCTGTGATGGCTCCAGTAACCCCATCCTGTTTGGTTTCTGGATTTGCAGAAGGACCCGTGGAGGGTGGAGAAGTGATGCTCACGCTGGCCCTGACTGGTGCCCCTTCCACCTGCCTAATGGCTCAACTCTGAGGCCATCTGGGTATCTCTGGTTTCCTAGAATTCCACAAGTGACTCTGCGACCCCAGTTTGGGCGATGGCTCCAAGGCCCTGGCCCAGGACCTGAGACCCTCGCTCTAAGGAGAAGCTACACTGTGAAGGAGCCAGGCCATCCTGAAACAGCTCCGCTTGGCTTCCTCGTCAAGTCCCAGGGCTCTGCCCCCTCCAGGCCCCTCTGCCTCTGCCCTGTGCCGGGGAGGGGGGGCGGCTCATGCTCCACGGTGTCAGGAGCTCCCATCACACTGAGCACGCACTGAGCTGTGCACGAAAGCTCTGGAATGGGGCAGGAGGAGGGTGGCGAGAGCAGTGGGCCTCTGAGCACAGCGTGCTTCACTCACGCTCAGCTCGGCTGTCAAAGGTGATGAGATTCTGGGAAACAGGGAAGGGAAGCTGCCCTCTAGTCTGAGCCCCCACTTGGTTTATTTATTTTTTCATATTTATTTACTTGGCTGTGCTGGGTCTTAGCTGCGGCATATGGGATCAAATTCTCTGACCAGGTGGATCAAACCCAGGCCCCCTGCGTTGGGAGCTCAGTCTTAGCTCCAGTCTACCAGGTCACCAAGTAAGTCCCCTCAGCATCACCTTAAATGAAAATGGCTCGTTTGGGACAGCAAGACCCATGTTGAGGTCTGAGGCTCTCCAAATACCCCAACCGATGTATTCCCTTAGGGCCTTGACCAAACCAATCATCCCTGACCTCACGCCGAGAGGCGTGGGCCCTATCTGATCCCAGCTCCTCAAATCCCACATGTTTCCTGGACTCTCAAAGTCTATTTGAGCATTTGCTGAAAATGTGGGGCAGAAGCAACAGCCAGTTTCCAGGTCCTGCTCCCAGCAAGGGGAAGGTTGGATGTTTCACTCTTAAACACTTTGTTCCAATCTTTTATTGGACACTTTGTAACAGAGAAGAACAAATCTGACTCCATATTGGATCTCTTTCACTTTAACATTTGTATTGTATTGTTTTTGCTACAAGCTAATCACTAAAAGAATGTTGCCTATAGTCTGAAATATACAGGCTAGCCCAACCAACCACAGTCCCACTCCCATTTTAGGGCAGAAGCCTGAATCCTAACTGGGTTCTTTGGGCAAGTCTACCCTCTTCTTGGTCTCCTGGCTTTCTGAATAAAGTTGCTATTCCTTGCCCCAACAACTCATTCTTTTGACTTATGATCTGTTGTGGTGAGCAGTAGAAGGGATTCCGTAACAACTCCTTGGAGGATCTTAACTTCTCCCTCAATTTCCAGTTCTGGAGATTCCAGTCTCAGGTCTTCCTGAGTTCTAGCTCACATAAGGTCAACCAGAAGTGGTGGCTGGACCACCACTGTTCACCCAGAAGGGGCTGCACTGGAGTCCCACCTCGGTACCAGAGGAGCTGGCGGGGGGGGCGGGATACATCCAGGTGCAGCCCTGTCTACGGCAGCAGTGGAGCTGGGAGCCCAACCCGGGCACAGGGCGGGCATCGCCCAGGAGCGCAGCCCAACTCCCTGCCCCGCTGAAAGAACTCAGCTTTGTCTGCAGGCAGACACAGGGGCAGCGCCTACAGACGACTTTGTCGAAGTCACGGATGGTGAAGAGGAAGAACTCCTGTGACTCGCTACCCCAAGACTAGCCCCCGACACACACCTGCACCTCAGACACCGAGTCCCAAGCCGTCAGCTGTGCCCTTCACGGGGGAGCCGCCAGCGTGACCTTGCCTGCCCCACGGGGGACCTTCTTCACCCTCAGCCGGACACCATGCCTTGTACACGACTGACACGTGTGTGTCTGACAAAGCGCGAGGCCAAGCAAGTCCACCTGGGTCAGGACTCGGCCAGGACTCTTCTAGATGCTTCTATGCCACTAACCCTGCAGGCAGGCCGCCTCCAACCACATCACCCAAAGACCACACCCATCCGAGTGCCCGACACTGGATTCAAACCAAACGGCAGCGGCATCATCCTCGGACGCCCCCACTTACGTGTCCGGGCTGCCCACTGGGGGTTGCGGGGACGCTGGTGAGGGCGAGGTCACGGCAGCCCCAGTCACCGGCCATCCCGAGGCTCTCTGCTGAGAAAGGGGGCTTTGAGTGACTGCTGGCTGAGACTCTGGTTAAGGGACCCCAAGCTGGGGTGGTGGGTGAATGTGCACGAGCCTCTGACAGGTATGAGCTGACCCGCAGGGGACCCTCACGTCTTCTGGGGAACCCACGCTCACAGCTTTAGGAGGAAGCTCCCGGGGGTGGCGTCTGTGCACTTCCTGAACCAGAGGCTGCTTCCCCTTCAGCTGCTTTGTACGGGCTCATCTGGCCACAGTGACCACACTCAGGACCCTGGGGCACCCAGAGGCGGGGCCAGGCTGGACTCCAGGCGGCCCAGAGGCCCCCGACCCTCCCAGTCACCTCGCCCGAGATGAGCCCTGCCCGCTCCCAGCAAAGGGGGCACGTACTGTCCACGTGCGCGAAGGCGCAGAAGGGGCCGCGGGGGCAATGCCCGGTCTGGCGCATGTCGTTGCACTTGGTCGACTTGTAGATCTAGGAAACAAGGGTGACAGCACATAGAGCCCCGGGCTGGAGACCTGTGTCCGCGGGTCATGACCCAGAGCCAAACGGGTCATGACACAGGGCTCAAAGAAACACACCACAACGCAGTCTCCTGAAGAAGATGGATGCGGACGGCATGCCTCCCGCCCCCCACTCCTCCCAGAGGCCCCGGGGACCACGGGGGCCCAGGCCATGCCTGTGGCGCCTGTCCTTAGAGCCACCCTCCAGGTCAGCTCGGCTGCTGGGCGTTTCCTGAAAGACGCACCTGGCTCAGTGCCCGCCAGCCAGCAGGCGCCCACAGAGGGCCTGCTGAGCGGCCACAGCGCGTGCCCGAGCAGACCGCGAGCCCCCGCGGCGCCCGTACCTCAGGGTGGAACTGCTGCTCCGTGCGCGAGTGGCAGTATGCACAGCTGTCCCCGCTTGCGCACCGGGACGGCTCACCCCACTCGTCACCGTGCTTCACGCTGGGGCAGGGTGTGGACCTGCGGCAAGGAGGGGTCAGGCAGGTAGTCGGCCTTCCCGCCTGCGCCAGCCCCGGACACTCTGGCCCTCCCTCACCAGGAGAGGTGTCCAGGGGAGCCCGGAAGGCATCCGGGAGCCCGTTTTCATTTTCCACAAAGTGTGAGGTGAGTCTGAGTCAGAGCCCCCAGCGCCCCTGAGACTCAGCCGGGCCTCCTGCAGCATCTGGGAGACCAGGTCCAACCCCGCCCGGCCCACCGGGGACAACACCCTCTGTCTCCCTGCCAGACTGCTTCAACACTGAACCTGAGACCTGGGTCCCACAACAGGAAAACCCTAATAACCTCCTCCATGCTCCAGGTGCTCCCCAGCAGTGTTATTGTATGCAGTTTATTTTAAACTTCTCTGTGGGAAATAGGACACATTTTACAATTTTCTGTCCTTTCTATATGCAGTAAAACTTATTTCATCTTCTCGAGACGACACCCTCAACTCTCATTAAACCACTCAGAAGAGTAACTGTCATAAAGAGATCTCTTTCTACATGAAGGCCAAGCGAGGCATGCGAGGCAGTGTCAGATGACTGGAGAGAGACTCTTTGCTCAAGGGACAAGCTGGACACAGAGCTGGGGACCCACAGGAGGGGCAGGTGAGGGCCCAGATGCCCGGACACCCCTGGGTGTTCTGCGCCCCCAGGCCCACCCTGCCCAGTACTGGGCCTGTGTGGCAGATTGGCAAACCCAAGGATGAGCCGGGCACCAAGGTGAGCACAGCTGGAGGGAGGAGGAGATGGCCCAGGAAGAGATCAGGACTGACCAGGTGCATAACTGCAGGTAAGGCCCAAACCCACAACCCGAGGAGGTCAGGCCCCCAGAGAGGGTGAAGTGGGCTGTGGGCGCCAGGACTCCCAGCCTCGCCAGGGCCGGCCCGCACCAGCAGGCACCCTCAGCAGAGGGCGCACAGGCCACAGGGGGGCAGGGAAACAGAGGAGCCACACCCTGACCACACCTGCCGCCGTGGGGGCATCTGCTGGGCTGGCATCCCTGGACCATGGGGCCCCCAGGGAGGGTGAAGGGAGTGGAGGGGCCGCTGTCTAAAGCAGAGCCTCGAGCCAGACATGAGCCCGGCAGAGGGGCGGCCAGGCCCACACCCGCGACCCGGGGCCCAGGCTCACCTGTACTGGAACCGCCGGGGGTCTCGGCGCCGGTCCCTGCTGTTGTGGAAGTGCGGGCAGGCGTAGCCCTGGCGGCACAGACGCGGCGGCTTGGGGCACTGCTCCGTCTTGTAGCTGCCCAGCACGAAGTTGGTGTCTGCAAGACAGGGGTCCACACAGGGACATGCGCACGCCCGCTCACGGCAGCCACGCAGCCACAGGCGTCTCTGGGCAGACGACAAGAAATGCCACACGGCCGCGAAGAGCAGAGCACGGACACATGTGCCACGTGGGTGAGCCGTGAGCGGGCCGGACACGCGTGGTCAGCAAGAGTGGCGGACATGGAAGGCACCATCCGATCCTATCTAAAGGAAGCGTCCAGGACAGGCAAACCCGTGGCGGAGTTTGGCCGGGGCTTCTTCGGGGAGACCAGAGTTTTAGAACCGGATGAAGGTGAAGGATGCCCAACACTGAGCAGACTAGAAACCTCTGAAATGCACTTTTAAAGCCTCGGTCTGACCCGAAGGTGACGCTGTGACGGCCGTCCCCTGGCACCAGGACCACCGCCTGTGGGGAGACACTAGCTGTGTGAGAAGCCCCCAAGCATTCCACAACGTGGACCCTAAACCTGCCCTGAGAAATAAGGCCTATTTTCGAAATGTTTCATTTCATGTTATCCGAATTTTCTCTCAAAGCAAAAATAAAAACCTACCAGGGGTTATTTACAAGCCGTATCCAATAAAAGGAGGTTTTTAAAAAATAATACCCATTCCTGGGCAATGCGGGAGACCTGGGTTCAATCCCTGGGTGGGGAAGACCCCCTGGAGGAGGGCATGGCTGCCCACTCCAGTGCTCTGGCCTGGAGAATTCCACGGACAGTCCATGGGGTCAGTCAGACACGACTGAGCGACTTTCACTTTCTTTGGGCTGGTTAATAACTGACCCTCCCTCTATTTTTTTTACAAACGCCAATGTTTATAACCACACTTGCCCAGTGGGGCTGACCGTCGAGGTGTCGCAGGAAGGGCCGGGGCAGGGGGGTGCTGTGCCGACCCCCAGGACACGCTTCCACGCCCAAGTTTAACGGCCCCTCCCCCACCAGGCCAAACTCAGTTCTGAATAACTGATTAAATGACAAGAAACATGAACCACACAGCAGGGCATGCCAAGGACAAAAGGAGTTTGAACAGAAAACGTGATTTTGAGAAAATAAAAGCTGTAAGCTTATTTGTTGGCAAGCACTGACTGAAGGCCTCCAACAGACAGAGGTCCTGCGCTGCATGGCATGAACCACAAGGAAGCAGGCAGTGTGGCAGGATCTGAGAGTCCCAGGGGCTGCGGACGCCCGTCGGAGGGTGATGGATGAACAAGCCCCCAGACCTCTTCAGCAATAAGAAGACACTACCAAGCCCTGGAGAGACACAGGGACCCCCGCACACACAGCACCAAGCACGAGAGCTGAGCACTGTGGTCCCCACGTATGCCAGGACCACGGGGTTAAAGTGCAGCGGCCGGCAGGGGTGCGGAGGGGCCAGCCGCGGAGCGGAGAGAGTCTGAGGGCAGTGACATCCTAAAGGGAGGATCCGGGTCATCACACATCCGCCCAAACCCACAGGACGCACAAGGCAGGCGAGAAGCCTGAGGTAAGCTGGCTAGCTTATGATCTTATATCAATCCGGGCTGTCAACTGCAACAAATGTTACCGCATCAATGCTAGGTGTTCCCCAGGCACTAAGAACTTCCCTAAGAAAGAAAATCTGCTCCTTAAAAACCCATACCATAGGGCTGCAAGTCACTGGGCTTGGCCCGGCGCCTCCTCCCACTTCCCTTCTTCAAGCTCAGCCTGCCCGATGGTGACAGGGGCACTCACACCCCGACCCGGGCCGCCAGCCGGAGCGCACGGGTGAGCTGGGGTCTCGGACCAGGGGGCTGAGGGGCTGCGACACAAGACGGCTGTTCTGCTGAATGACAAGCTCTGAGCTGCTGGCAGGTGGGGGCCACGGGCGGCCCTTCCTCTGTGGCAGCCTCTCCCCGGGGGACACGGCAGGGCTGGACCAGCACGCTGACAGCGGACTCCGAGGCCTGTCCTAAGAAGGCCTGGGCGGCCACCGTTACAGACGCATGCCTGGGCCCAGGGTGGCTCAGGGTTCAGTGAGCAGGGGAAAGACCCTCGTAGGAAACTCAACACTGAAGTGAGGCAGCCTGAAGTGTGTGCAAAGCTTCCGAGGAGACATGCTGGCCTAACTTAGGGGTGGTGGGGGGTGGGGCGTCTCTTAAAACCATGCTGCCCGAGAGAAGCATCAAACAGGCATCCCCATGGAGGCAGAGCCAGGCCAGGGCTGTGAAGGGGGACCACTAACAGGCAGGGGTTTCTGTCTGAGGTGACGGAATGTTCGGGAACCAGAGATGACGCCCGCGCATACTGTGGACACACCAAACGCCATGACCTATGATGCTGAGATGGTTAAAATGGAAGATTTATGTTGTGAGTGTTTCACAATTAAAACCGCTTGCTGGCCGTGGCCATCACCTGTGAGACTGCCGGGAAGCAGGCCGGCTCCAGGACCAGACGCCCCACAGGAGCAGGGGCCGCCATGCAGTCCCGTCCCCAAGTGGCCCAGGGAACAGACCCATGAGCGGGGGTGGTGACAGGGGCCAGCGTGCACGGAGCCTCAGTCTCGAGGCCCACCGTGCAGGCGCTCTGCAGACAGCGACAGCCGTGGGGTTACCTTGCCACCGGGGGTCCTCTCCCAGGATCTTCTCCATCAGGGCCTGGCTGGCCAGGACCCCGGGCTGCAGGTCAGGGACTCCATCCCCGGCACCGAGCTGGCCGTTCTGCAGGGCTTCCTGCGCCTGCAGCTCCCTGAAACCAAACAACGCGCGGTCACAGCACTGCGGCCCGTCCAAAGCCTCGGACGGCGTGACGGCCACAGGCTCTGTCCCTTTATGGAGCACCCTGTGCACGTCTGTCCCAGGAAGACCATCTCGACTCAAACCCCAGCAGCCTCAGAGCCGAGCACCCGAGATTTCTGAGCTCCCCATGCCCAGGTCAGCAGGACAGCAGCGGGTCACTTTCTCCTTAGGAATAAAATCCATGCCCCGGAAGAGCCACTGGAGGCGGGTGAAGCCCGAGGCCGGGGGAGCAGAGTGGCTCCTGGTAGGACGGCCACTCACCGGACGTCACACACAGGCGGCCGCAGGTCCAGAGGGCCGTGGGCGAAGGCGCAGTGCGGCCCGTTCTTGGCGCAGTGGCCACGCGCGTCCGTCTCGTGGATGCAGGTGCCGGTCTTGTAGTAGCGCAGGTGGTACTTGCGCTCCGTGTCCCCGGTCGTCCGGTGCAGGTACGGACACCTGGGGGCAGAGGACAGTGCATGTCGGGGCCCCATGGCCACCGCAGCGTCCACCTGTCCCCGGCCGGCTGGCTCGCGTTGGCTTTTCCCAGACGCCTGCTCCAGTTGGAGGGTGAACAACGCCAGAGCCCTGTCCCTGCCCCAGACCCCTCACATGGCCTGCAGACCCCACAGCCCTTGACGACATGTGGGAGGGAAGCACAACACCCAAGCTCCCAGAAAACTACCCTTCATGATTTTTTGAATCAAGTGGAAAACAAAGTTCCCATCAGACAAGTGGCTGGCAGCCTCTCCCTCCTCCCATCCAGGTGTTTCCGGGGACCCCTCGGCGAAGGCGGCGCTGGAGGACGCTGTGGGGGACAGGCCGGGGAGAGGCGGCTGGGGGAGGATGGGGCAGTGTCCCTGGGGCCACACAAAGGCTCAGAGCCCCACACACCCAGGGAGAGCCACGGGTGGCTCTGGGAGCACCAGGAGTCACGGTTAAGGCCAGGGTCAAGGGTCCCACGCAGGGAGGTGTCAGCAGTGAGACGGCATGGACGGTCCCAGCACACACATGGCGGGAATGAGCCCGCTTCTAGGTTCGTCCCTCCAGACAAAAGCCACGGGCACAGAAGGATGGGACAGGCGCCCCTCTGAACAGCCCCCGGACGGCCCGAGGCCGATGCAGGCCACAGCTGCAGGCCCCCAGGTCTGAGAACACGGCCCTAGGCCCCTCCCCGAGACGGCAAGGCAGCACCATGTGGGGCTCGGGAAAGGCCCACTCCTGCCTCGCTGGCAGGCAAGCCATGGACCCGGGTGCTGGGAGCACCTGTGAGGGTGCGGGGGGCTCCCGGGCAGAGCACAGATGGATGGACAAGACCAAGGGTAAAAGGAAAGCAATTGAGGGGCAAGCAATCCACACGCCTATCTCAGAAGATGAAGAAACAGAGGCTCTGAGTTCGGCGGCTCACCCCAGACCTGACCACCCCTCAGGCATGCAGGCTGTGGGCAGGAGGCAGGAGGCAGGGAGGACGCCCGGAGCCCTGCAGCCACCAGGCAGAAGGTAAACGCTGAGGGCCCCAAAGGGACGCCTCCAGGAAGCACCCCCGGAGGAGCCGGGGTCTTGAGAAGATACCTGTGCCCCCAGGACCAGAGACACGAGAGCTTAAAGCTAGAGACAAATGAAGTGTCCACCAACTGATGGACAGATGAGCAAAGCGTGGTCCATGTGGACAACGGAGTGAGCGTGGACGCGGCTGCAAAGGGGAAGAACCCTGAACATGTCACGTTACGGGAACCAAGCCAGACACCGGGGGACACACACTGGGGGTCATTTCACACGAGGGCCCTAAAGCAGTCACTTCCACAGCAACGGGAAGGACAGTGGGGCCCGGGGAGGGGAGGGAGAGGGGGAACGAGTGTGTAAGAGGGCAGAGCTCTGTCTGAGAGAAAGAATCCAGAAATAGACGGTGGTTGTACACCATTCTGAATGTAATTAATGATGCTAAATTCCACATTTAAAAATAGCTAAAATGGCAAACTTGAAGGATGTTATCACAACTTAAAGTCCATTGGAGACAGAAGAAAGCAAGAGCTGCTCCCCACATTTGTTAGTGAAACACACACACGGACAGGGACACCTGGCTGGCCTGTGGCATTTCACCTGTGTGGCAGCATCCAGTTCAAGAGGACAGAACACAGCCAGCCCAAGGACCCCTCACATGGACACGGGGCAGGGGAGACGGACCGCACCCTCTTGCGAGTGGTGGGGACTGAAAGTGAGGTGATTCCTCCAATTACCTCTGCATAAACATGTCCGGGCAATCCCAGCGGGAGCCCATCCTTGTGAGAAAAAGGAAAACCAGAAGGTGGAGAAAGTGGGTTACAGATCAAGCTGGTCCCCACTTTGCAAAAAAGAAAAGGAAAAACTTGAATATTACTGTCTCGCATACAGATATGAAAAAGGAAACACTCCGCGTGCTGACTGTGCTCTACATGCCCGAATATGAGCTATCTCCTCCGTGTTCCCAGTGACAAGTTCCAAGGAACAGTTTTCAAGGAGTGTGAGTGAAACGGTCAGACATCTCCTTAGGAATTTTACTGTGTTAGGTGCAGGTGCAGCCTGCTTTAAAATCCCTCCCTCAGAGTTGTATCTCACATCAAGCTCCTCCCAGCACTCCTGAGCATCTCTGGATGACGCAGTCCCTGGGGCCCCAGAGAGGAGAGCTGTCAGGGAGCAGCCTCTGCCACACCAGGGAGCCTGTTCTAGAACAAGGACCCCCCAATTTTTGCATTAATATACAGACTGATATCACTAACAAATAAAGAATGTAGAATTAGGGACCAGAAACACACAGGATGACAGCTAGAGAAACAAACCAGGAACTTACATCAGTGAAAATGCAAAGGGTCTGGAGCGCTTAACTCACCTGGAGCCCCACCTGTTCTGGACAGAACCCCGGGAGCAGGGCGACAGCCAAAGGACACTGTTGCCAGCCAGTGACAGGCACCCAGAGGATGCGTGCCCCTACACGCATACTGTCACAGTAACCGTCACAGACAGACCAGCAGACAGAGAGATGTGCTGTCTGTAATCACCAAAGGCTGGAGACAACCGAGATGTGCGACAGACACCAAGGGAGCTCCGCAAAGGCAGAGGAGCAAGCTGGTGGTCTGCAGGAGCCGGCAGTCTGCGTGGAGGGCTTCGGGAGGGGCGCCAGGAGGCACCGAGAGGGAAAAGCACCAAGAAGAGGAAGCGCAGCGCCCTGCAGGTTACATCGTAAGGTGGGGGAGGGGCAAGAATGCAGACATACCATCTGCTTCCATCAGAAATTATGGAAGGGCAGGCTGTTTCGTGGGGACGTAGTTTCAGTTTGAAGATGAAGTTTTGGAGGTGGATGGTGACGACGGCTGCACGACACTGTGAATGAACTCAACGCCGCTACACTGTGCATGTAAAAGAGCTAAGCCGACAAATCTAAGGTCGTATTTCGCTTCAATAAAAGATAAAATGAGAAAAAATAAATAAAGATAAAACGACTTAAATAGGAAAACAGCCATTCTGCAAAAACAGTTCCAATCTCCAGAAACACTCACTCATCTACTGTACGTTTAAAGGAAGAGAATTCCAGAGTCTGGGGAGGGGGCCAGCACAGCAGAGCCGAGGTAGCACCTGCAAGTCTGTCTGTGGAAGTAAGCCTGCACAACAGCCCGAGCAGGACCATAGGACCCCGAGCACTACCAACGGCTGACACAGGCTATGGCAGAGGCTGCGGGAACCCCTCAGACCCGGGAAGTGAATGTGGTGGGCACCACACCCCTCCCATTTCCTAGCAGTCCCTCAGGTCCGCTCTTAGCATCGTTTTGTTTCTTTGCCAGTACCATCTCCATGGCAACCAGAACCCGGCCAAGGTCCCCCCCTCCCTAGCACACTATTATTTCACTAGGGGCATGTCACCTCTGCTTATTACACGGCTTGAAAGCATGAGCTGAGATTAAGATATTGGAGAACATTTAATGAATAGAAAATGGCTTCACCTAAGAACATCTAAAGGGCTTCCCTGGCGGCTCAAATGGTAAAGAATCTGCCTATAATGCAGGAGACCTGGGTTCAACCGCTGGGCTGGGAAGATTCCCTGGAGAAGGGAATGGCAACCCACTCCAGTATTCTTGCCTGGAAAATCCCATGGACAGAGGAGCCTAGGGGGCTACAGTCCATGGGGTCGTAAAGAGTTGGACATGACTGAACAACTAATAGACACTAAGATCATCTAAGAGACAAAAGGGACCAAACCTAGGCCCTCACTGAAGTGGGGAAGGGGCCAGGGGACCCCAGGGGTCAGCTCAACACGGCAGGCAGGTGCTTCCTCGCCACAGGAGTTCATTCATCCACCCCCTGGGCCACTGACAACCTGGCAGCACGTGTAACGTGACTCACAGCCCACAAAATTCAGGGCGGTGCCCGTAGCTGCCAAACCCATCCAACCAGTGACCCACTCAGTGCAATTAATGCAGGGCTCCGTGGATGCCGTGGTGCAGGGGCACGTATCAGACACAGGTCTGCTGTGAAGCTCTGGAGCTGCTGGAACCAGGAGGGAGGGGTAGAGGGGAACACAGCTCCAGTTCCTTTCTTCCTGCAACTCACCCCAAGCAATGGGGGACCCACAGACTCAGTGCCACTCTGCGTTGACACCAGTCAGCAAGCCAGGCCGGAGTGCATCAGAACCATCTGGACAGTCTGGGCTGACACTGGTGGGAACTGTGGGTCCAAACTGAGGGCGAATCCCCAGGTGATGGTGCGATCGCTAGGCTCAGATGGACCCTCGAGCACAATGTGATTCTCTCCTGGTCCTCAAGGAGTAGGAATGGAAGTGAGTGGCAGCAGAAAAATGGGAAAAGGAAGACTTGTGGGCCACACCCAGCTGGGGGCAGGGGAATAGGGGGATGAAGAAAAGGGGGGTCTTGTGGGGAGACGCTTGAGAGTCTTCTCTCCAGCACTAGGGGTGGGGGGCTGGCAGCTAACCCCATGCTGACACAGCCATCCTCTGCACCCCCAGCCTCTGATTTCGAAAGGCTTCCCTGGACTTCCGAGCCAGGCCAGCCACCCCCCATTAAACCCTAATGTGGACCATCTGCCCGACAATGTCCACCACCCTCCTCTGTGCCCCCCCCCCCCCCGAGCTGCCATCCTCTCCAGGGACCCTGTCCCTGCAGCAGCCATCTCCCCACTCACCCCCAAGGAGCACCAGTGCTCTCGCCTTCTCAGAGTCGCCTTTCACTCAGCGCAAGACAGACTGAAGTGCTAACGTCACTCTCAGGTTCTTCTACCTCTTCAACCTACTGGTCTCTCACAGATCCAACTCAGTCACCTGATTGTAATGTCCTTAAGTTGGCCAACTTGTAAAGCCTGTGTCTTCCTTGAGACTGTTAAGTAGCCCCTGACTCCTAAATTGGGCTTCCCAGGTGGCTCAGTGGTAAAAAATCTGCCTGCAATGCAGGAGAGACAGGTTTGATCCCTGGGTGGGGAAGATTCTCTGGAGGAGGAAATGGCAACCTACTCCAGTATCCTTGCCTGGAGAACCCATGGACAGAGGCGCCTGGTGGGCTACAGTCCATGGGGTCACACAGAGTCGGACGTGACTGAGCACACACAACTCCTAAATATTCTGCTCTGATGTTCCCAGCCTGCCCTTGGCTTTCACCTCACCCCCAAAAGCCCAAGCAGAGTTTACTCATAAAGTCGGTTTAACACCAAGAGTTTATAAGCCTCCTGCAGTGAACGGACTTTCACCTAAGCCTTGGGTCCCAGGACACCTGACTCTTTAAACATGGCAAGAGCATCTCTCAGCAGAGAGGCCAGACTAAGGACCCGTATGATACAACAGGTACACCAAGCCTTGGGCATGTACAAAAGTTTCTGTAGGTCAGCAAGCTCCCACGGTGCCCAGATTCACAGGTGGAAGGTCCCGAAATCACACGTCATCGCAGAGGCGGTGGGGCCGATGTTCCCGGATGCCCCCGGTGCAGTGGGGGGAGCACTGGGCCTGCCGGTGCAGCCACGCAGGGAGCCCTGCAGGCAGGCAGGCCTCTAGAGCCAACCTGGGAACTTAAGCACAGGAGCTGGGCAGCCCACTTCTTACCAAAACCAAGGAAACATCTATTAAACGTGCGGCCTGGAAGGCCACCATGGGCGGCCTGCCTTCAGCAGAAGGAGGGTTATCAGGAAAGAGGGAGGCAACTTTGTACCGGGCAGAGTTGGGGCCCGCTTGTATTGTTTGCCAGTGAAAACATTTCCGGGAGGGGCCCCTCGGACTCCTGGAGGAACCGACCTCTGACACCCTTTACAAGCACAGGAGGGATACAAGGTCTCCGAGGAGCGGAAGCACAGCGGGTCCCAGGTGGAAAGCCCCGCGAGCAGGACCAGCTGGGGGCCCGGGCCGCTCTCGGACAGCTCTCAGCGGGCGGCTGACCTGGAGAGGCCTCCGGCCACGCGGCGCTCCTGCCCGCGCCGCTTTCCTCGAAGCGCCAGGCCAGGGAATGCCTGAGACGGATCCGTACGGGGGGTGGGGGAACACGTACCCGGCGCTGCGGGCCCGACCCTGCGGCCCCGACCCTGCGGCTGGAGGCAGCGCCGGGCGACTCCGGAGTGAGCAAGGCGAGCGGTCCACCCGGGAGGTCCCGCCGCGGGGAGGCCGGTTCCCACGGGGGCGGGGCGGGGCCACGTGACCCCGCGGCCAGACGCCTCCCGCGCCGGGGAAGGGGCGTGGCTGCCGGAACAAAGGGCGCCGCGGGGGGGCGGCCACAGGGTGTCCACTGGGGGCGGAGCGGGGGCGGGGCCAGGGAGGAGGGGTGACAGAGAGTAGCATGACTGCCGCTGGGAGAAAGGGGTGACGGCGGGGTGGAGGGGTGTGCCCGGGGCAAGGGTTGGGGGGCTACCCAGGGACAGCTGGAGTTCTCACTGGGGGTAGTGGGGACAGGTGGGGAGGGCGCCCCAGGAGAAGGGGCAGCAGCAAGAGGGGAGGATGACCACCTGCCTAGCACAGGAGCTGACATTAGGGATGCCAGCCTTGGGGGTTCCGGCTCCTGCCCGTGGCTCAGCCCCATGGTTCCCCCATCAGACTGGTAGAACCACCTTGGACGCAGAAGTCACCTGAGCCGGCTGAAGGGTCTTTGCTCTCTGATACATATTCATGATTTACAGTAATAGGTTGGTCCTATAAAAGCCCAAAATAGACATTTCAAGAACCAATGAACTGAAATAAAAGGGAGGAGGCTGGTCCCCTGCTCTGAAGGGTAGAGTCTATTTACAGATCCCATGGCAACCCTGCATGAGCCAAAATATGTAATTCAACAGGACAGACTCCAGGAAAGTCCATCTCAGGCTGAATGAGCAGTGACTGCTAACGAGAGACTCTCAGGGGAGATGTCTGGCCTGTCAGATACTTCCTGTGGGGCTGAAGCAAGTCATCTCACGTGCTCAACAAAAGTCGCAAAGGAAATCTTTAAGAAGACACACATGTACTTTCATACTATGTGTACATGTACACAGGATACACCCAAAACAGTGTCAGACACCCACTGTAATCCCACTCTTCTCCGTGATGACCTGCATGCTACTCAGGCTACAAGTGTTCCCACCCCCCACCCCCAGCTGTGCTGCCCTGCTTGTGGGATCTTAGTTCCTCCACCAGGGACTGAGCCTGGGCTCTTGGCAGTGGAAGTGTGCAGTCCTGACACTGGACCACCAGGGGATTTCCCATGTTAACATTTTTATAATAAACTGCAATACTATTGAATTAACATTTAAACCCAGCTTAAAAGGACCATCACCAGGTAGTTGTTCACCACAGTACTCTTCATCCCATAGGAACTGGACCCTACCCCGATGCCCAGCAATGGATCTGAATTGATACCAGGCCATTCAGACTCTGGAACCCAAAACAGCCACTAAAATACGCTTTCTTGTCATCATCCATGAATACTGCCAATCAGTCTCCCATCCTGGACTCTGGAATGGGGTCACACCAGCTAGGTGACTAGATCTTTGCACCAGGGTCTCATCAGTGGCCCCCTGGGGGCAACTGAAGACTTACGTTCAGGAGAGGTGACTGACATGGCCAAGGGAAATGAGGGGCCAGGGGCTAAGCCTTAGCTAGACAGAAACATCTCTCTTCCGAACACCCGTTTGCAGGAAACAGCAGCTCAAGATGCAATTAAATAACGTACTTTTAAGACCTCACAGAATATAATACCATCTTAACCAAAATGGAGCCAGTTACATTATTTTCACAGGCTCCAGGCTGCCTTAACAACCTTATTTGACTATCTGGTGTTCAACTAAAAACCTCTCAGGAAGTAGACAGAGCTTTTAAGATGATCACCATAGATCAAAAGTTTACTCCCTGGACTTAAGCATTTTTTAAGTGAAAAACAGGAAACTTCCCTAATGGTCCAGTGGTTAGACTTCACCATCCAACAACAGGGGGTGCGGGTATGATCCCACATGCCCCAGGGCCCAGGAACCAAAGCATAAATCAGAAACAACACTGCAGCAGATTCAAGAAAGACTTTAAAATATTTATCAATTAGCATTAGTCGCTCAGTTGTGTCTGACTCTGTGACACCATGGACTGTAGCCTGCTAGGCTCCTCCATCCATGGGCTTCTCCAAGCAAGAGTACTGGAGTGGGTTGCCATGCCCTTCTCCAGGGGATCTTCCCGACCCAGGGATTGAACCTGGGTCTCCCTCATTGCAGATTCTTTAATATCTGAGCCACCAGGGAACCCCCCGAGAAACCAAAAAGACCTCCCCCAAATCAGACTTGGATCTGACAGAAGCTGAACCCTAGACGTTTTTTCCAAGAGGCCCTGCGGCACAGCACCGCCACCTCACCTCCAGGTGGGACTGGAGCAGCCCTTTCTCCTCACACAGCCCACAGGAAAAAAGCAAGACCTCCTGCTACCAATCTCTGCTGGCTTCATGAACATACAATCTAACTTCTACTTTCCTTGTTTTCATATTCTACATACTTCAAAATGAAGACATCTGTTCATAACACCATTAGGAAACTTGTAAAAAAAAATAAAGCAACCAAAACAAAACATGGATTTCTTAAACTTTAAAAGTGTTATACAAGTGACAGTCTGCAAATAACCCTCCTGTCAATTCTTTAAAAATTAAACATATAAACAGCAAGCAAGAAGCCATTCTGGATACATGTGTACAATGTGAGCAAACCTTCTAACAAGCTCTCTGACCAGAAAGCAAGAGACGACTACAAAATGATCCTAAACTCAAAAGCTGTACCTCATGAGGGTTGCTTCTAATGCAGGGGGTTCAGAGAACTGGGCCGTGATCAAAGCGGGAAGCACAGCAAAGTCGGTTTGCCCCCTGCAAGGGCTATCCCCCAGCCGCACGCGGTCCTTCCCGCACTGGCTGGCAAATGTCCCCACCAAGACCAGCGGTCATGGGTAAACGTCAAAGCGGAGACGGGGCCTGCCGGCGCGAGGGGCCGGGAAGCCCGCGCCGCCCCGCAGCCGCGCGCACTCACTCGTCGCCGTCCGGGCACACGCCGCTGGCCTCGTCGTACTTGGAGCAGTACACGTCCGGGCTGTAGTTGAAAGTGCCGTCGCGCCTGCGGAGCGGTCTGCGCCGACGCTGATTTAGGAAATGCCAATGGAAACAGGTAAATGGCCTGTGCTGGGTGCACTTGTGCTGCACAAACAGGGAGCACTGCTCTGTCCTAAACTCCTTTAGATACCTAAAAAGACAAACAGCGTTGGGGTCGCTTCCGCCGCCGCCGCCGCCGCCGGCGGGCGGCCCGAGGACTCCTGGGCAGGGGTCGGACCCCGTGCGCCCGAAGGCCCCGACCCCAGGCGCGATCCCCCACTCTGCCGCCCCCCGCCCCGCTCCCCCGGCCCAGGCGCATTTCTGGGACCCCAGACACGATCCCACATTCCCGACCCCAGGCGCAGTCCCCAGCTCCAATCCCAGGCACGGTCCCCCGCCCCAGGCGAAGCCCCCCATCCTCGGCCCCAGGCGCAGCTACCCATCCCAGACCGCAGGTGTGATCCCCAATCTCAGGGGCGACCTCTCACTCCAAGTTCAGACCCCCTCCCCACCTCCCTTCCCTCTCCCCTTGCCCCGCCTCCCCCTCCCCTCATCCGTCTCCCTCCACTCCCCTCCACCGCCGCCCTGGAAGCCCACGCGCGTTCCTCGGATCCCAAGAATGGTTCGCCAATCCCAGACACGGTTCCCGACCCTAGGCACGACCCTGCAGAATCCAGACGCGGATTGGCCCAGGGCGCAACTGGCCCATCTCGGAGCTCAGACGTGACACCCACTCCGATTCCAGACGGTCCCAGGCGGCCGCTCCCCCAGAGCCCAGGAGAGTCTCCTGGATCTTAGGCGCGTTCCCTCAGACCCCGCGCGCAGCCCCCTCATACGGAACACAGACACGACCTCCGGGACTGCAGGCGCGCCCTGAGCCCCGGTACCAGCCCCGAGCCAAGGAGGCAGCCGGAGTCCAGATGGCCGCCCTTCCCTCGAGCCCAGGCGCGGTCCCCCATCCCCGACCACAGGCGCATTCTCGGCGGCCCCGACCCAAGACCCCAGGCGCTGTTCTCCGGTCCCCAACCTAGGTGCGTGGACCCCCGGCCCCGTCCCCCAGTCCCCAAGCCCAGGTGCCACTCCAGAACCTGGGCGCCGCCTCCCTGAGCTCAGGCGGCGGCAGCCGAGTAGGATGGCGGTCCACCCTCCAGAGCCCAGGTACCGCGCGGAGGCTGGGGGGCCAGCTGGCTAGGGGCCGGCAGGTGAGAGACGGGGGCCGGGGGAACGGGGAGAGGGGCGGCGCGGGGCCCCAGGCCGCACCCGGAGGCAGCTCCCAGGCCTAGGGGCGCGGGGGCGCGGGCGCGCGGGCCGGAGGAGCGCGGGGCCGCCCCCTGCCCCGCCCCCGCTCCTGCCGCGGCCGGCCGGGGCACTGACCTGTAGTGGGTCGGCTTCTCCGTCTGCGGGGGGGACCCGCTCAGCGCCGCCGCCGCCGCTTTCGAAACCGACGGCATTTTCAGTCAAAACAATGCAGCGCGCATGCGCCGCGCGCGCCCGCCCCCGCCTCTCCGGATCTCCCCCCCTCGTCGAGCCCACCCGCGCCCCCCGCCCGGCCGGCCACGCCCTCCCGCCACGCCACACCCGCGCGCCACGCCCCCATCCGGCGCCCTGCGCGGAGCTGTCGGCCCTAGGCGCCTCCGGTCACCCTGCGCCCGGAGGGGACGCGCACGCACCCCAGAGCCCGCCGTCCCGGCCGGTCGCCCCCACCCACTCCCGCCGGGTCCCCGAAGTCCACGTTCACGGCCCATCCCGCACCCGCTCTGTCCGCGGCTCCGCTGCAGCCTTCACCCCAGCACGGCTGCCCACGCGCTCCGCACGCCTGACAGCGCCCTGCGCAACTCCAAGCTCCGAGACAGAGGACAGGTCCCGAGTAAAGACCGCGCGGCCCGGCTGTCACACGCGCCTTCACTCATTCTGTGACCCCGTGCGGATGCTGAGACCGCGAAGAGTGGCTCCAGTTGCTTAGAGCTCGGTGAGGGAGACAGGGGGGAGGAAGGAGGCCTGACTGCTGCTCACCGGTACCCGGTTCTTTCAGGCGTACGAACAGGTCCTAAAATTAGAATGTGGTAGTGGTTGCGCCCTGCGAACGTACTAAAAATTTTCACTTGTTTACTTTAAATGGGTGAATATGAACTGCATATCAATAGAGCTGATTTTTTTAAAAGAATCCAAAGGCGCGTAGTCAAGAGGGAGACACACACACGCCCTTCGCCAGAAGGGTGGGAGGGGATGCACACCGGGCGGGAACTCCCGGGCGGGCAGCACCCGCGCCCCACCCCCGCTCCCGGCCCCCTTCAAGACTCACACGGAGGTCCAACTCAGTGGTCCCTGAAGGATGAAACACGGTGTGCGTTTGAGGAAGAAGAACCCAGGCCCAGAGTGCATTATTTTGTAAATATGTAGCATAAGAGACTTTTTTTTTTTTTTTTTGTAGGGCTGGGTGGCTTGTGGGATTTTAGTTCACCGACCAGGAATTTAACCGAGCCCTCAGGGCAGTGAGATTGCATAATCCTAACCACTGGACCTCCAGGGAATTCCCAAGACGTGTTAAATGTTCAACCTCACCAGTAATTTTTTTAATGCAAATTAAACAAAGAAGGGGGCTTCCCAAAGCAGTGCTAGTGCTAAAGAACCTGACTGCCAACGCAGAAGAAAAGGTTTCCATCCCTGGGTCAGGAAGATCACCTGAAGGAAGAAACGGCAACCCACTCCAGTCTTCTTGTCTGGATAATCACAGTGGACAGAAGGGTCTGGTGGGCTCTAGTCCATAGGGTTGAAAAGAGTCGGACACGACTGAAGCGACTTAGAATGCACAAATAAGAGCTCTTGGAGCAGGCACTTTTGTTGTTATTCTGCACAGAAAACCAACAACACTCTAACCTGCAGCAAGAATACCCTTGAAGGAAGTGTGGCTAGGAGAAGGAAAGGGTATGGATCTTTATGGAAAACTAATTTGTTCCATTTCTAGAAACTCCAACCTAAAAAAGAATGAGATTCAGACAAAGATGTACAAAGATATCGGAGTTATTTGGCAAAAACTTAAGAGCACCTCGCAGAGAATGAAAATGCTTCCTGAGAATTGTTAACAAGAAAAATGCTCCTCAAGTGACAAGACAAAGCAAGATACAGCAGTTCCATACTTTCAGTTCAGTCGTTTAGTCATGCCTGACTCTGCAACCCCATGAACCACAGCACGCCAGACCTCCCTGTCCATCACCAACTCCCAGAGTCCACCCAAACCCATGTCCATCGAGCCGGTGATGCCATCCAACCATCTCATCCTCTGTTGTCCCCTTCTCCTTCTGCCCTCAATCTTTCCCAGCATCAGGGTCTTTTCAAATGAGTCAGTTCTTCGCATCAGATGGCCAAAGTATTGGAGTTTCAGCTTCAACATCAGTCCTTCCAATGAACACCCAGGACTGATCTCCTTTAGGATGGACTAGTTGGATCTCCTTGCAGTCCAAGGGACTCTCAAGAGTCTTCTCCAACACCACAGTTCAAAAGCATCAATTCTTCTGTGCTCAGCTTTCTTTATAGTCCAACTGTCAAATCCACACATGACCACTGGAAAAACCATAGCCTAGACTAGACGGACCTTTGTTGTCAAAGTAATGTCTCTGTTTTTTAATATGCTATCTAGGTTGGTCATAACTTTCCTTCCAAGGAGTAAGCGTCTTTTAATTTCATGGCTGCAATCACCTCTGCAGTGATTTTGTCCCAAGAATATAAGTTTCTGTTGTTTTTCCAAATACAAGTAATACACTAAAATAGTATAAACTATCATTGGTGGTGGGATGAATGACTACCTTCTTTATATGTTCACATTACCTAAAAAATATACTACCTCTACAAACAGTACATTGAAACCTGGAAATTAAAATAGCAAAAAAATGAACATGACATTTTTTAAGGAAATCAAGCAGGAGAATGAAATAGGGCCTGTGAATTCTTTGGAAGACAAAACAGATCTTGAAGACTGTCAGGATGTAGGCAATGAGAAAGAAGCCTAGGATAATTTCAAGGTCCCAAGCTGGGAAGGATACAAACAGGTTTGAGAGAGCTGAATTCTGCTTCCAACCTAAGGAGTTTGAGGAACCAGTAAAGTCCAGTGGAGATGTATAGAGAGCCACGTGTATGTGCTCAGTCGTGTCCAACTCTTTGCGACCCTATGGACTGTTGCCCACCAGGCTCCTCTGTCCATGGAATTCTCCAGGCAAAAATACTGGAGCGGGTTGCCATTTCCTTCTCCAGGTGATCTTCCCGACCCAGGGATGGAATCTCCTGCAGATTCTTTAACACTGAGCCACCAGGGAAGCCCACATACAGAGAGCCACATTGAGCTTAAAAAAGGGCTCAAGACAAAGAAATCTGGGGATCTTTAAAACGATGCTTCTTTTCCCTCCTCACTCAAGAGGCACCTTCCTTGAAGAGAATTGGGATAGGCTGTAAGGACTGTCATTTTGGGGACTTTTAAAGAATGTTCTTAAAAGGCTGGGATAGTACCCAGACACATACAAAAAATAGCACAGCTGCTTAGAAGATATGAGATCATTTGACCTCAGTAACTTTTCCTGGGATTAAAAAAAAAAAAAAATTGTCTCCATCTTCTGCCCAAAAAGGGTTCAAAGCAGTTACCTCTAGGTGGTAGGACTAGTGTTTCCAATTCTCTTCTTTCTGCTTACCACAGTGTCTAACTTTTCCAAATATAGCTTATTGTTTTGATCATATGAAAGTTAATTTTAATGAAAACAAAATTTGTTTTTTTTTTCTTGCAGGAGCTAGTGAGAGTAAAACCAGGATTCAGGTTTGAATCAAACAAAATGGTTCACAACCAAAAAGGTCACAATCACTCCAGACCAGAGAAAGGACATCTTAGTTCTCTGCTACCAATGGGACTGAGGATGTAGGCTGAGCTATGATTAGGCCAATCTTTTCAAATCTTGGTCTCTCCATTTTTAAAAAAATGAATATACTTGACTCAGTTGCCCCTCCCTAACAAGCATAATTTACCAAGGCGGGCCAGCCACTTAGAGCACTTTTGCAGAGGTCTTGCAAAAGTACAAGACCGGTACACTGCCATAGAGTCAGTGGTCTTCAATCCAAGTGAGAGAAATTTCCAGTTAACTTTGGCACCAAAGAAGTCAAGATAAAACGTTCTACTAAAATGCTAAGTAAGTAAAATCATCCCTTTATGCATCCTGTATTTAATCCAGAATTAAGCACATTTCCTACTAAGCAGTACTTTGAGAAACATAATCATTTACATACCCAAAATACTTTTAAGTTGTCAACAAAAATATTTACCAATTTTACTCTACTCAGTTAAGTTATTGTCTTGCTAAAGATAAAAATGTACAGAGAGCTGAGAAAGCTCATTATTTCTGGTATTGTTTGATCATATTCCACCAGTTACATTTAGGTTTCTTTCCTCAGCTCCTATTCTGGGGGAAAAAAAACAAAACTAAACTAAAGGAATTGAAATGACTAGAAGGCTCCCTTTTTTAAAATGAAGTGCTAAAAAAAAATTGGCTTAACTTCACATTTCCAACTTAAAAATTTTATTGTTTGTTAAACTAACATCAATTTATACACATCACAGTACACTGTAAGATAAAATGTTTAACTCTTCTGCCAGTCACTGTGTCTCAGAAAGTGGATCACACTGGACTACAGCTGTCACTACGTTGCTTTGTAAACACAATAATGTACAAAGACAGCACAAATCCAACAGCACATGCTGCGACCAAAACCTTTTCCGTGGACCTGAGAAAGCTTTCCGACGTTATTCGATGGGAAACGAGCATCAGACAAGGAGCCGGTTCCGATCTGCTGACATCCTACGTTGCCTTCAAGGGCTCAGCTTGGCCAGGTGCGTCATTCAAGTCCCTTAGTCTCAGGACGCGTGTAATAACGGGGACAGAAACGGTCAAAAGCGACGCCAAAGCCTAAGGGCGGAGGTCTGTTGCTTCGCTCCTGGCACCCCATTAAGTCCTCGCCCCGTGGGCCACCGGAACTCCAGGATCTTCAGAAGCGTCGCTGGGCTCTGGTACCTCTTCCAGCAACATCCGTCTCAACCACCGGTCCGCGCTGGTCTCCTGCCTAAAGAAGCACCAAATGACCAGAGCCATGAGGGACAAGCTGAAGGGCAGCACCACCCACCAGGGCCGCTGCTGCTCGGTTCCCAGGGACTGCTTCACTGTCCAGCGGAGCGGCGCGGCTCTGCTGGAGGAAAACCGAAGAGGGCGGTGAGGGTCATCCTCTTCATCGCCCTCGGCCGCGAGCTGGGCTCGAGCCCGGCCGCTGGGCGGCGGAGGCGGGCTTCTTCGGGAAGCCCAGCGCACGAGCCTCAGCGCCTGGAACGCCCTGGAAGAGAGAAAGCAGTGAGCGCGCGCCCCCGCCCCTTCCGCCCGAGGTCCCACCGAGACCCCGCGCAGCTCACCCGGCCGCCGGCGCGCACAAAACGCCACTCATCGCGACCCCGGCTCCGCGCTCGGCGCCGCCGCGCGCCGCAGTCCTGTCACTTCCGTCGCGCGAAGCCGGAAGTTGGGTGCTGTTCCGGGCCTCCGCTCACGACTACAGAACGTGGGTTCCCGCTCGCGCAGCGGAAATGACTCACGTCCTCCTGCAGCCTCTTCCGTCGCAGGCCCGCTCCCGGCCGGCCGCGCGGGCATGCCGGGAAATGTAGTTCGCGGCCGGCCCGAGGCAGCACTAGCCTTCCTCGAGCTGGGCTTGCGCCCCAGGCCTGAGGCCCATCGGCGGGGACGGGGAGTTAGCGTGGTCCTCTGATGAGCTCGCCTCAGCGCGGGTCCCCCGATAACGGCCCACACTACGCACCCTTCTCGCAGTGCCGGCGCAGCCCCGGACGCCTCTTCCCCTGGCCTCGCGCCACTGTCTTGCTCTCTTCGTGGGACTTCAGCCATGTCCCGCCGACTAGTGTCCCCGGCCCCGGGGCCGCACCCAGCCCACAAGCTCTGCGGGCTCCGAGCTGCGTAGCCGTCGCCGCATATACACCATCCGCCCTGCGGGGCAGGTGCACGGCTCAGCCGCAGGGCCGTGGGCCGTCACCCACGGCACCAGGGCACACCCGTGGCCCTCCCTGCGGAGCCGGCGGGCACTCGGGCACGTCTCCCTCGTCAGGCCAGCGGGACCACCTGCGCGGGGCCCAGAGCGCCATTGTTGTGAATGGAGGCTGCAGCGTGCTCCTCGGGGACCTTCCTGTCCACTTGTAGGAGTTCGATCGGGAGAGGCAGCCCCGAGCTGTCTCGGGACTCCCTGTCTACCCTGCTCCCCAGTCGGCTCCACAGAGGCAAACTGGCGCTGGGTCAGCTGAGCCGTGCTGTGTGGAGACAACATAGGAGGACCCAGGCATCGCCACAGACTCTGTGGCGATGTGGGAATGTGCTGGGGTAGGGGTGAGGGGGCACTTGGTGACAAAATCAGATTACCAGGCCACCTTGTGACCTGTGACATTTGAAAAACAAAAAGCACAACATGAGAGGGTGCTGGGTTTTTTTTTTTTTTGGTCAGTTTTCCCTTAACTCCTTTCAGGGTGTGTTGAACTTCAGCGACTGCATTGGCTAGTGACTTCATTTTTGCAGAACCGGGTGGCGAGTGACAATCTTTGGTTGGCAGCTGTAATTTGCCGCCTCCCTGGTTCAGCACCTTTGCCTTGAGCTTATCCTGCACCTGCTTTCTGGTGGGAGAAGCCACAGCCTCGGGGCTCCTGCCACACCCCAGGAATGCTGGAGACACTTGAGCAAGGGCGGCAGACTGGAGGTGTTCCTAACTCAGCAGCACCTGGGAAGTCTTCCCACCCAGGGAAGCCCAACCCTGAACCCCTGGCGGCGGCTCAGCTCCAAACCCAGGGCTGTGTTCAGAGCTGCTGTGTCAACAGAGGCGCCTGTGTGCTCACGTCCTCCTCACTGGGCCCCGCCCCACCTGTTCCACCCCAGAACCCCACCCAGAGTCACTGCCGAACCAGTTCAGCCACAGGGAACCCCAGGAGCACGGCTATGGGCAGGAGGATGGACCACAGTCATTCTGGTCTACAGCCTGTAGGGCTTCCTGGAGGAGGTGAAGATAACCTGAGGAGGACGACCCTGAGGTTAGGGGTGGAGCTGCTAACTGCAGCTGATGCCACCACCTGGTTGGTCTGCTTTCAGCCAGCACAAGCTGCCCTGGGCCAGCAGAGGGGGCCCAGAGCTGGGGGGGGGAGGTCAAGGGCAGGGGCTGGTGGGGGGGCAGGGACCCCACCCCCGGGCAAGGCAGCCTCTAAAGAGCCACTAAAACTGTCTTGATGACTGCCTTGGATGCGTGACAGAAATTAGACACCTGGACAGGTGCCCCTTGAGCCTCTGCTTCCTCAGCTGTAAAATGGGCATCTCCTGTGCTTCACGGCTGCTTCCAGGACTGGACCTCTGCCTGAGCGGCTGTTAATGCTAACGGGCCAGCATGCAAATATCTTTCCACCCTGAAGCACTGGATGTCCCCTCAGGGCAGTCAGGCTCCTAGGGCGCTCTGAGGCCAGAGTCCAGGAGGGGCAGCGCCGGCCACAGCAAAGATTCAGCAGACCTACACGGCCTCTGTGCCCAGGCCCTGCTGGCCAGGCCTCCATTCTAGGTGAGGGCATGATGCGAGGGACACGGGTCCTGTGCCGTCAGCAGGCCCCGATCTCTGGGGGCTGGCCTGGGGCTCAGAGCTGGGCTCTCCCATGGGGCAGAAACAACTGCAGAGAACATCCGTGTTGGGCCAGGGCACTCCATGACCACGGTGGCTCAAGACAATCACATCTGAACACAGACAAGATATGAATGTGATGTGGCCCAAGCCTCAAGAAAAGACCAAATACTCGCTTCCTGGCTAATGGGAGGGACTCTGGTCATTCACCAGACGTGGCTGTCCTCCTTCTGGACAAGATGTCCTTAGATGCTATACTAGGGACTCCCCTCGTGGTTCCGTGGTTAAGAATCTGCTTTCCAATGCAGGGGATATGGGTTCAGACCCTGCCAGGAACTAAGCTCATACATGTTGGGAGGCAGCTACTGAGCCCATGCACTCTAGAGCCTGTACTCCACAACAAGAGAAGCCACTGCAAGGAGAAGCCCAAGCACCGCGCTGAAGAGTCATCCTCACTCTCAGCAACGAGAGGAAGCCCGTGAGCAGTGAGGAGCCTGTGTGCCACAACAGAGACCCAGAGCAGCTAAAAAGAAATACAACTTTTAAGTGATGCTGCACTGGACTGAACAATGTTCTTCCAAATTCTGACCCCCTGGAGGCCACCACATGATCCCTATTTGGAAAGGTCTTTGTGGATGTAATTAGTTAAAACTATGTCATATTGGATGAGATTTCCCAGGTGGCACTAGTGGTAAAGACCCCGCCTGCCCATGCAGGAGATGTAAGAGATTCGGGTTAGATTCCTGGGTCAGGAAGATCCCCTGGAGAAGGGAATGGCTACCCACTCTAGTATTCTTGTCTGGAGAATCCCACGGGCAGAGGAGCCTGGCAGGCTACGGTCCATGGGATCACGAAGTTGGACACGATTGAAGTGACTTAGCACCCACGTATGCATGTCATATTGGATAGGGTGGGCCCTAAATGGCATCCTTATAAGAGGAGAAAAGACCCAGAGACACTTGGGGAGAAGGCCATGCCAAGAGGCAGGCAGAGACTGGAATGATGGAGCTAAGAGCTGAGGAGCTGGGAGGATCCTGGCTGCACCAGAAGCTTAAAAAAAGGCCTGGAAGAGTTTCTTCAGAGTCTTCATGGTTTCAGATATCTGGCCTCTGAAACTGTCAGAAAGGAACTCTGTTGTTTTAACTGCCCCTGCCCCGCCTCATCAGTGATCCTTTGTTACAGCAGCCCCTGGAGACTCACAGCCCCCAGAGCACAGCCCCCACGCACACGCTCTGAACCCAGAGCCCTTTGTAAGGCCCGCCTCCTGAGACACCTGCAGTGCGGGCTGTGAGCTCTCCCTGCTGAAACCCACTTGTTCAGCTACATGTATGTCCCCTCCGGCCTCTGGCTGGAGCATCTGCTGGTGACAGCAGCCCCAAATGCTGGGGTTTGCTTGACTTTCCAAAGTGGGGGAGCCCCAACAGGAAAACCACAACCAGATGCTCCTGGGGCCACCCCCAGAGCGTCTCCAGGACCCTCCGCTTCCTAACCCCAGCAATCTCGGCAGGGCGCTGGGTGACAGGTGCCCCACACTGGCAGCAATGCCCCCGCCCCCCAGGGCATAAACCAACACCTCAGCCTTCATTATCTCTAAGCACACAGAGCAATCTCACACAGGCCTGACGCTCCACTAATGGGAGGGAGGCTGCCGCCCGGTGTGCCCGATGGCGGGAGTAATTTACTGTAGCGCCACTTGAGAGCTGGCATATTGGACCTATTGATTTTCCCTGGGAAGATCAATACAGGGTGCGTGGGGACAAGCAGGGCCACCGCCTTTGGAAAAGCAGAGCCTGCCTCCCGGGGCCGAGGCCTGAGAGCAGAGGTGGGGGCGGGTGGGCCCAGGGCTGTGAAGGCCCCACGCCGCCCATGAGGGGGCCGGCTGGGAGCAGGTGCCGGGGGGCCTGGCAGCCTGAGCACCTTGGCCCCCAGCCCACTCAGGGGCCCCAAGGGTCAGGGGGCTTGGAGGCCACTCCTTTCCTTGGCTCGAGGCCCCCTCCCCGGTTCAAAGCCAGCAGGGACTCTCTGCTTCCGTCTCCCCATGTCCCCTCACCCCACGCTTGGACCCTCCACCTTCCCTCTGTGAATTACGGCCGGTGGGGTAACCCAGGGCCGCCTCCTGCCTCAGGGTCCTTCACTCAGTCAGTCCTGCTGGGTCCCTCTGCCAGGTAAGGCTTCGGCAGTTCCCAGGGGGAGGGAGTGGGCATCCTCAGGGCCATCCCTCAGCCGACCACGGGGTGCCGGCTCCCAGTTACCTGGGTCCTCGCCAGGCCATCTCCTCTGCTGGAGCGCCTTCACTCCCCCGGCTCGGCTGGGGGAGCCCCTGCCCCCTCAGCACCCACAGACCCCGTCCTTCGTGAAGCCCCCCTCTGGTCACATGGCAGGACCTTCTCCAGGGCACAGCTGCACCTCACCTTCCTCAGCCCAGGCCCCCCGAGCTAGGGGCCCGGCACAGGCGAGGGCTGGAGACTGACCCACAGGCCCTCCTTGGGCGTCCACCCAGATTGCACTGCCCTCGCCACCCTGCGGGGCTGACCCAGTTGCCCCAGGGACTCCAGCCCCTTCCCAGGCCCGGGCCCTGGCTGTTCCCGACAGGCAGTGGTGGGCACTGCAGCTGGGGTCTGGGCAGATGCTGGGGTCCGGGCCTGGGTCCTGGGCAGGTCATGGAGGGTGCTCCTTGGGGCTGTGTCTGGGCAGAGAGGGACCCTGGGGTTCCAGCCACCCTGGGCAGCCACTGGACGCCGAGCTCCAGCTTTCCTTGGCTGCTGCAAAGGCCCCTGTGGGGCGAGTCACTGGCCTGGCCTGGGGTGGGTCACGGCCCTAGGGTAGAACTTCGCATGTCCTGTCACTTCCCTGAAGCCAGTCCTGAAGCCAGGCGTTGGGCCCTCCAGGTGGCGGAGAAGTGACTGGCAGCTTCCAGTGGGACAAGTCCCCCCACGGTCCCCACTAGGACCCCCGTGGGATGGGAGGGGAGCCGCCCCCTTGGAGGGGGCGCTGGAACCTGGAGCTGAAGGGCCCAGGGAGGGGGTGGACAGGTGAGGCCTGCAGCCGGAGGAAGGTCTCGGGCCATGAGTGGTCATGGGGCCCAGGCTGGGAGGGGCTGCTGTCCTGTGCTCGGAACCTGGCCCCCGAGCAGTGGAGGCTTTGGGAGACCCCCCACCCCCAGCACTGGGGCTGCTATCCCGGAGGAAAGCACCCAGCTATGCCCATTCATGGTGGGTGACGAGGTGGAACTGTGTCCTCCAAACCGTGTCCACATGAACCTCAGAAGGGACCCTCACGTGGAAGGAGAGTCAGTGGGGTGATATCAAGTCAGGGTGAGGTCAGAGGGACAGGAGTGGCCCGTAGTCCTGGTACAGGTGTTCTCGAAAGAGCAGGGAAGCTTGGACAGGACACGGGTGGGGTGGGGCAGCCCTGTGATGAGCAGAGGCTGGGAGCCTGGGATCACAGGCGACACCAGATGCCAGGAGACAGCAGGGCGGGTGGGCTCCCTGCTAGAGCCTCGGGAAGGACCTTTCACTTTGGGCTGCTGGCCTCCAGGGCTGTGAGAGTCTCCCCCAGCTCTGCTCAGGCCCCCGGTTTGCTGGGAACTGACTGGGCGGCCCCGGACGTGAGTGCAGCAGCACATGGAGGCGGCAGGGAGGATGGGAAGATGCTGGGGTCCGGGCCTGGCTCCTGGGCGGGGGTTGGCGGGGTGGCAGGCCTTCTGGGGTCCTGCTTGTGGTGTCGACTGTAACCGCCCAGGAGACGTGGTGAGGACACCCCTGGGTGGGACCCCCGGGGCTGGAGGGGCTACCAAGTCCCTCGGAGGAGGACCCAGATGCCAGAGAAGGAGGTGCCAAGGGCGAGGCCCTGGGGGTGGCGGGGGCTCCTCGGGGTTTGCTGCACATGCACCTGCAGCTCTGGAGCGGTGGGAGGTGGCGGGAGCGGCCCAGCTGGTGGTCCCTGGCCCTCCTGGGCTTTCAGGGCCACTGTTGGCCCAGAGCCCGCTCACCCAGGACGCTGCGGAGGCAGGATGTCCTCTAGAGAAGGCTACTCCAGAAGTCAAAATAGCATGAAATTTAATTTTCCGCCTATTTGACAAGGCTGGGTCTGGGCCCCAATCAGCGGCTGAGATAAGGGTCCTCCGCCGGGTGTGAGCCAGCTGGGCGAGCGGCAAACACTCCACCATCCCCGGGCAGGCTGAGGCTCCCCCCGCGGGGCCCTGGTTGCCGGGCGCTAAAGCAAACGGGCTCTATTTGCCCAGTCTGCGATGACAATGCAGTCATCAAATATTTGCCGGCCTGGCCGGCCACGGAGCTCAGCTATAAACGCTTGAGCCCAGGTGGAGGTGGGCCTGCCCAGTGGGAGCTGCAGGCCGCGGCAGGTAGGAGCCAGGCTGGGCGGCGGGCGGGCGCGGGTGGCAGAAGAAGGCTGTGGGCTCCTCTGCCCAGGTGGTCTCTGCAGACCACCCACCCACTGGGAGGGGTTACCAGCAGGGTGGGGAGGGCTGGGTCATTGAGGACAAGCCCAGGCCAGGGGGAGACAGGACACTCGAGGCTCGGCTCCCCACCAGCAGCCATCTGTACCCCGACACTGGGACACCTAGGCCGTGAAGAGAGACCCCAGATCTGCGAGCAGACGGCAGGGGAAGGGGGCGGGGGAGGGGAGCTCCCCTAACTCCGACTCCTCGCCCCTCCCCCACACACAGCATGGTTTCCTGAAGTTGGGACCCCCTCCCTCTCTGAACCCTCTTCCCTCTCTTCCTGCCTCCTGCCAGGGCGCCCACCAGGAGGCCTCTTGGCCAAGGGCTGGCCTGCCTGCCTCCCTGAAGCAGAGGAGCTCGGCCTGTCCCGGGGTGGGGGCCTCCCGCATTCAGAATCAGCTCCCCGCGCCCACCACCCCGCCCGCAGGCCCCCTTGGCCTCCAACCTGTCAGTGACTTCCCGAGTCCTGCCTGCACCACCTCCCCACACCTAGCCTCAGGCTAGGGACACTCGAGGTGACCCCCCTCCTCCCCACAGAGAGCACAGGGAAGCCTGGGGCGGTGGGGGTGGAGAAATGGCTCTGCCCTCCCCCAGAGGCCCCCAGCATCACCCTCATGGCCCCTGAAGCCCCCAGACTTCAAGGGACAGAGCAGCTGGGTCAAGGCGGCCAGGCCCGGCCTCCCAGGCTCAGCACTGGCGCCTCAGGCACAGGGGACCCTGCCAACCACAGCCGCTCGCGGGGGCACCAAGGGGGGCCCCGGCCTGTCCCGTCCCGGGGCAGACGCTGCGTCAGCCAGCCTGTGTGTCAGGGGCCACAGCAACCCTGAGCTGGGACAGCGCTCTGCGGACCCCAAACCCGCCTGCAGCCCAGCCTGGCCAGCTCCCTGCCCCCCGGACCGCTCCCGTCTCTGAGGCGCTGTTTCAGGGGCACTTTTGCCAGCAGCCCCCACAGGGGAGGATGAACCCGCCCCTCGGGGTGACTGCAGCCTGCACGCCCACTCCCGCCGCGCCCACCTGCCCGCGGGCCACCACCTGTCTCTCCCCAGACATCAGCCATCCCTGAGCTCGGCACCCGCCCCAAGCCTGCAGTGGCCCCCCTAGGGGGGCTGGGGCCCCGACCGCTACCCTGTCCCCTCTCTGCCTTCCTCCACAGCCGGCGCCCACTGCCCCGACGCTCCGCGAGATGGCTGCGGGAGTCATCCGGCAGCTCTGTGACTTCCGGCTGCCCCTGCCAGCCCTCCGGCCCTTCCCGCCCCTGGCCCCGGAGCCCCCAGACACTTCTGAGGAGGAGGAGGAGGGGGAGGAGGAGGAGCTGGAGGCCGAGGGGCCAGAGGGCCACAGCCCAGCCCCCCGCAGCCCAGGCTGGGCCCCTGAAGTGCTCCCCCAGGACCCCAGTGGCCCGGAGACGCCGCTGCAGCTGTTGCGGTTCTCGGAGCTCATCAGCGGTGACATCCAGCGGTACTTTGGCCGCAAGGACCGGGGGCAGGACCCCGACACCTGCGACATCTACGCCGACGGCCGCCTGGCCAGCAGCTCGGCCAGGGAGCTCTCCTGCGCTGACCTGGTGCGCCCGGCCCGCAGCGCACCCCCGGAAGACCATGAGGCCACCGAGCCCAGGGGCTGCTCCCCAGGGTGCCCCGAGGGGCAGGCGCGTGGGCCAGGCCTTGGTGGGGACGGGCCGCCTCTGCTGGGGCCCCTGGCCGAGCTTTTTGACTACGGGCTGCGGCAGTGCTCAGGGCCCCAGGCAGCGGACAGCCGGCGACTCAGGCTGGAGCGCAAGTACGGCCACATCACCCCCATGACCCAGAGGAAGCTGCCCCCGTCCTTCTGGAGAGAGCCGGCGCCCAGTCCCCTGGGCCTGCTGCACCCTGGCACGCCCGACTTCAGCGACCTGCTGGCCAGCTGGTCGGCAGAGGCTGGGTCTGAGCTGCTGGGCTCGGGGGACCCGGGCCTGGAGGAGGTGCAGCTGGCCGAGGCCTAGTGATCGCTCGAGGGTCAGTGCGGGGTGAGCTGAGGGCACCAGGCGTCTGGACTCGCTTTCCTGCTGAACTGGAAGGAGCCGGGGGACCCCCAGCCACGGCAGCCACCAGGACTTGGACCAGCTCAGGTGGGGGTTCCCCAGGCCAGGGCAGGGGTGAGCCGGGGCTGCCCAGGGGCTCTGCCCATAGGAGGGAGGGCGGGGCAGGAGCTGCAGCCCCTTGGAGGTGGGGGCTCGAGTCTACACACTGTGGGTGAGTCCCATGTCCCCCAGGCCAGCCCCCGAGGTTCCAGCCAGTGGTGCAGGGCCGCCCTCTGCACTGCCCACCTGGCTGGCCCCAGGGCAGCCCCTCCTTTCGGTGCCCACAGCACACCAGGGCCAGCTACTGGGCTGAGGGCTTTCTGGTGGGGCGGGGAGAGGGTGCTATCTCGGTGCAGAGCCAACACCCGGGGGCCACAGTGCTGTGGGAGGGAGGCCCCGGGGAGCTGTGGGGCCTGGGCTCGGTGGCTCCGGCTGGAACAGGGGTCCTGGAAGTCTTGGAAAGACCGTCTTGGTGATTTCTCTGCTCAGGGCCTCCTGACTGCCCCTGGGAGGGAACTCTGGACTCCGACAGGAATGGGGCGGGCACATTTATTTCTGGGGAACGGGCAGGGACGAGAGTCGGCGGGCAGGCTTCTGGCCGAGGGGCTTCTCCTGGGCCGCACTGCTGGGCGTCTGCTGGGATGTCAGATTCATGAGAACCGCCTTCCACTGTAGCCACCTGCCCAAGACACGGCTCAGGCCCAGGGCCCACCTCCATCCCCTGCCCTGCGGCCTCCCCTGAACCCAGACCTGCAGGCGCTCTGGAAGGCGACTCCCGCTGCCCACCTCACGGCCTGATACACGCCCCAGCGGTTCACAGGGACCACGTTGTCAGGGGCCACCTCCTTGACAAAGAGCTGCTGCCGCCCCAGGGACATGGGGCCCCTCCTGCTGCCCAGCGTCGGGGCCCAGGGGCCCTCCTCGCTCCACAGGCGCAGCACGCTCTCCCGCAGGGTGGCCATCGCCTCCGCGCGCTGTGGACATGGGAGTCGGATTAGATGGGGGGCCGCCAGTGGGGATTATCTCCCTCTGGACAAACCCGGGCCTTATCTGCCGGGAAACGCGGCTTGGGCCAGACACGCACACAGACAGACGGCTGCGCAGAAAGGAGAGCTAGGGGGTGGCCGGGCTGGGGGTGGCAAGGGCAGCAGGGCGTCAGGCTCCGCACAGAGGAAGGCACTGGTGGCCCCCTGCAGGCCTGGGGGGCGGGAGCGCCCAGCTCGGGGGCCGCCTCTCACCAGCTTGGTTTCTGTATTAAACTTGAGATTCTGGATGGTCTTGTTGTCCTGGATGCTTGTCTCCAGTTTCATCATTTGGTTCTGAAACTAAACACGGCCCCCATTCGTGGGCACGGACGCAGGGAGTCTGCAGCCCCAGGGGCGGCCCCACCCCAGCCATTCGGGGCAGGAGGCACTCTCCCATGAGAGGGTCCTGGCCCCTGGGTGGGAGCCGGGAGCATCACTCTGCCCAGTGACAAGGCGGGATTCAGGGCCGTTCTCTCCCGTGTGACCGTGGACATGCCCCAGCACCCGGGAGTCCACGTGGGAGCCCCCACTGGCACTCTCAGAGGCCGAGGGGTGCAGAGCCAGCAGCAGGATGCCTGGTTCCATGAGCCTTGCCCCAACCCGCCAGGCGGCGTCCTGGATCTGAGCCTCCCTGGTGGGGGGAAGTCTGCGTGGCCCCTGCCCCCGCCAAGTGTGCCAGCCCAGGGTACCGTGGCCAGCTTGCCCTGGATCTCGGCGATCTTGCGCCCGGGGTTGCCCTCTCTGAGCAGCTGCACGGAGGACAGCAGGGCAGCCAGCTCCTGCCTCACGGCCTCGACCGCCAGCTCTCTGTGGGCACAGAGGCGGGGCTGCTGGGCTCTGAAAGGGCCCGCGGGGGCATGCAGGGCAGCAGGGGGAGGAGGCCCTGGGCAAGGCAGGGGCGCTCAGACTTGCCGCCCCTCCAGTGGGCCCTGGGGGGTCCCCAGGAGGTGACAGGGGGACGGCAGCCCCCAGCAGGACCCAAGCCCAAAGCTGGGCCAGGTGGGGATAGGGAGGGCTCGGGACAGCCACAGGGGCGGGGACTTGGGGAGAATGCCCACCGTCAGGAGCCCCGGGAGGCCACAGGTGGTGCTAAGACGACTGTGCCCTGCTGGGGGGGGGCAGCCCCGCCCTGAAGGCCCTGCCGGCCGTGTGGGAGCCGGGCCTCACCTGGCTGTGGCCTCGGCAGAGATCTTGCAGTCCGAGTCGCTCTTGTGAAGCACACACTTGTCAGTGACTGCCTCTATCTGAAACGTGGAGTGGGCGGCAGCTCAGGGCGGGCATGGCAGGAGGGGAGGCCGCCCGGCCCTCACCCACCTGCTGGGGCAGGCGGTCCAGTCGCTCCTGCACCTCCCGCAGGTGCGTCTCCGCCTCCTCTCGACAGCGTATCAGGCCTTCCCGCCACCGCTGCTCTGCAGCTTCCCACTCATTCTGTGTCTGGGAGGGGGGCACCAGTGAGCGGTGGGGCACGGGGGGACGGACGGACATGGTCGCCCCTACACAGCAGAGCTCCCAGAGGGCATAAGCACCCGCCTCAGGTCTGCGCAGGTCCACACTGACTGGACACAGCCTGGTCTGGCCCACGGCGGGCCCGGAACTCCGGGCAGGGCCCCAGGCTGTGCAGAGCACACCCCTAACATGGCCAGGCCCGGCTCCCTGCCCCAGCAGCCCACGAGCCTGTGCAGACAGGGACTGAAAACAGGCAGCCCGCCCCACTGCCAACGGGTGTTCACATGTGCACACGTGTTCAGAGCAGGACTGAGGGCATCAAAGCGCAGCAGATCACTGGTCCATCTGCTGACAGATGGACAAGCTGTGGTGCGTCCATGGTGAGATGTCAGCCGAGAAAAGGAGGCACATGCTGACACACAGCACGGATGGACCTCGGACATTGACAGTCAGTGAGAGGCACTCACAGAGGCCACAGGGTGTTCGGTCCCATATATGTGAAACGTCCAGAGCGGGCAGATCCACAGACAGAAGCAGATCAGTGCTTGCCCGGGGCTGGGGAGGGGGAGTGTCTGCGGACACATGGGGGTCCTTCGCGAGGGAAGGAAAGGTTCTAGAAGTGACCATGGTAGTGCTCATACAGCTCTGAATGCACAAAGAGCCACGGAATCACACGCTCTGAAAAGCTGGGCTGTGCAGCCTGTGCCCTGAACTTCAATAAAGCTGTTAGAGAAAGAAGACGAAGAACCCCAGGGAGGAGGCTGCTGCGCTGGCCGCTCTGTGGAGCCCGTGCGCTCTGGGCCCGGGGCCCGTGCGGCCAGGGCGGCGGGGCCCCTCCTGTCTGGGACACTCGCCTCCCGCAGCCGCACGCTCAGTGTATGCTCCTGCAGGTCCAGCCGCCAGCTCAGGGCCAGGAAGTGGTCACTCAGGTCCTTCACCTGCCTGACCAGCTCGGCCACGGACACCTCCAGGGCCTGGCTCTTCTCTCGGAGCTGCGGGGGGCGGGGCTGAGTGTGCCATCTGCCCCGAAGGGGGACGCTGCGAGCCTGCCCCCCGCCCGGCCGCCTCACCAGCTCCAGGGCGCCGTGTGTCTCCTGCTGGGCCAGCTCCCCAGCCAGCTGCATGGCCTCTAGGTTCTCCTGCAGGTAGGTGGCCAGCTCCCCAGCCCGGCTGTCCTCCAACTGACCCTTGGCATCCCTGGGGGTGGGTGCCACTGACAGAGACTGACCCTCAGCCAAGGCTGGCCCCCAGCCTGGGCACTGGACCAGGGCCACTGGCTTCTGAGCCCTCCAGGAGGCCCCAGGGACAAGATGATGGGTGTCATCCCAGGGGCCACTAGACTGGGCTGTGTCCACCACCACTCAGAGCACCCTGCAAGGGACAGGCCGGGGTGTTGAGGGGAGCCCCCACTACAAGGCTGCCCCTCTGCCCTGGGGCACTGTGCTAGGAGGACACCCGCCCCACCCAAGGGCCCATTCAGACACCCACCAGGCCTTCTGCTCTGCCAGCAGGACGCGGTTGAGTGACACCTGGTTCTGCTGCACGAACTCAGTCAGCTGGACCACGGCCTTGTCCAGGCCCCGGCACTGCTCCAGGAGGTGGCACTCTTCCTGCGGCCGGGTGGAGGGGGCCTGGCATGCTGCCCCCCCAGGGCCTGCACGCGCTGTGCCTCCCACCTGGCCTCCCTACCACCCACCTGGTACTACCTGTCCCCCCCACCTGGGCCTGCGCCTCCCTGCTGCCTGGCAACGTCCCCACCCCCTTGCCTAGCACTGCCCCCCCCCCCAGTACCGCCTCTCCCCCACCTGGCACTGCCCCTCCCCTGGCACCGCCCCTCCCCACCTGGCACCACCCCTCCCCCACCTGGCACTGGCCCTGCTGGGCCCGCACACGCTCCATGTCCAGCTCCTGCAGCTGCTGCCACTTGCCCTCCAGCTCCTCCCGCAGGGCGCTCTCTTCCCGCAGCCGTGCACTCTCCGAGGCCTTCATCCTCTGCAGTGGCCAGTAGCCATGAGCCCGGGGCGTGGGGAGCGCAGCCGTCCCCCGTTCCCCCCTCAGGCGCCCACCTTCTCCAGGGCCAGGAAGCTCTTCTGCAGGAAGCCGCACAGCCTGGCCTCCCTCTTGAGGAAGCGGAGGCTCATCTCCTCCCCCAGCTTGGTCATCTGGGCCTGCGGGCGGGGTCCACGCGGTTGCCATGGCCGTAGGCATCCCCCACGCCTGCCCCCTCGCCCACACTGCCATGCTGTGCTCTGCCCATCCTTCTCTGTCAGAGGCAGCCCTGGTCCCTGCACCTGCAGGGCCAGGCCCGTCACACGCTCCAGAGGACGGCAGGCAGGCAGGTGGGGCTCTGGTCCCCAAGGGCTGTGAAGGGGCCCAGGGCAAACATGGTACCCACAGTAACCCCCAGGCCAAGGGACGGGGCAGACCAGCCACCGATCCCACCCCTGCCAGGACCTTGGTGTCTGTTTGAGCACGGGAGCACACATGCAAACACGTGCACACACATACGTTCGCTTGCACACTGCCTGCCCTCATCCCTGGGCCCAGGGAGGAGGCCCTTCTCTTTCTCCCTCCATTGCTCCCTTCCTGCCTTGCCAGGGATCTGGGTGCAGCCCCGCCCAGTGCCCCCCCTCACACACCCACAGGCACGAAGCACCCTCTCCTTTAAGGCCGGGAGGGCCACCCCCAGTCCAGGGCAGGTGTGCCCTGAGCCCACACGGGCCTCCCCACCCCATGCAGCCTGACCCAGAGCCAGGCTTGGCTGCTTCTGTAAAGAACCAGGAGGCAGACGGTTGGGTCAATGGGCCCAGGGTCTCTGTCACAACCGTCCAGCTTCATTGATCCCGCGCCAGAGCAGCCGTGGGCAACAGTAGACAGATGACCACAGGCCAAGGAGCCCACTCAGTGCCCCGGGGTGCACTAGGGGAGCAGCGGGTCAGCCGGGGGTGGGGAACCCTGGGCCCCAAAGCTGCCTGGAGCACCTGCCTCTTGATGGGGCGGGCACACCGCCTTCCCACAGGGCCACGGCGGGGTGGCAGGCAGCGGGGCAGCTGAGCTATGCGGGCAGCAGCTGGGGATATGGCGTGGGGCCTGGTCTCTATTTGCAAGCTGCAGAGGCTGGGCCAGAGGCGCACGGCCCCGGCCTCACCTTCTAGGCCACGTGCATTGGCCCAGCAGCGGGCCCTCCAGGATATGCATGTCCACGTGTGGGGGTGGAGCGTGGGGAAGGGCCTCAGGGTATGAGCTTCTGTTTCCTGGTCCAGGGGTTGGTCCCTCGGGACGGGGAGGCGCTCGTGATGGACTTTCTGTGGGGAAGGATGTGCTCCATCTCATGGCCATAGCGGTAGGTGCCGGCCACAGGCAGCCACAGGGCACGGTGATCTGGCTCTTGTGACCAAGGAGCCGACATACAGAGACACCCGTGGCCAGTGGCCACCATGGTGGACAGCATAGGTCTTGGGGGTTGGCCCAGGTCCAAACACATGGACAGAACCAAAAAAGAGCTGGGGAAAGGAAGAGCCCGCCAACAGAGGAGACGACGGCTGGGAGGGGTCCGGCGTGGACCAGCTCACTGGCAGCTCATCGGCCGCTCAGACGCCTGGGCCGGGCCTGGGCCTCCCAGGTACCTGCATCCTGGCCACCTGGTGGTCCAGCTTCTGGCCCGCCTCCTCCTGGCTCTTCTGCAGGGCCCCGCAGGCCACCTCGCGGTCCTGCTCCTCCTGCTTCAGCTTCCCGGTCAGCTCGGACAGCCTGGGGGCAACGGCTGCAGATGACTGCAGCCCAGCAGGCCGGAGGGACTTGGGGGGCCCCAGGGGTGCTGCGGGGGCCTGGACACCAAGTCCTTCTCAGGCCTGAGCCTGTATCCGCGGGGCAGAGACTGATCCACGGGCTGGCATAGCAGGGGATCCAACCCCGCAGGGGTAAACGCTCTCAAGAGGACAGAAGCCCAGTACGTGTCCCCCCAGCGCCCCCACCCCGGGATGGTGAGAGCTGGGCTCCTTCTGAGTGTGATGACGGGGGAGGAGAGGGGTGGGGACTCCGGGCTCGAGTCTCTTTTCCCCACAGAGGCCCACAGGGGTTCTGAGGCCTCCAGTCAACCAGCAGGTTGACACCCAGGGCAGGGGGGACGCCTACCGTGCCATGGGACGCCCCCACGGCCACTCGTCAGGTCCAGAGACCGCCTCCCGAGGGGCCCACCTGAGGCTAGTCTCCTGCTCAGCGCCCTTCCGCTCGGAGTCCTGGAGTGCCTGCTTCCTCCGGATCTGGGTCAGGGCCTCCCGGACTTCCACCAGCCTGGCACATAAGAGGCACCTCTGCCTGGAGCCTGGGGCCCACCCGCCCCCTCCTGGCAGCCAGGAGCAGGCTGGGCAGCCTTCGGGGTGGGGGCCTGGCCAAGCCTCAGCCCCCTTCCTGGGCTCCGGGGCTCCCGGGCTCTAGCAACCAGGCCTTCTCAAGTGGAGCTGCGGGCGGATTTGCTAACCCGAGCAAGACGCCACGTTGGAGGGAACCAAAGTCCGGGGCTGGGGCCAGCGCTGGCCAGGCAGCAGTGGCTGCTTCCCCAAAGCCCCTCTTCCTCCCCCAGGCCTGCTCCGTGAGTGGGGGCTACAGGGGGTGGTACCTCTTGTCCAGAGCCTGCATCTGATTCTGCTGCTGTGGGCCAGGGAGCTGTGAGGCAGAGACGTGGGCTGAGTGCAGCCGGTGCCTCGGACCCCGGGGGTTGTCGGGGTGCTGGGACTGGGCTGAGTGGGGCTTAGGGTCCAGGGAGGCGCTGCCCCCAGGCCTCGGGACACGCCCCACCTGGACGGCTTCCTTCTCAGGGGCTGAAACCGCCTGCCGCGCCTCCAGCTGCAGCCTCTTCAGCTGTGCGTCCTGCAGCTGCAGGCAGGCCCGCACCTGCAGCAGCTCCCGCAGCAGGCTCAGCGTGGCATGCTCGCAGCGGACCCTGTGTCCCCGCAGGGACGCCACCTCGGCCTGCAGGCTGGCCACCCTGCAGGGCAAGGAGCAGGCCGAGTCGGCCGTCTGTGTGGGGCAGCAGTCCTGACTGTGAGGCTCCCCCACCTGCCCCAGGGGCTCACCACTTCTCCAGCTGCTTCCAGTGCTTCGGGGTGCCCTGCTCTGGGTTGGATGCATCGGACGGCAGGTGGCTGCACGCATCCTTCTCTGAGACCTCCTCTGGGCTCAGGGACTCAGGGCTGGCCAACTCTTCCTCTAGGAGCCCCAGGTCCTCCGGGGCGACGGTGCTCAGCTGGGAGGGTGGTGAGGCCTCGGATGAGGGGCTGCTGTCTGTCCGCTCTACGAGAAGGTACCTTGGGGTTCGCCTTTGGGGCTGACGGGGGAGTTGCTCCCAGATGGACCCCAGACCCTGCCGCAGGCACCCGCTGTGCTCACCATGGCTCATCCCGCTGGGCCACACAGGAAGGGCTCACCGAGGGCTAAGGGAGGGCTCGGCGCTCACCGTCCACACAGGAAGCTCAGGCTCAGAGAGGTCCAGGCCCCACCTGAGGACACACAGCGCTGGACAGCAAGAGCGGGACGGTGCCTGCCAGCCCAAGGGCGGCCTGGGCTGTGAGGGGACCTGGGGGTCTCACGGGGCACAGAAGCTCTCACCTGGCGGTCCCCCCAGCTCCAGCCGCAACTCAGAGCTTCATCTGCAGCCCCGCTTGTGGTCGGCCTGCTGCCAGGAGGCCTGGGCCTCGCGCCCCACAGCGGCCCAGAGTCGGCCCCGGGCGTGGGGGTGAAGGGCGGTGGGGGGACGGTGGGGAGTCAGAGCCGGAAGCTCTGGGGTCGGGGGAGCACGTGGGGCGCAAAGAGGCTGCCCTGCCCTCACATCCCTCCTTCCGGGACAAAACCAAGGTTGGAGGGCAGCAGGGCTCTGCCGGAACCTTCTCCTCAGCAGAACCTCCTGACTTCACGGCCCAACTGCCGGTGGAACCCGAGCCCTCAGCTTCCCTGTCCCAGTGAGGCTGCCCCAACTGCCCACTCTTGGACAGCCCTGAGGGGATGCCCCTCTGCTGGTCGGGGGAGTGGCTGCCGGCCGCTGGGTCAGCCCGGGAGCCCCTAGCCCGGTGGGAAGGGCAGCCTGGAAGCGATCACCCGCCCTCTGGCCAGGGAGCCCGAGCGGGGAGGCTGGAGGCCAGGGCCATACTGAGCACAGGTGGGCGGCCAGGCCGGGGGCAACGGGGGCAATGGGGTGGGGTTGGGGCAGGCCACCCGGAGGGCACGGCCGTAGGGGAGGCGCAGCCCCGTGAGGAAGGGCAGGCCGAGTGGACCTGCAGCCTGCTCTAAGGGGATAATTAACATGCCCCCCGGCCCCTCACTCGACGTCAACGCCCAGCGATGGGGCGGTGCCCGCACTCTCCTCGCGCCTCAGCCTGCAGCCCGGTGCTGGGGGTGCCGCGTCAGGCTTCAGGCCCGTGTGGACACTCGGGGCCCCTCACACCACCCAGGTGGTCCCCCTCCCACTGTTGCCAGACCTGCCCACGAGGGATCGGGGGGCTTCCCTGTGACAAGCTGTGTCAAAGGGGACCCCTCCCCAGGGAGCCCGACGCCCTGCGGCCACATCACACACCCTGGAGGCCGGCAGGTGAGGGACAGGGTGGCACTGAGGGGCGGCACCCTGACCGAGCAGCCGTGGCCTGGGGGCCCCCATGTGTGGGGAGCGGGGCCGTGGTCAGGAGGAGGGAAGACTGCCTTCTCCAAGGGCTCTGTGATGTTCCCAAGAGCAACGTGAACGAGGATGTGGTGGCCAGGGCCCACTCTCCCTGGGGCATAGGGTGGCCCCAGGCACTTCCCCATCCAGGGGTCTCTGAGCCCCTCACCTGCATCCCCCACTCAAGAGGCGTCCCCGCTGGGGTATCCCCCACCTCCACCCCTGTGAGCCGGTGAATCCTGGGTGCTAGATCAGAGTCCACACTGGGGGGGATAAGGAGCTGACACCAGTCATCAGTACCATTCCTTTATTTCTCCCATTCAGATCCCCACACTCGGACGCCCATGCCCACCACAGAGCACTTCTCCACCAGGAAAAGAGCCACCTTCCAAGGGCCCACCCCCTTAAAAGGAGCTGAAACCCAGCTGGAGTGCCCACCCACCTATCACAGAGCCATCCATAGCTACTATCAGAGTGTGCCAGGGACGTCAGTCCCTGCAGAATAAAGGTCCCGTGGGGTCTCAGGGACACAGTATCCCAGCTCTGGGCCTGCCCAGCCTGGGAAGGGTGCGTCCCTGCTCTGGGCTCGCCGACTCATCCCAGAAATCCCCTGTCCCAGATACCGGAAGCAGAGCTGCTACCGAGTATCGCTCAGGGCCACTGGGGTTCCGTGTGCCAAGATCCGCCTTCCCAGCGACGTCCACAGGGGCGTGGTGACAGGTGTGATTGGACTCGGGGGTCCAGGCCTGCAGGAGGGTCTCAGCTCTCCCCCTGGGCCCAGACCCTGGCGCAAAGCCCACAGCACTGAGGGGGGCGAGGCCGGGGCTGCAGAAGTGAGTCTGGGAGTCCGGCTCTGGGGCCTGTGCTCCAGGATGGTCCCGCTCCCCGAGCCCTCGCCTCTGTGCCTGAAGCTCAGGTCTCTACCCAGACCCAAAACCTGACGGCCACCAACCAAGCCGAGGCCTGAGGGCCAGGGCCAGGGGCGTCTGCTGCAGCCGCTGGCGGCGCACAGGGTGCAGGCTTAGAAGCCAGCCCATCGTGGGGCTGCAGCACTCGGACCCAGGGGCCCCTGCTCGCCAGCTGTCCCCTCGCACACACGCGTGCTCATGGGCTCTTGGGAAGACAGCAGCAGTTGCACAGATTCCTGAAGAACCAGGAACAGGAGGCTGGGTGTGGGATTCCCGGGGTGAGGTTGGGGGATGGGACACTGAGAACAGAGCGCCCACGTGCGCCACACGCTGGCCGGGCCATCCCCAACGCCTCGTGGTCGCTGGATCTGCTGCCAGGGAGTGAGGTGGGGGCCCTGGGGGAGGTGCGGGCTCCAGGGCCTCACGTCTGGGCCAGAGAGAGCTCCTCCAGGCCCCCCTTTCCAAGCCGGTACCTGGCCAGGTCCTTCCTGGTCACCATCCCGACCACCTGAGGGAGCAGAGCCGGGTCATGAGGCACAGTGTCCCCTCCGTGGATGCCCCTACCCTGAGGATGGCACAGCCTGGGGGAGCCCTGGGGGCGGGCAGGCAGGCCAGGGGCAGCGGGCCCCCCTCACCTGATTGCAATTGTCCACCACCACCAGGTGCCGGAGGCCCAGGGCCCGGAACAGCTTGAACACCCGTGGCAGCGACGCCTCCTGCAACATGGACACGGCCTCAGCTCACCCGCCAGCCCTGCCCCACCCAGGAGGGGACGGGGCAGGATCCCGCCAACAGTACCTGGGGCACCGTGTAGGGCGAGGGATTCATGAACTCGGACAGGTCCATGGTGCACTCCCGCTCGTCCTGCGACACGTGGATGGACTGGATTGGGGGGAAGCGCGGGTAGGCATCGCGGAAGTCCTTCAGCCGCAGCCGGCGTCGCAGCAGGCCCATGCTGGAGCGCTCCACGAACACCTGCAGGAGGCGGGGTGGACGGTGGGGTGGGCGTCAGGCACTGGAGGCTGAGCCCAGGGCCCTGCCTGGCTCCCAGGCCACCTGATGCCCTACCTTGTGCTTCAGCAGGACGATGAGCTGCGAGCGCAGGATCAAGCCCTGGAGCCGAGCTGGCTGCACGAGAGACATCGTGTCTGCAGGAGCCCCGGGACCCACCCTGCCATTTGGGCTGCTGGCTGCCAGTGCCAGGACAACTGGGGGCTCCAGCCAGGCTCCCAGGTGATGCCGGCAGCCCACGGGCACTAGCCATACTGCAGGCACTTCCCCAGGCAGGCTTACTGGTCCCCAAATGCCAGAAAAGGTGGCAGGACCCAGAGCAAGAGGTGCTGAGAGATCGTTGTGTTTGTGGGGGCAAGCAGCAGACCCTAGCTCCTGGCCCCGATGCCGGAGGCAGCACGGCTGCATGTCCTGTCATGACCCTGACAGTCACAGCCCTGACTCCCCAGCTAGCGGTAGAGCCTGGGGTAGGACAAGACGCTAGAGCGCTTCAGTAACCACCCACACTGTGGAAACTGCGCTCATGGGCACGGCAGTGTGAGCAGTGGCTTCTACCAGAAACCCCAGAGCAAGACACCCCCCTTCATGGGAGCCCGCCCCCACTCGCCTCTCTGGCCAGCACAGGCGGCAGCCCGGCCTTCTGCGGGGGTTGGTACCTGCGTGCCGTCAGCGTCCTCCACCACGGGGAAGCCGTTGTGGTTGGACGCCGTGCTGCTCAGCACGTCCACGATGACGCCCACCTTCTCCCTCCTCCGCAGGCAGGTGACTGGTGTGCTCATCACCTCCCTGGGGAAGAGCCACACCGTGACCCACCACGTGGCTGACGAGGCCTCCCAGGGCGTCCAGCACCCGCCCAGCCTGCCGGCCTGCCCGGAGCGTACCTGGCGGTGAGTGAGTGCGAGGTGACGGGGGCCTCCCAGTGCAGGAAGGGCACGCTCTGCAGCTGGATGTGCATGTCGTACAGGCCCTGGGGAGAGCGGGCGCGGCCATGCACGAGGCTGCTGGGGACTGCCCCCACGGGCCCACCCTCACCGCGGCCGCCGACCCTCGGTTCCCCTGCCACACCTCAATGAAGACATCCCCCACAATCTTGGCGGTCATGAGCACCAGCATGATGGGGAAGCCGTAGGTCACGTTGCTGGTGGCCTCCATCATGATGACCGTCAGGCTCAGCGTCATCCTCACGATCCCACCTGCCCGGGGGAGTGGGAGGGCGAGACTGGGCGGGTGGGGCACCAGCCCCTGACAGTCCCCTGTGCAACACCCCGCCGTCCATCCAACCCCGTGGCCTGGCCCCCAGGCAGCACCAGATGGGGGTGGGGGAGGTGGGGGCCCTCCCAATCTCAGGACACCCACGTGGTGGCCAGCACTCACCCAGCTGGGCAGCAGCTCCCATTAGGGCATACTTGCCAGGGTCCGCCCAGACCTGCAGGGAAGACATGGGGTGCTGAGGGGCGTGGCAGTCCCGACCCAAACCCACCTAGGCCGCAATGACCACACTGCCCAGGAGCGAGTCCATGAGAGCGTCACCTGAGTCTGTGAACACGCTCACCATGCCTGCCCAGAGACAAATGAACCTGGTCGCCTGAGAGACGGGCATGCGCTATGCTGGGGTGGGGCCGGGTGTGGGCAGGAGTCCATGCACAAATACCTGGGCCACACCAGGGAGAGGAGAAAGGAGTGAAAACCTAACTTGTGCCACCGCACAGGCGAGCTGTGAAAACACGACGCTCACGATGGCCTGCCTGCACAGACGGATCACTGCAATAGCCAGCAGAGGCATGTCCACGGAGGCAGCAAGCTGACCAGGGCTGCCGGGGGCGGGGACACAAACGCGACTGCCTAACGCGGACAGGTGTCCTTCTGGGGTAACAAGAACACCCTGGAACTTGGTGGTGGTTGTGGTCACACAGCTCTGCGACACGCTGAGGAGCTACCCAACCATTCACTTCCCCAAAGTAGGAGTTTACAGGATGAAAGTCACCATGATGAAAGTCAAAACTGTGTCTGGAAGGAAACCTGGGACAACGACCTGAACCTGGCGAGGGGAGGCTCCCTGTACTCCTCTGACGGCTTTTTAAGGTCTTGTCTAAACGACCACGATACAGCTTGGAAGGTCCTCAGGATGAAGGCCAAGCCAGCCGGCGGCAGGCGGGAGGCAAGCAGGAGGCAGCGCCAGGGCTGAGGCCTGAGCTCCGCACCCCTAGACCCCGTCCCCCAACCCTGGACTCCTGAGCCCACCGAGCTCTCCCAGGGCTCCGGGTCCGGCTGCGGCTCGGCGGACCCGCACTCACCGCGGCCCCCGTGATGTAGGACAGGGAGATGCCGAAGAGCCGGCCCCAGGCGGCCCCGATAAGCAGGGACGGAATGAAGACGCCGGCCGACACCGTGAGCCCATAGGTCCAGCAGGCCAAGAAGAAGTAGACCAGGGTGAACAGGCCGAGCGTCACGGGGTTGTAGGAGCCTGTGAACAGGGCACTGGCCAGGGCCTGCCATGCGGACTCAACCCTGCATGCTGCTGCCCACCCAGTGGCCCGGCTAAGCCCCCGGTCACAGCCCACTCCCCGAGCCTCCCCGTCCTCAGAAGCCTGGTGCAGGGTTTCAGGGCCTGGCCCTCAGGCGCCAGCCTGGCTGCCCAAGGGGCGCGCAGAGGGGAGTGGGGACCCTGGGCTGCCACTGAAGGTGGGCAACAGCCAGAGCCGAGGCAGAGGGCTTGCAGACAGGCACCAAGCGGTCAGGACAGCCCCTCGCCCCCGGGGAACTGAGACCGCTGAACTGGAAGCAGGTCTGTGTCCAGCCTGAGCCCATCTGTCATCAGGAACATAAGACTGTGCGAGGCTCCGGTGCCAGAGAGCGCATCCCCAAGCTGTCTTCTGACCAAGTGACCCCCGTGGGCAGCGGCCAGGAGGGAAGCCCACCCTGGGAGGCGAGCCCGTCTGAACGAAGGATAGGACGGCCTCCAGGAAGAGAAGCAGACAGCGTGGGGAGCCTAGCCGGGCCCCCGGGCACTGGCTGCCAGCTGCAGGCCCTGATACAGCCAGCCCTGCAGCCCAGGGCAGAGGGCACAGGCCCACGTGAGGACAGGTAAACGACAGCTTGGAGCAGGAGCAAGCACCTGGGGGGTCGTGGAAAAGGCTGACCACACTTTTCTCTGGGGTGTTGAAGAAGGCCGCAGCCATCGAGTTGTACTCGCCATCAGCACAGAAGAGCTGCAAGGGGTGAGATTGGACGGGCCAGTGGGACGCGGTGGTCCCGGGCTGGACAGAGTCAGGCACAAGCACACACGAGGATCCAGCTGTGGTCTTGGAGAGGAGGCGGGGCCCGGGAGCTCGTGTCAGAAGCAGGCTCCCATGGTGCCTGGGTGGACGTCGGTGCCTGGCGTGTGCCAGGCCCAGCCCTCAGCCTGAGCAAGACTGCGTGCCCCTGGAGGCCTTAACGCGAGCGGGGGCTCCCAGCAGAGTGGCGCGTGTCCACCCCATGGCCCCAGCTTCAGGCCTAGACAGGCCTGTGTGTGTACTCCCCGTGGGTAACCGGCAAACAGCTCCCGTCTACGAAGGAGCCTGCTCTGGACGTTTCCCGTACACAGAACCATGCCACGTGTGGCCCTTCCTGTCTGGCTTCTCTGACGCAGCAGTGTGGGAGCGTCTGTTAGAGCTCAGCCCTCTCCACAGTGAGGGGACCCACTGTGTGTGTGAACCACCCGGTCCCTGCTTGTTGTGGGCGGGCACTGGGGCTGCGGTGAAACCTGCCATGGTGAGCATGGGCACACGGGTTTCCCCTGCACACCCACCACCCCACCTTGCAGACGCCATCAGCCCACCACTCCAGGAGGCCAGGTGAGACCCAGGCTGCGGTGCCCGCCCTCGTCTGGGGGCTTGCTGTGCCCCACCTCCCCCGGCTGCCTACCTGGAGGGGGTAAGACACGGAGCTCCCCCGCAGGGGCTGACAGTCCCGAGATGAGTAGATGAGCACGAAGGCGGCTGTGGCGGTGACAGCGGCGACCAGCGTGGCCTCGACCACCTGGAGGCAGGGCCGGTGGACGTACCTGGAGCGCACAGCCAGGCCAAGTGTGGGATGGCCAGCGGCCAGGGCAACGGGGCCCGCCACTCAGGAAGGCCGTCCTGGACGCCGCACCCATCTGCCTGCCCCCCACCAGGCTTCCTCCTGCTCTTGTCTGCCTCCCGGAGTGAAAGAGTGAGGAGAAAGGCCAAGACTCCGCCTCGGCCGCGAACACCAGAGGCCCCCGGGAAGGCTCTCCCAGCGACGCACCTCTGCTGGACCATGTGCGCCTGGTGGACGCCCCTGCAAACCTCCAAGGCTGACGCGGGGCCCGACGCGCCTCCTGCCAGGGCACACGTGCCCCGCCGCGTGGGGAGAAGCGCGCTGGGTACGGGGCTGCCGCGTGGCGAGAGCCCAGAGCGGGACTGTTTCTAGCGACCCCGTGCGGCCACACTTCTCCAAACTGATTACTCACCTGATTCGAAACATTGTCAGCCAGTAATTCAAGGCGTTGAACACAGCTCCGAGAATGCCCCCTGGGATGAGGAAGGAGCAAGTAGGTGTGTGGGACTCAGGGAAGGCTGCCAGGTGGCAGGGGGCCGGAGGGGATGCCCGAGGATGGAGGGCCCACCCATGAACTGAGTGAGAAAGCTGAGGAGCTGTCCCCAGCCAAGCAGAGCTCCGTCCCCCAGGGTGGGCTTCCCCCACCACCCGGGACAGCCAGCAGGGGTGGGACCATGAGCTTCTCTGGCTCCCGCAGCTGGGCCAGGCCTGAAGCCTGCGGCCGTCCTTACCCACCACGCCCATGGCGATGAAGATGGGGATCTCGTGGATCACGTACACCATGGTCTACGTGGAAAGGGAAGAGCAAGCGTCCATGAGCAAACCACTGGCCCCCGCGGAGACGAGGCTGGGCATGCCCGGGGGCCCTGTGCCTCTCTGCAGGGTGCAGACCCCAGGAGAGGAAACCCGGGCGCTTGGCAGACCAGACTGCCTGCCTCCTAGCAGGGAGGCTCTGGGGACGGCCCAGGCTTCTGCAAATGGGGAAGTGAGGAAACACGAAAGAGGGAGAGGACGCTGGTGACCCGCCTACCAGCAGCCCATCCACAGGCAAGGGCCAGCCACTGAGGACCTCTCGGCCTCCAGAAGCCACTGCAGGGCGCTGGCCATCAGCCTCAGTGATGCTGCCCGACAGCCTGTGGGCGCCTGAGCCCGGCTGAAGCACTGCTGGCTGATGGGCGCCCCACCTGCACGGCCAAGCGAGACACCCCCTCCCAGGGCAGCTCCAGCTCCAGCTGCAGCCCCAGCCCCACAGACAAGGGCTCCCCCATAGCTGCTCGGGCTGAGCCTCGAGTACACAGCCTGGCCCCCTCGAAGGAAGGCTGCAGGGCAAAGGGCACCACAGCGTGAACCTCAGTATCGAATCTTCCAAAGTTGATGAGCCCAGGGCTGGACAGGTCCCACGCGTTCCCGTGGTAAATGCTCAGGACGAAGTTCAAGGTGAAGGTGGAGATCATGGAGGCAAAGAACTGCAGGTGGAGAGATGCACGCTGTCAGCGCCGACGTGTCGCAGCAGGGGCACACGGCTGAGCCCCAGCAGGGTATGGCGGGGAGGGACCGGGCTGAGAGCTGCCCAGCCTCAGGAGGGGGCTGTGCCCGCACTCACGATTCTCCATGTCAGGAACTGGTTCCAGAAGGACGCACCTTCCTCCAAGCTGAACAGCACCCCACCTGGAAGAGCAGCCGCCAGCCCTGAGGTGCCCACCCCACCAGACAGCCCTGCACCCACAGCCACTCCCGCCCCCACCCCCAGGGCACCCAGCCCATGGCAGAGGGCCATCAGGGCTCTCGGGAGGCCCGCCCCACGCCCTCAGCAGCCGAGTCCCCAATACCAAGACCCTCCCTCCCCACAGCAGGGGCCGGCAGTGACCCCTCCTCACCCACGGGGGCCCCGAAGGCAGCGGACACTCCAGCTGCAGCTCCTGCCGAGACGAAGTCCCGCTTCTCCGTGTCTCTGCGAAAGTACTCAAAGATCTGGGCCAGGACAACAGAGAGGCCTCAGGCTGGGCCTCTGACGGCACTTCTCTCAGACTGGGGAAGGGGGCCCAGAGTGAGCGGGAGGGAAGGGGTGAGGGAGGGGAGAAGAGAGGGGAAAGGGACCCAAAGTGAGGGAGAGGGGGAGGAAGGGAAGGGGGAGGGGAGCGGAGGGGCTCAGCCATGGGGTCAGCTGGCAGGACTGCAGAGTGGGGTCTCGGGCAGACTTCTTGCCCACTGACATCCAGAGAAAACCGCCCACTCTGGCAGTGACCACACGCTGTGGTCTTTCCAGGAAGAACCAGCCCGCACACATGACCTTCCCGAGTTCTCTGGGCCACATTCCTGTGGACACTTCTCAGAGCTACAGGCCGTTTCCACACAGACACACAGCCCCGTGTGGAGCACCAAGCAACTGCACGCCCCACGGACCAGAGGCTAAGGCGATGGTGCTGCAGGGGAGGTGGGCCCGGCCTGGGCTGTGGCCTTGGGCACACGGGGGACTCACCTTGAAGTCCCGCTTCAGCGATGTGGACCTGCCCTGGGAGATGCCCGCGGCGATCACCGAGCCCGAGTGGATCATTGGCCCTTCCTGGAAGGCACAGACAGCGTGCTCTGGAGGTCAGCCCACCCCCATGGCCCCGGGGCAGGGGCAGGGGCGGGGGCGTAGGCTGGGGCGGCTGCATTCTGTTACCTTCCCCACGGCCAGTCCCCCCACCACCGACAGGATCACGCCAGACACTTTAATCACCAGGGTCTGGAACACAAAGGAAAAGATGCCAAAACTGATTAGAGGCCACATGTGGTCAAGAACTCAAGCGACAAACTGCACAGAGAGGAACCTCATCGTGAACCCCGGCAGGCAGAAGGCCAAAAGGCGACCAGCGTCCAGGGATGTGGGCTCGAGGCCCGCATTCCCCTGCCGCCCGTCTCCTCGGACCTTCCATCCCAGGCACTCACATCCACACAGGAGACACACAGAGCAGCTGTCGCTCTGTCCTCGGGCTTTGCTCTCTGCTCCCGAGAGAGACCAGACACCCCACTCCCTGGAGCACCCCATCCCCAGAAAGGGCAGGAGAGACATCGCCAGCAAACCCCTGGCCCAGGTCCACCAACCACCCCCTGGAAGTGCCCAGGAGTCGTCGTCCAAAGAAAGCTCCCATAAACCTGCCAGCACGTCCACACAGAGGCATGTCAGCAGCAGACAGCGCGGGTCTGGGCAAATGTCGGAGGCGAACGCGGGCAAACAGAACACTCCTAAGTCAGCACGGACACGTCCTGGGCTGAGCCCCGAGCCCCCAGGGGCCGCCTCGCACCTCACCTTGAGCCTGACCACGTGGGGGATCTTCACCCCGTTGAGGAAGCACTTGATCTGGGGGATCCCGCTGCCAGCGGCGACCGGCTGGAAGGAGAGGCAGCACTGAGCCCGCAGGCAGGGCGAGCCGCTGCCGCTGCCACCACACGCCCAAGAGGATGTGCCTGGCGGGGCCCAGGCCGCCGGGGGAGGCGGCTGCTCGCCTCTCCTGCTCCCACACAGAGTGACCACTGAGGGGAGCAAACGCCATGGGCATGGTGGTCCCGGTGGCCCCCTGGGCAGGAGGGGGTTCCTAGGACAGGGGGCCTGCTGAGGTGCCCGCACTCCTGCACGCCCAGGGGACCCTGGCTGTGCCCAGACGCTTCCAGACACGGCCCCAGCCTTCCCCCAATGCCCCCACAGGAAGGAGCGAAGGGGCACGGGGAGGAAAGTGGTCCCGGGGCACATGACCCCTTGGTGGGGCCCTCCACCGGCACACCTGCCGGCCGGGCTGCGGGGCCCGCCTACCTCTACGAAAGCAACGATGGCGGAGCCAAGGAGCACGAAGGCAGCGTTGAGCGCGGCCCACAGCAGGAGGGAGAAGGACAGCCCGCCGCGCTCAGTGAACCTGTCGATGTCTGCGGCTGTCAAGGGCCACGTGCTGTGGGGTCTCGGGGCACCACGTCCCAGGGGCTGCGCTCTGGCCTCCGGGGCACGGAATGGGCATCTCGGGGCCAGCGCACAGCCCCGCCCCAGACACGCAGCCCCGCCCCAGACACGCAGCCCCGCCCAGTCATGCTCCCCCGCCCACAGCAGAGCACGGCAGGGGCCCTCCTGCGAGTTCGCCGGCTTCCAGTGACCACGGACAGAGGATACTGTCCTTGACGAGCCTGTACTTGAGGCCGGCCAGCTTCTCCACCACGATGTCGATGAAGCAGGCCACAAGGCCTGTGAGGATGCCCACCATGGCGCAGATGACCCAGCGCTTGATTTCCACTGTCCGGAAGGCCTGCGGGACGTCATGGGTGGGCGTGGTCATCAGGGGCCACTCTGTGACCTCCATCGTGCACAGGCTCACCCTGCAGGCCCCCGGACCCTGAAGAGCAGCCCTAGCGGTGTCTCAGAGGCCGCGGAGCCCTGGGGGATGGACCCCCAACCAGGGCGAAACTGGATGCCGATGTTCCAGCCGCCATTCGAGAACACCCTCCTCAGAGGTGACAGCGTGACCCTGGCGTGGGCACCTGAGCCCAGCCGCGGGCAGCGCTCACCACAGGACGCCAGGTGGGGCGGGGGCGGGGAGGAGACGGAGGGAGGTGGCAGCGTCTCAGACAGACAGACAGACAGACAGACAGATGGACAGACGGACACACACACAGACACACACCACAGACACACACAGAGATACATAGACAAAGACACACAGACGCAGATGACAGACACAGAAACACAGACACAGACACAGAGACACTCCCCCACCCGCCGCGGGCTCACCGTGTGGTTGATACGTCGCTCCTCCTCCAGGAACAGCTGGTTCTCACTGTTGTCGTAGTCCAGGCTCTGCAGACCGGGCGGCAGACAGCGGTGAGCGACCCTGGCCCGCGGGTGCAGGGCGGCCACGCTGGGGGAGGGCGGGGCGCGGGGGGCCCACCTCGTACTTGAGGGACAGCAGCTTCTCGTTGTGTGGGATCTCCCTGGGGAAGGGGTGCGGGGGGTCCATGTCCTGCGGGGAATAGGCAGATCCTGGCAACCCGGCACGTGTCAGGACGCAGCAGCAAGAGGAGGGGGCCGTGCCCGCGTGCCCCGCGGGGCAGCGATTCTGAGCCCAAGGCCAGGCCAGGCACATGGCTGGGGGCAGAGACGCAGAACCTCTACAGGAGGTAGGCGGCCATGTCCCGCGACACCTGCCAGGCGGGTTATTCCAGGAACCAAGGTGGCCTGGCCCCAAAAAGCAAGATGGAAGGTGTCTGTGGCACGATGGGACACCCGCTGTGGGTGCTCGTCCACGTTCTGGCTCTGGCCCCAGACACCTGGCTTCTCTGAGTGATGACAAAGTCTGGGCTGTGAGACGGCCGGGCTGGGACTAGAAAACCATTGCAGGACCAGCGGGCTGGAGATGCAGCTGATCTCCAATGGGCAGGGGTCAACCAGTCCTGCTCACGTGATGGACCTTCACTCAAACCCCATGTGGAGGGGTCAGGGAGCTTCTGGCCGGTGAATGTGGAGGGCTGGGAGGGGGCTCCCGGGGAGGGTGTGGGGCTCCACACCCCTTCCCACACCTTCCCTGGGCATCTCCCCCATCTGGCTGTTCCTGAGTTGTGTCCTTTGTGGTAAACCAGTAACATAAGCAAAGTGCTCCCCTGAGTTCTGCGAGTCATTCTGGCAAGTTATGGAACCAAGGGATCATGGGAACCCTGATTTACACTGGTCAATGGAAGCACAGGTGACGGCCTGGACCGGTGTGGGAGGGGGTTGTTTCATGGGACCGAGCCCCTCAGCCTGTGGGTCTGTGATGCAGTTAGGGTCAGAAGGAACTGACCTGCAGAACACTCAGGGGGTGTCTGGACAATCAGAAGGTGACTTGGTGTAAAAGTAGAAACAGTTCAATACTGTTTCAATAAAGGACCAAATCCACAGAGAACACCTCAAAGACACAGAAAAAATGACAGAACTCAACAGAAGACCTCAGGGGCCCTCCCCCACTTGATCATGCTGCCTGTGAAGACCCACACACAACAGCACGCTCAGGGGTGAGAGACTGAGACTCGTCCTCTGAGACCAGGACAGGATGAGGATGCCTGCTCGGGCACCTCTGCTCAGCTCGGTCCTGGAGGCGCTACCAGGGCCATCAGGCAAGAGAGAAAGAGAAAGGCACTCAGGTCAGGAAGGAAGAAGTGAAACACTTCTTTGCAGATGACATGGTCTGTTATGTAGAAAACCCCAGAAAGTACTCTTAAAAAAAATATTTCCATGTTCCTGCAATGAACAATCCAAAGAGAAATTAAGAAAACAACTGCATTTACTACAGTATAAAAAATAAGACTCTACAAAATAAAACTTACTCCTAGAAAGCACTTAACAAAGGAAGTGAAGATCTGTACGCTAGGAACTATGAGCCATTGTTTAAAAAGAAAACAGAAGACCTAAACAGACGAGAAGCCATGCTGAGCCCGTGGAGCGGAAGACTAGATGTGAAGAGGCGCCGCCGCCTCTGTCTAGACTCCCGCAGGAGCTTCTGAAGAAGCGTATGAGCTGAGCCTGAACCCCACATGGAAACACACAAGGGATCTTGAACAGCCAAAACCTCTTTCAGGAAATGAACAAATTGGGATGACTCAAACTTCCTATTTCTGAAACTTCCTACAAAGCTACAGGCGTCAGGGGAGTGTCGCCCAGGCACACGGACGGGCTAAGAGCCCAGAAACAATCCTGTCACAGCAACTGACCTTCAATGATGGTGCCGAGACAACTCAACAGGGAAAGCACTATCTTTTTAGGAAGCGGTGCTGGGAAAACTGGGCAACCACGTGCAAAGAACGAAGCTGGACCCTTATCTTACATCATGGACAAAACGAGTGAAAAGCGGGTCAAAGATCTAAACTGCAGAACATGAAAGACGGGAGTGAATGCTTATGACCTTGGCCTGGGTGGTGGTTTCTTACCTATCACATCCAAAGCACAAGCAACAAAAAACAAACCAAATGGACTCCGTCAAAATTAGCAGTGTTTGTGTTTCAAAGGACACCAGCAGAAAGTGAGGAGACCAGTGATGGGCCAGGAGGAAATTCCTGCAGGTCCTGCAACTGACAAGCAAGGTGTGTCTGCAGTGTACAAAGACCTCTCAGAACTCAGTCACAGAAACAGAAACCACCTGGTTAAGAAACGTGACAGGACCCAGAAGTCCTCCAAAAGACACGAAGGCCGTGCAGTGCCAGCAGCCTCTGGGGGAGCCAGGCTGACTCCCGAGGGGGTCAACAGCACGTCTAGGGAGGGGTCTCAGGGAAATGCTGGAAACTGCTGGGTTCTTCAACCCCTGAAACAGGGGCAGGAGAAGTGACACCACCCAGGTCCAAGGGCCCAGCACCCTGAGATGCCCTCCCCCGGGCCAGCACGGACCCCGTGCCTGCCCCTCCCGGGCCACACACAGCAGCTCGCTCCTGAAATGCGTGCCCCCACCTGCGCTCATCATCTCGGCCTTGGGGACGGGGTCCCGCAGGGCAGCCCCCCCGGTGGCCCCTGTCTGCACAGCACTGTCACCGCCTGCCATCCTCCCATTTGGCATTCTCCGTCCGCCCTCTGCCAGGCTGCGGCTCCACAGAGCGGGCCTGGCTGTCTGGGGCGGGGCGGGAAGGGGCCTGGTTGAGCAGGATCCCACTCACAGGGTCCAGAAGCTCATCGTCCAGCTCCACGCTGCTCAACTGTCCGATCCGGAAGAATGCCGAGTGTGGTGACTGGAAGCAGAAGAGAACCACAGGCCGCTCAGCTGCGGGCCGGGCTGCACCGGCATCACCCCCGGCCCCGGCCCCAGCGTCCTGGCCTCTCAGGGGAGCACAGACCCACACCCGCGTGTGGGAGACGCCAGTGGGGCCAGCGCTGCCCCCAGGCCCGGCCCGGGACCCGCAGCCTGTCCCATCCCCGGGGTCCTCCTGGGCCGCCCCTCCTGTCCTGGGAAACCCAGGGGATTGAGCCCCTCCTCCAGGAGCCCTTCACCCCACAACCCCCGCCACCCGCAGAGGCCCCATCTCTGTCCCCCCATCACGACATGAGCCGTTCCACCAGGTGGGCCCGTCACAGGCCTCCCCACGACCACCCCACCCAGACACGCAGTCAGAGAAGCGTCCTTTCTGGGGCAGGACATTCTGAAGCAAGGTGCGCTCCTGGGCCCAGGACAGGTCAATCGCAGAGGACAGTCACCCTGGCACGTGCCCACCCTCACACCCAGCGCCGGGCACAGCACATGTGAGCACCGAGAAACAAAGCACAGGCCGCCCACAGGCGCACCTCCGGCAACGAGCCCCCTGCAGGACAGAGGGACACAGCGTGAAGTGCGACCCGGGGCTCCCGGCACGCTCGGGCGCCCTGCCTCTCCTCTGCAAGAACCACGAAGCACTTCAGAACAAGGGCCGCAGGCCCGCCACGCGGGAGCCCAGAGCACACAGGGACTCCAGCAGGAAGGCATGAACTCAGCAGCATGCCCAGCCACCAGCAGTACTGGCCCCATGCTGAGACCACAGCTGCGGAGGCCGGGGCAGAGAAACGTTCTCTCAGCTCTGCGGACCCAAGTGCTGGCAGGGAGCACGCCCGCGCAGGGTCGGGGACGACGGCCCTGCCCCCTCCCGGCAACCCCTCGGCTGTGGTCACATCACTCCAACCTCTGCTCAGTTGCCACCAGCCTCCTGTGTGTGGACACGGATAGGTAAGCACACGTGGGTGTGCACACGCGGGGGGTGTGCACGCCTGTTTTATGTGTCCCCCTCTCCTATGAGGACACCAGCCTGACCACACTGGGACCTGACCTCAGCTGCCAAGGCCCCACACAGGCTCCAGGCTGGGGGGACCCCCTGGGGGCACTGCTCCCCCATGACAGGTAACCTGTTAGGCGTGCTCACGAGCCCACCATCCTGCTCCAGCCGCTCTCCTCCAAGTATAAATAGCAAACATCAGTACAATGGGAGTGAACAAAGAAACACAACTGCTTTCTTTTCTAAAAGCAATTGACAACACCCTCAAAACTGCTGACCCTGATGAGGAAGGCAGGAGGGCCTGCCCTGCTGGCTCAGAAAGGACTCGACTTCACAGGCGGGGCCCGAGCTGGCTGCAGCCTGTAATCCCCACACAGACACACGTCACCGGAGCACACACTGGGGACTTCTCTATTGAGGAGATGGGGTGCAGAGATAGGCAGAGCTCAAAGTCGGATTCTGAAAGCAGCAGGAAAGACCCAGCTGCCCTCCAACCCAACAAGTGGAGCCGCGGAGCCACGCAGAGGGGGCACGAGCGTCAGTGCCACCGACGGAGCGCACCGCCAGTCGCTCCCGCTGAGCTGTCGGCCCACAGAGCAGCTCCCCTGCCAGCTCAACAGCCCCCGAGTGCCTGCCTGCAACCGCGCGGCCTGGGGAGAGGCGGGCACTCCCCCCCGGGAGCCGCCAGGCGAGCACATGGGGGCACCAGGGAGCTGTGGTCAGCCCCGGACGTGGGCTCCTGCGGGGATGGAGCCCCCGCTGCGGCTCCTGGCTGCACCCCCGCTTCAGCGCCCTTGGGTTTTCATCGCCTCTTCCCCAAACTCCACAGGCATCTCACAAACGGATTATCTTTTGTGATGAAAAAGCTGTTTACTGGATGTATGGTGACTTGTTCTTTCTCTTTTCTTACACCCAAGCTAACTGCTGGCGTTTCCCCAAACTGCTGATGCACACGACAACCTGGCTGAAACCTCCAGGCTTCTGAAAGGACTGAAACCTTCCACTTCATGTGGCTCCCCTGACCCGACATGCTTGGAACGCCAGTCCTGAGGGAGAGCAGGCAAGGGGTGGGCAGTGGCTGTAAGAGGCAGGATGCGGGCACTTATGCCACATGTGACGGCAGAGCGCTGTGCACACACACTGTGCCAACGTCAGCGCCGTTTCGGCATGGTACTGCCCCGGGGGTGCAGCACACGGGCCCTCTTGTACTGTCTTTTCAACTTCCTGTAAATCCACAATTAATTAAGAATTTATATGCAAATGGGACTATATCAAAGTGAACTTCCGTGCATCAAAGGAAACGATGAACAGAGGAAAAAAAAGTAGCCCCACAGAATGGAACTCCTGCAGCCTGACAGCAATGAACGAGTAGACTAAGAAGACTGGCCACAGGGCTTGGGGCATGAAGATCTAAACCACAGTGCGATGCCACCTCACACGTGTGAGGGCGGCCAGGATCGAAAATAAAGTAACAAGCGCTGGTGAGGACGTGCCGGAACCAGACCCCGTGTGCTGCTGCTGGGTGCGTAAAATGGAGCAGCTGTTGCGGACAACAGGACAGTGGTTCTTCAAAAGATTAAAAATAGAATTACCTCACGATCCAGGAATTCCACCTCTGGGTACAGACCCAAATGACGAGAAAACGGGGTCTCAAAGAGGTGAGTGTACACCCACACTCAAGCAGCATCGTTTACAGTAGCCAAGGGATGGAAGCAACCCAGCTACCCACTGGAAGATGCGTGTACAAGCCTAATGTCCATCCACACAGCGCAGCGCTGTTCTGCCTTGGAAAGGAGGAGATCCTGTCACGTGCCACAGCACGCACAGACCTGGAGGCACCAAGAGAAAGAAGCCAGCCACAAAACAACAAACGCCGCATGACACCGCTGCTCGAGACACCACACAGACAGCAGACCGGCCTTTGCCAGGGCTGGGGAGGGCTGGGGAGTCGGGGTTCACAGGCGGCAGAGGTTCGGTCTGGGCAGACGAGAACATCCTGGACATGCTGGTGGTCTTACAAGTGGACTGTATATGCTTAGTCACGGTTAAGGTGGTTAACTGTGCTATGTACCTTTAGCATCATTAAAATAAACGGCAAACAGTTTACTGGTCTGCGCATCCCTGCCCTCTGCTTTCAACCTCCCTCAGCCCGAAGCCCCCCGGCCCCAAGCACTGAGGACAGGCACAGGGCCTCTGTCACCAGGGGCTGAACAATCAGAAAAACCAGGCTGCCCATAAACAAAGTCAGCGTAAACCGTGAGGAAGGCTTTGAGGGTGACGCCAGGGTCCAGTAGCGGCGGGGGAGGCGGCATCGGGCTGAGACCTGACAGAAGACGCTGGGGGATGGGAACAGCCCCATCGTGGCCTTGCTGTCCGAGTACGGCCGCCTCCGCACAGGGGGCCTCCCAGACGCCCTGACCAGCTCTGGACCCACCTTGTCCTCACCTCTCCTGCACGGTTCAGCTATACCCACGTCCTCTGCCTCCCAGACTCTGAGCCGCCCGCACCAGCCCTGGGCAGGGGCTATTGCAGGCCTGGGGGAGACAGGGGAGGGAGGAGGCCTTCAGGGAGGGCACCAGGGTGGCTGGCCTGCACCCTGTGATGTGGGGCCAGAGCAGCTGGAAGGGGAGGAGGACAGCACGCGGACACCGAGGCAGGGGGACTTCCCGCTGACACTCGCCCCAGCCCGGAGCTGCTGCCGGCTCAGGCTTCCCTCTGTGAGTCCTCAGAAGCCTCCGCTTCCTGCTGCCCACCCTCTGCCCACACACATGACTATGACTTGCTGGCTGACGCCACCTCCCCTGCCCCAGGGGTGGACAGGCAGCAACTTGCCTTCACCCCACACTCGGGCACGACGGGCCGAGGACCAGAGAGAGGGAAGAGCAGTTCCAAATAGCCTGGTTCCCGAGAGATGGGGTTAAGCTCAGGGTGCCCCATAGCCCATCCTGCCTAGGACAGCCCAGAGCGGCCACCCCACAGTGCCTGGCAGGTTCCCACGCCGGGTGCACCAGACTCCGGTTGGGGATGCCCTGCAGTAAACCCTGTGGCGCTGGGCTGTCACTTCAGTTCAGACGGCCCTGTTCCGAGAACAGCTTCCAAGTGTGCTGCGGTGAACTCAGCCCACCGGTCCAGAACTGCCCCTCCTGCAAGATGGCTGGCCTTGAGGGGCTGAGTCAGCAGCAGGGGAGTTGCACCAGGAACGGCAACCCAAAGACCACCAGAGCCGAACTGCTGTTTCTAACACCCCTGGGAGTGACCAGTGTTGACAGCCTCATGATAGGTGGCTGGGGGCTGGACACAGGTGACCCTCCTTGCCAGCAAGGAGCCTGCACACTTGTCTCTGCTGGTGCAGTGCGGAGCTCCTGCACTGATGCCTCCGGTGACCCCTAGCCCCTCCACCTGCCCACCCCAGGCTGTCTGAGCATCCTTCAAGGCTGGAGCCTCCAGCTTCCTGAGGATTCTCCACAAGTTAAAAACATCTGGAAGCCCGCAGCTGTCCCCTGCGGGTCCATCCTGGCTCCTTCCCCAGCCCCACCACCCACTCCAATTTGCTTCCCAAATGTACTCTCCCTTTCTCTCTCCCCTCTGTCTACTGGCCCAAGGATCATGCAGGCTTCAAGACTGGACCCAAGGTGACCTCTCCTGTCCTTGGGGCCCCTCACGCAGTCCTCCTAGAGCACTAGGCCTGTTCTTCCTGGAGTTGGAGCCAGTGGCAAGGGAGCTGCGCTATTCACCTGTGTGCAGCTGGGGCACACAGCAGATGCACCACACTTTATTTTCAAATTGCTTAAGAGCAACCGATCACTTATCACTAAACACAAATGAAAAACAAAAAAGCTTGTAAAGGTTTTTTACAGGGGAATGAGTTTCAAGGAAGAGTCAACAGGTTAAGAAACGAAAAAAAAAAAAAAAAAGGCCAACTCCTGTGCCTACGCTAAGGAGAACTGAGAAACCCCAGCACATTGAGTCCTGAAATAAACTCCCAATTCCATCTGGAAGCTTTCAATCACTTTACCTGTCAGCCCTTAGGGCCAATTTCATATTTACAGTTTGTAGATTTCAGATCACTTTCTTTTAAAGAGAAGAAAAGAAACAAACATTTTGAGAAGAAAAGAACAAAACAGCCCTGTCTCCTAGCAGATCAAAAACCACTGCAAGTCAGCCTCTTTAGGTCACTTCTCATGTGGACAGACAGCACTTGAGCAGAACACCTCATTCACGGAGCAGACTGTGACCCTCGCTGTCGGAGGCATCTCTGGGGGACCGGGGGACCCTAAAGATAAGTTCTAGGGGGACAGCCCCATGCTTGTGTCCTTCCTCATTAAACACCACACAAGGGTGTAAAGGACACATCTAGGACACAGTGAGAAAAAAGAAAGGGGAAGAAAAGTCACAAAACAGAGTAAGGCCGCACAATCAACTCAAAATTAACACAACACACAAGAACTGACTTAAGTGACACAGACTTCTGTGCTGACTCGCAGGGCACATTTTGACCACTTGGACTTGTCTTCCTGCATCTGGCTGTGCTTGCATTCCAATGAACAGCTGTAGGAAAACCGAACGCACTTTCCTGTCATTCCTAAGATCGGCCTGAAACCACTGCGTCTAAAGGGGGCCGGCCGAGTACCCAAGGTATTCCCACTGCAAAAGCAAACTCCGCGACCTAAGCTCTTGAAACGTCCTTCCTAGTGGATCAAAAATGACCCGGTAAAAATAGTACCTCGTATTTAATAAAACAAAACCAAAAAGTAATGGGTGACCTGAGCAGCAAACCACCCGCCTTCTCTTTACAACCGCTGTGGAGCAAACAGGGAGGAAACAGCTTCGCTCTGCCGGGGCTCGACCGCAGCGGCCGGGCTCCACCGGGGACGAGGGGCCGGCCCCGCGATCCCTCGAGTCCAGAACCGTGGGGCCCGGCTTCCGAGCCTGCCCGGCCGTCCGCCCGGCGTTCCGAGCACCGACTAGCCGCGTCCCCGGCCCCCGGCCCCCGCGAGCGCGGCGCGGACCCTGCCCGGCCCGCTTGTCCCCGGCTCACCGCGCGGGCGGCAGCGGGCCCGGCCCCGTTCAGCAGGGGCGCCGCCTCCCCGGCCGGCGCCCCAGGCCGCGCCGCCCTCCGCAGCAGCGGCGCCGCCTCGTCGTCGTCCAGGTCGCGGCCGGACCACGACACCTTCTTGGAGACGTTGGCCATGTCCCGCCGCAGTGGACCGGCCGCCGGCGCCGCGGCCGTGTTTGTTCTCGTGACCCGCGCCGCCTCCACGTGACGGTCGTCCTGGTCACGTGGCCCCACCGGCACCCACGTGACCCAACGGCGCCGCGGGGCGCGCGCGGCCTTCTGGGAGTTGCAGTCCCGCCGCCCGGCGCCGGCTGGGCGGGGCGGAGAGCGAGCCGGCTCCACGGCGAGTCCGCACAGCGGTGCATACAGACCCGCCTCTCGGGACAGGTCCCCACGCAGCAAACGGTTGTGCTGAGGACACACCATGACCCTGTGGCCTTCCTGCAGAAAACGCTGCACTGAGCGCATCACACGGGGAAAATCCAGTTGAACCCCAATTTCGGGACACGTGCCAGCTAGACAGCTCTTCCTGCAGTGTCAGCGTCCACCCAGAAACACCGAGGAACACCGAGAGACCGCCCTGGACGACAGGAGATTGACAGCCGGGCAACCGAGGCTGCTCGTGGGCCTGGCATCTGGGGGACAATTGGCAAAGATCAAACAGGCACTGTGCATTAGGTAGGGGTGTTACTGCGGCGCCCAAACCTGGGGCGTGATCTTCGTCTGGGTGTCATATCAGAAAAGCCCATTTCTTCTGGAGACAGCACTGAGATATTCAGGGATGTGATGTGATGTCTGCAGTGTAGTCTCAGGTGATTCACAAGCTAATGGTAATCACAGTATGTAGTTACCCACAGAGGGAGAAAGCAAGCTGGTGGGATGTTAGCACGGATGAAACCAAGGTAAATACACCTGTGCCTCGTATTCTTCTTGTAACTTTTTTCTTTAAGTTTGAAGCTTGTCAAAATAAAGACATTTTAGAAGTTATTTATAAGCTTCTCCCACATGTTTCAAGATAAAACCAAAACTGAAACCAAAATACGAGGAAGGAAGCCCAACAGGATTGTAAGTTTTCCCCATGATTGCAAAAGATGTGACCTGGCTTTGCCCTTTTGCCGGGTAAGAACAATCATGTGCCAGCCCTGTCTGTGAAGGGAGGCCTGGAGGCTACAGAGTGAAGCTGGCTCAGGCTCCGAGGAATGGTGGGGCTGGTTCTCGACTAGAGGGAGTGGGTGAGTGCAGGTTGTATGAAGCCCAGGCCTGTGGAGAGCTGCACAGAGCGATGGGGAAGTGAGAACAGGCCTGGGGATGAGGGGTCCAGAGGGGAGGCCCCTCTGCATTCTTCCGTCCTCCCTACCCAGGAACGCAGCGGACTTAGTTCAGAGGTGGGGTTGATAGGATTCGAGCTGGGTGTGGCTCCCGTCACTCACCCATCGGGGATCCCCGTGACTTGCTCAGCCTCCTCTGCCCCAAAGCCAAGACGGGTTCCCCTACATTCCTTGGTGGAAAGCCCAGCCTTGCCCAAATGCCTAACGACCTGAGTTCCCACCAATCTCCCCTACAAACACCTTCCTAGACAGGTCTGCCCTCCTGGAGAGGCCCCACCAAGCACCCGGATGCAGGGCAGCAGACAGCCCACTGCCACGCTACCTCTACCAAACGCCCACCGTTTCAGCATCTGTGAACACTGGGCAGAAATGCTGCTGTGAAAGTTAACGGACGATGCTGTTATAACAGGTGTTTGTAACATGCCTAAAAGCTGCGGAGGGGGGGAAACGGCCTGCGTGTTCTCTCAATGCTGGCGACCCAGCTGTCCCTAAAGAAAGACTTCCTAATCAAATTAGTCTTTCCCCAGAAGATGTCATCTCTCCCTCCTCAACAGTGCAATGCAGCCAGGGCTACAGAAAAGGCCAGAGGAGCCTGGGAAAGAAGAGACTGAGATGGGCAGCTCTCTGTGAAGATGGACACGCCCTGGGGAAGTGCCAGGGGAAGCAGAACTCTGTGGTTCCGGGATCTTCCTGTGGCCACCCAGGGGGGTTTCCAGACCTGGGATTCATCCTCTGACCTTGACTCATGGATGGCTGGGGAATGGGCTGGGAAGGGGGAGGGGAGGTGGCTGGCTAGACTGGCTAAAGGCCTGGGATCACAACTAAGAGGCCCCAGGGACTGATTTCAGCCCCCCACCCCGACCCCCGCCTCCCGCCCACGGAGCAGGCCTGTTTCCAGACTTAGTGATTCTAAGCTTTTCTGACAGATGAACAGACGTGCCGGCCGCCCCCACCACACACACCCCAACGCTGCTGTTTTCCGCGCCTACAGATTGACTTTCAGGTTCTGAGATCTTGCAAGGATTAATTTACATCACAGTGATTCTTTTTCTTTTTTTTCTCCTGGGCTGAGTCCTAACCACTGAAGTGCCAGGGAATTCCCCACACCTGTTCTGTCAATGAATTTTTTTTTTTTTAACTTGCCACGATTCAAAATTCTAAAAAAAAAAAAAAGAGAGCTGTTAAAAACAATACCCAGTATTGGCACGAATGTGGAGTTATGGCAACCATCATAGAATGCCGGCGGGGATGTAAAACAATGCAGTCACTTTGGAAAACAATTTGGTGGTTTTTTTGAAAGTTTAAACATGATTTTATCATTTAACCCAGGAATTCCGCTGTTAGGTATCCGCTCAAGAGAAATAGAAATGTGTGTCTACACAAGGACTCAGAGGAGGGTGTGCACAGCGGCTTCATTCACAGGGGCCCCCAACTGGAAACCACCCAAGTTTCCAACGACTGATGAATGGATAAACAAAACATGGGTCATTATGACAGAAGGTCATTCAGCTACACAATGGAATGCAGCAGACAGACGCTACAACACAGACGAACCTGGAAAGCACGATGCCCGGTGAGAGAAGCCAGACGCTGAGGACCACACAGTGAAGGAGTCCATTTATGTGAAACGTGCAGAACAGGCAAACCCACAGGGACCGAGAGCAGGAGAGTGGGTGCGGAGCTGGGGGAGGGGCTGTGTGGGGACAGGAGTGACCCTAACAGGCATGAGGTCCTTATGGGGCGGGGGGAACAATGGAAATCCTAAAGCTGGATCATGGTGATGGTTGCAAACTTGGCAGATTGACTACAAATCTTCGAACTCTACACTTAGAATGGGTGAATTTCGTAGTATGCAAAAGCATTGCCCGTCCTTAATGTGTGTTTCTGAGTAGCCTGTTTCCTTTGCAAGCCCCCTTCCCAGCAGCTCTGGTAGTCTCATCAGCTGTGTCACAGAACCTTGATGGACCCCCAGGGTGAAGGAGCTGCAGGGCCAGGAAATGGACTCTCCGGCCCTTCTCATGAGAGATGTTGGAACAGGGAACAGACAAACAGAAACTCTCACAAGCCTCATGAAGAGAGGACCATGGCAGCTAACACAAGGAAAAGAGTTTTCCAGGAACCAGCCTGTGGCTGCCGCAAACCCACACCCAGGAAGCGTGGAGCTAGAGCCCAGCACCGTCCCGTGACCGATCAGTTATGCTGAAATGATGTCATACTACAAAGTGGGGTGTTTGTGAGAACACTGCAGTGAAGGGGAGAATGCAGTCCTGGGGGCCCTGAGGCCCGGCTCTGCCTGTGCCGGCCCCGCACCCGCCCCCCATGGAATGCCCACCTCCTGTGTTAGAGGGCAGGTGAGCCTGGTCCAGGTCAGGGGCAGCAGCCTGCCCCTCAGTCTGAGTAGGGGCTCTCTATGGACTGTGCAGGGTTTGGGGGTGCCACCGTGTGAGCGCCACTGCTGTCTGTGCGGTGAGCCCTCAAGGACACAGCTGTAGGCAGGTGCAGTTCACCCTCTGCACGAATCCGCCCACCGATGTGGCATTGGCCAGTGTCAGGATGGCACCTGTCGGGAGCGCCTTCCCCATGGCCAGGTTCGAAACCTCCCCAGGGACCAGCACGCGGTCCCATATGGCCAGGCCTGCCATGCTCCCCACAAAGGCCTCCGAGCTGTCAAACCCGCCCCCCACGCGGTCTTGCTCCTGGCCTAGCACGAGGGACCCTCCTGGGGGGATCTCGTACCCCTCCCTGAAGCGGGAGCCGGTGGCCACGAGCCTTCGGTCCACGTGGAGCCAGTACCTGCCCAGGATGGACGTCCAGATGACACACATGTGGTGCCACTGGCCATCGAGCAGTGGCTGGAGGGGCAGCTCCCTGAAGGCCGGGTCTCCGATCACAAAGTGGACAGAGCCAGGGGCCAGGGAGTCGCGGCCGTGCAGAACCAGCTTGTTGTCGTTTTCCTCAGTGGCGTAGGACAGGAGGGTGCCCAGGTGGTCTGCGGCCGTGCGGACCCAGCTGCAGATGGACAGGGCCCGCAGACCCGTGAGGAAACTGGGGCGGAGGAAGCCCACATTCGCAGTGGAGGAGTTTGGGAAGATGAGCGCAGGGCCCACGTTGCAAACTAGAAACAGATGAGGGAGGGGAGTCAGCCTGCGTCTCGGGGGCGGCGCCTCACTTGTCCTCACGTGTCCTCACGTGACCTGTGCCGTCTCCCAGATGGCAGGACTGATGCCAGGGCACCTGGCCAGCCGTGATCCTCACAGCAGGGAGCCCCGGATGAGTGTCTCGTGGCTGCTGGGACAAACCCCCCACAAATGCAGCAGCTCAAAACAAAACCCAAAGTTAGCATCTCACAGTCTGGATGTCAGAAGTCCCCACAGGTCTCTCTGAGCTGAAGATCACGGTGTGGGTGGGGCTGGTTCCTCTGGAGGCTCCAGGGAGTAGCCCTTCGCTGCCCTCTGACCTCTGCTCCTGCCTCACATTGCTGTCCCAGATGCTGAGCCCCCTGTCTCCCTCTCCTGAGGACCCTGGGATGAGGTCGGATCAGCTCCCATCTCAGGGAGCTGGATGGACTTCACATTAGAAAGTCCTCTTGCCACATGAGGTGACGCAGCCACAAGGGCTGGGGCCAGGACGTGGGCATCTTTGGTGGCATCATCCTGCTGACCAGACTTCCTCCCAAATCTGCCTGAAGGAGGGTGGGTGGGGGGGGGGGAGCCTGCATTTCTAGCTCCAGGGTAGAAGCAGGGGCTCCTGTCATGATCCAGGGCAGCGGTTCTCAACGGACATGCCTGTGTGTCTGGGGAACATCCAACAACACCTGCAGACAGTTTTGGCTGTCAGGACTTTGGGGGTCCCCAAACTTACAGCCCCGCTTTCCTGGGAGCCCTGTTGATTCCCTGCAGGTCAGCCAATCAGCTCAGTCTTACTGGTGAGGCCCCCATAGCCATGAAGATGGAGGGAGACCTGCTCCAGACTAATGGGCCCTGAGGGCTGCAAGGCCAGACTGGGAGCAGCCGGGCCACAGCTGAGAGTTCAAGGCGGGTGGAGGCCAGAGAGGTGCCGAACACCTCTTGGTGCCCTGGAGGCCCCTACAACTGGGGACAACCCGACCCCAGGTGCCCCTGGTGGAGAACCCTAAGATGGCGATGAGAAGCGACAGAGGCCAGGGGCCCTCCACGAGTGGGCACAGACCACACGGGCTACAGACCGGGGCCCCGGCCCTGCAGGAAGGATCCTGCTGGTGACAGCTGAAGATGCCAGCCCTGACCCGTGTGATCACCAACGCTGAGTGGGGATTTACTGCCCGCGGGCAGCACCCCACTCGTGGGTGTGCCAGGCGGCCTGATCTGCAGGCAGGCCATCTCCTGGGTGGTTCCTTTCTTCAAAGGTGGGGTGTGTGGGGGTATGAGGGACTGAGGGCTAAGCAGGCCCCCAAGGGAGAGGTGGAGAGTGATGGGGGCGGGCAGGTGTGGTGCTTACCCTCGCCTGGGCTCTTGGGGGGCCACGCCTGTTGGTTGCCTAGACCCAGGGGCTCTTGTGCTCCCTGAAGATGGTGAGCGAAGTCTGGAGGTGGGTCCCGGGGCTCAGACGGAGCTCTGGATGCCTGCCTGCCCCCCTGCAGCTGCAGGGCGCTCCAGTTCAACGGCCTAGATGGGGCCAGGGTTACCTTTGGGGCAGCGGGGCTGGGGCCGGCCACACGCAGCTGGCCCTCAAGAGCGGCCAGCCTGGTGCCCTGGCTCTGGACGAGGGGCGTCAGGCGGAGCAGTGTGTCCTGCAGGGCCTGCACGTCCCGGGCCAGGCCGGAGATAGCAGCCCCCTGTGTCTCCTGCTCCCGGGCGCACCGTGCGCTGCCCTCGCTCACGGCGGCACTCAAGGCCAGCAGCCTGCGGTCCGCCTTCCGGCCTCGGCGCTGCGTCCTCCGCACCCAGGTCTGGAGGTGGCCCAGCTCGCCCTGCATGGCCACCTGCGACTGGTTGAGCACCAGGGCCACGGCCTGGCTCTCACGGGCCAGGCTCCGGAACCGGGCCTCAACGTCGAAGGACAGGTTGTAGTGGCTGGCGATGCCCTGCAGGTGCGTCAGGGTCACCTCTTGGAACCTCTGAAACTGCGGAGAGGACACAGGTGGCCCCGGGGGCTTGGTCTTCAGGGCAGCTCGGTGAGGTGCCTGACCTCCGCCACCAGCTCCCCCGCGCCGAGCTCGCAGCTGCAGGACGACCCCAGGCCTGCGCTGCAGGGGGCGAGGGCCCCCGGGCGGCTCCCACCCCTTCCTGCAGCCACTCTCTTCACTCCCCTGGTGAGGGCGGGCTGCTTGTGTGGGGATCAAAGTGGGGAGGGCTTGGGCTCCTAAGAGCCGGCCGTGGCCCCACACAGGAGTCTCTGCTCCATGGGGGACCTGAGACCCGGCGCCCCAAGGCCCAGCAGGCCCCAGCACACCTGTGGGTACCCTCCTCGGAGTCACCCCAAGCCTGCCCACCCTCACACACAGCTGGCTTATCTTCAGAAGGAGCCCACCAAACCTGTTTTGCTATTTCAACCACAGGTGAAAAGTCAGCCCATAAAAACTGCAAACTCCACTTTGAGCTCACAGAGCACAGAAACTTAGCATTGTTTCTGCATCATCTCTGCTTCACCTGCTGTCAATTAAAAACCTCTACCGTCCCAGACAATAGGTACACTTACCTGCTCTTCTAGTCTACGGAGCCTCTCAAAAAATGGTTTTCGTTGCCCCACAGGGCTGGTTGCTTGCGACAAAGTTCCATGTAGATATATGTGCAGAAGGATGAGCAAGAAAGGCAGGGTTCTTCCCGTCGGGCTGCCCATGCTGAGAAGGGGCGAGAGGCGCCCTGAATGCAGGAGGACGGTCTGCTTGGAGCTGGGCCTTCACTAGTCTCGCTCGCCTCTCCCGGGGGTGGCTTCCCTTCTTCCCCTCTGGCGGGTAGTCAGGTGCCTCCCACCACCTTGATGAGAGGCATTCGCTCTGGAGACTTGAGGTTTCCAAGGACACAGGCTGAAAACAGATGCAGTGTCTTTGGAAAATAGGCCTACTGGGTACAAGGCCTAGTCCAACTGGCTTGGATTCGGGCAGGGTGATTGCTTTAGCAGGAGCACACGGACTCATGTTCCCACCAGAGAAGTGGAGGTAGCCCAGGGACTCTGGCAGGGGCAGGGGCTCCTTAGAGCCGTCTGCCGTGCACAGCGGATCCAGATCCATGAGGCCCCTCCCTCGCCCGTGGAGGAGGGAATAGAAACAGAATTGGGAGCTGCGTTAATTCATCTCAGGCCTTGGGCTGTGAAGTGGGCTGAGTGGTAGGTCCCAGCCTAATCCTGGTGCCTGCAAATGAGAGCTTATTTGGGAAAAGGGTCTTTGCAAATACAATTAAGTATCTTGAGATGAGGTCATCTTGGATCATCCGTCTGAGTCCCAAGTCCAAGGATAAGTGTCCTGAGACTGAGAGGAGACACGCAGGGGAGAGGGCTGTGTGAGGCGGAGGCCAAGGTTGGGGTGGAGCTGCCCCAGGAACACAAGGAGCTGGGGGCGGGTCGGGGGGGTGAGGACCCTCCCAGGAGCCTCGGGGGCAACGTGGTCCTGCCAACACCCTGATCTCCAACTTCCGGGCTCCAGGGCTGCCAGGGAAAGTGTGGCTGTTGTTTTAAGCTCCCCTATTTGTGGTCATTGGTTACAGCAGCCCCAGGAGACAACACAGGCCGCCTGCCTAAGTGAACGGGCGGTAGAGACCTCATTCCAGGGCCAGGTCCATGGCCAGTGTTGACCCAGTGAAGGGAGCGGGAGAAAACCACGGTCAAGGCGGAGACTTCCGGGTGAACAAGGCGCCGGGCACAGAAACTGGTCTCCTCTCTCTCCCCAGGGTCACTCTGATGGCAGCCAAGGGACACAGGCTGGAGGAGCCACAGGGCAAGAGAAGAGTTGCAGCAGCTGCCCCGGGGAGCAGAGGAAGGGGCAGAGAGAGGACCCGGGCGGGCAGGGAGCGGGTCTGTGTCCTGGGGCTGCTGCACCCCGTGACTACCCTGGGGGGCGGGCACAGGAGTTCATTCTCCCCCGGCTCTGGCAGCCGGAATCCTGCGCTGGAGGGGTCAGCAGGCCCACCCTGGATCCAAAGGCTCTCAGGGAGGATCCCCCTGCCGCTCCCAGGGCAGCCTCGCCCCAGTCCCAGCTCCGTCTTCACAAGGCCTTCTCCCCCGTGTGTCTCTCCTGTCCAACAAGGACACCAGTCATTGGATCTAGGGCCCACCCGGATAATCCAGGGTGATCTGATCTCGAGATCCGAAACTTGGTTACATCCACAAAGACCCTTTTTCCAAATAAGTTCACATTTATAAACACGGGGCTTAGGACTTGGATATGTTTCTTGGAGGCTACCATTCAGTCCATTACAGGGAGGTTTGAGGGGTTGGGGGCTGTCCAGGGATGGTAGGGGGCTGGGGCAGTGTGCAGACTGGAGAGAAGAGACTCTTGTCAGTCTGAATACAGAATTGCCTGCCCCCTGCCTCCTCCCTCATCTGCTGCGCTGGGTGGCTGCTCCTGCCTAACAGCCCAGCCCCAGGACGTGGTCAGCTGGTTCTCTGAAGCCGTGATGTCCAATCCCCCATCCCATGAGGCTAGCCTGGGTGGAGATCCACTGCAGGTATAAAATGCACCCTGGATCCCAGGATTTAGTATAAAAAAGGAATGAGAAATGCTTCCTCAATCATCAGATTTTATGTATGATTATATGTTGAAATGGTAATAATATTTTGGATGGACTAGGTTAAATAAAATAATGTTTTAAAAATTAATTTCAACTGTTTCTACTTTTTAGTAAGACTACTAAAATATTCAAAATTAAATATGGAGCTCATGTCATTGTTTGACTGGACAGTGTCACCTTGGAGAAAGACTCTGGGTTTGGGGGCCCCCAGGCAGAAACAGGGGTTTTCCTTTGACTCTCTTTTCATCATCCATTCTTTAAAAAAAAAAAATGGTGGAAAAAATATATATCATAAAATGCACTCATTTTAAGGGTGAAACTAACAACATGGTATTGAAGTAAATATCTACCTATTGGACTGTGGGAGTCTGAGGGTTCTGCCAGCTTCTGGAGAGCAGCAGACAGGGACCTTCCCCAGGCACCTGCCCCCAGGCAGGAGGAAGGAGGAAGCTTCTTCAGTCCAGGCAGAAAACCTGCTCTTACTACCATCATGGGCAAGAGCTTCCTGCACTCCACCAAATGAACTTCCAACCACAGGGTAGACAGAAATCTGCCCAAACAGAAAAGGAACCAGGAGACAATGCAGAGGGACAAGGAAAGGCTCAAAAGTAATCTAAAGAACACCTTCAGAAAGACAAGAAAAGCTTTGTGTCCACAAGGCAAGAAATGGATGCTGTGGGAAAAGGAATAATCGGAAAGGAAGAAGCTGCTCCTGGAAATGAAAAGCACAATTTTCCAAGATACAAAGAAGTAATAAAGTAAAATGTAAATAAATAAATAAGTAGAATAGAAAAATTAAAAGGCAAAGTTAAAGCAGTTGGTCAGAAAGTAGGCAGAAAGGCAAAGGGATGGAAAAGAAGAGCCAAACACTGGATTGATCTCAGTCCAGTGAACAGACACTACAGAGCGTCAGACTAAAGGGAAGAGAGGAAGGAATCACTAGGAGGGTAATCTGTGAAGCTGCTGCAGACAAGGGCATCCGCCGTTTGAAGACCTCGTGGCAGAGAGCCCCGGGCCAAGGGACAACTACAAGGCTCATCTTTAAGTGTCAGACGCCACAGATGAGAAGAAGATTCTCAAAGTGTCAGAGGAAAAAACCTGGGCACCTGTGGACTGAGGCTCCCCCAGAGGGCTGTTGGTCACCTCAGCAGCAAGGCTGGCTGCCAAAGACAGGGGGCAAAACTTGAGGACTCTGAATGAAATGATTCTCACTTAAAACTGAGCAGGGCTTCCCTGGTGGTCCACTGGTTAAGAATCCATCTCGCAGCTCAAGGGACACCATCTGATCCCTGGTCCGGGAAGATCCCACATGCCCTGAGCAACTATTGAGTCAGGATTCTGGAGCCCAAGAGGTGCAACCACTGAAATCAGCCCACCCAGAGCCTGTGCCCCACAATGAGAGAAGAAGCCGCCGCAGTGAGAAGCCTGCACAATGCAACAGAGAGCAGCCCCTGTTCAAGGCAACCAGAAAAAGCCTGAGTGCAGCATCGCAGGATGTAAATAAATCTTGAACGAAACAGAGCAGTTGGAGAGGCCAGTTAGCTCAGATGGTTAGAGAATAATACTGATAAATTGTGTATCTATGGGGAGGGAGGTGGGAGGGGGGCTCAGAATGGGGAACACAAGTAAATCCATGGCTGATTCATGTCAATGTATGGCAAAAACCACTACAATATTGTAAAGTAATTAGCTTCCAACTAATAAAGATAAATGGAAAAAAATTGTGTATCTATTAATAGCTCAAATGTGAATCTACCTGGAGCAAAGAATAAAATCATTTTTCAGATATGCAAAGGGTTAAGAAATTTATCCTCTGTGCCATCTCTTGAGACGTTACTGAGTGACAGGATTCAGAAAAATGTGGGGATAGAGGGAGAAGGAAGCAGCTGTAGGAGCCAGGACTGAGAGCTGTAGCCCAGAAGCTGCATGTGAGGAAGTGGCAGAGAGTCCCAGCAAGGCAGCATCCTCTCCTCCTCCCTCCTCCGCACCCACATCCAACCCATCTGGTCTCCCCCAGGCGAGCCCCTTCTCATCCCCTGACCCCTGGCTGTTCTCGCACCAGCTGCCTCTCTGGGCTTTCGGTATCCACGGTTGCCCCCTACCGTCCACTCTCCTAACTGCACCCTGGGTGGACCCCACTTGATGCAAGTGTAAGAGGAAAGTGAAAAAGTTGGCTTAAAACTCAACATTTATGTATGGAAAGAGTAACATGGAAACTTACGTTACCATATGTAAAACAGATAGCCCACAGGAATTTGCTGTGTGGCTCAGGAAACTCAAACAGGGGCTCTGTATCAACCTAGAGCGGTGGGATGGGGAGGGAGATTCAAAAGGGAGGGGATATATATGTATACTTACAGCTGATTCATACTGAGGTTTGATAGAAAACAACAAAATTCTGTAAAGCAATTATCCTTCAATTAAAAAATAAATAAATTTTTAAAATATTTGATTTAGACTCACAAAAAACAAAAACTCAACATTCAGAAAACTAAGATCATGGCCTCCAGTCCCATCACTTCGTGGCAAATAGATGGGGAAACAACGGAAAAAGTGAGAGACTTTTATTTTCTTGGGCTCCAAAATCACTGCAGATGGTGACTGCAGCCATGAAATTAAAAGACGCTTGCTCCTTGGAAGAAAAGCCATGACCAACCTAGACAGTATATTAAAAAGCAGAGACATTACTTTGTTGACAAAGGTCGGTCTAGTCAAAGCTATGGTTTTTCTAGTAAGTCACGTATGGTTGTTAAGAGTTGGATTATAAAGAAAGCTGAGCACTGAAGAATAGATGCTTTTGAACTGTGGTGTTGGAGAAGACTCGTGAGAGTCCCTTGGACTGCAAGGAGATCCAACCAGTCAATATTCATTAGAAGAACTGATGCAGAAGCTGAAACTGCAATCCTTTGGCCACCTGACGCAAAGAACTGACTCATTTGGAAAGACCCTGATGATGGGAAAGATTGAAGGCAGGAGGAAACGGGATCAACAGAGGATGAGATGGTTGGAATGCATCACCGACTCGATGGACAGGAGTTTGAGTAAACTCCGGGAGTTGGTGATGGACAGGGAAGCCTCATGTGCTGCAGTCCATGGGGTCGCAAACAGTTGGACACAACTGAGCAACTGAACTGGCTCTTAGGGCAATCATTTTCTTACCCTGCCCAATTTTTCTTACCACTATTTGCTATCTGATATATTGTACTATTAATTCTATGGCCACCTGATGTGAAGAGCTGACTCATTGGAAAAGACTCTGATGCTGGCAAAGATTGAAGGGAAAAGAGAAGAGGGAAGCAGAGCTTGAGATGGTTAGATAGCATCATTGACTCAATGGACATGAATCTGAGCAAACTCTGGGAGATACCGAAGGACAGAGGAGCCTGGGGTCACAGAGTCAGGCATGACTTAGTGGCTGAAAGACGATAACAACTATTGTACCTGTACTTTACTGTCTCCTTGACAATGTGAACACAAACTTTGCTTCAGTCTCTGCCCTACAAGAGTGCCTTCTGGCGCAGCAGGCATTCAGTTGACGTGTGTTGAATTTATAACTGTTTCCCAGGTTTCCCTTCAACACCCACTGGGCTGAAGATCTTGCCAGGACTTCGCCACTCCCCAAGGTCACCATAGGACGTTCTGCCAAGATAGAAGGTCGTTTATCTGTGCTGTGAGTTGTGGCAGGTGGCTATCTAGCCCTTGACACGTGGACAGTGCGACCAAGGAACTGGCCTGGTGGCTGGGGGCTACTGTGCTGAATGTTGCCGCCCCTCCCCCAGGATACCCATCAGCACCCGAAGTCACCTCCGTTGCGACTGCTTCCTAGTCCGGGCCCTGCCTCAAGGCGGGCGGCGAGGCCGCACACGGGATCAGGGCTCAATAGGAGCTTATGTGTAGGGTGCGCACGTGTGGGCTCAGGAGAGAAACGGGGCTCTCGGGCGGAGGGAGGGAGGGAGGAGGTCACCCCGGGAAGATGCTCGCGGTGGCAGAGCGAGGTCCGGCAGGCGCAAAGCAGCTAGGTTCCGAGACACGTGCGGCTCAGCACAGAGAAAACCGCCCCGCCCACCACAAGCCCCGCCCACTAGGACACGCCACGCCCCCGCGCCCCCGCAGGCGCAGATGCGTCCCACGCCTCTTCCGGCTCGCCAGTTGGCGGCAGATTCGTCACGGGCAACCTGCGGGAACCCTCGTCCGGAGCTCAGATATTCAGCGCCATCTCTTTAGGCCCCGAGAGTCCTTGCTGTGCGGCTACGTGAGCTGGGCTTCGAACTGAGCGCTGAGCGGGCCTCGGGGGCCGTGGCGAATCGGCGACCGGTCGGCACTGGCGGAGCGAGCGGTGCCGTGGCGCACCACTGCAACTCGGCGGGCTCGAGGGTACGCCCCTCCCGGCGATCCCGGTCCTTCTTGACGCCCCTTCTGCCCCGAGACCCCTGCGCGTCCCAACGCCCCGTCCGGCTCCCCGAGAGCCCCGCCGGCCCCACGTGGCCCCTGCCCGCTGCGCCACTAGGTGGGCTCAGGGCGCCTGCCGGGGCGCGGCCGCCGAGCCGGGCGGTCGCTGGCGGCTCTGCACGCCGCGAGTGGGGAACCCGCGTGCGCCGGGCCGAGCGGGGAGGCCCAGGCTTGGGGGGACACTCCGTGGGTCCCGATCTAATGGCTGGGTGCACTGGTGTTAGACAGGTGCCGACCTCATGGCGCTCGTGCTGCAGGGGCGCCTGGCCCTACTGTCACTATCAGTGATGCTGATGGCTTCTGGGCAGGGAGGGGGCTTGGCAGGGTGAATCGCAGGTGGGCCTCCCAGACTCAGCACCGTTGACATCTGGGTGTGGATTCTTCCCTGTGGTGAGGCTGTCCTGCGCCCAACATGTGGGATGTTTACCAGCGTCCCTGGCTCCCACCACACTAGGGACGAAAAAGTAGCCGCCCCCAGTGTGACAGATAAAGGAGGCCCCAGACACGGGTTCCTGCGGCCTGGGCACCCTGCTGCAGAGCCTCAGGCCAAGGAATGGCTCTTGGTGGAGAAAGCCACAGCTGCTGAGGGGAGGGGAGGATACTGCTGGGTGCCAGCAGGGGTGAAGGGCAGCCGGGTCCTGCTGGCCTGAGGGTGGGCTTCCTGAGAGTGTGTGAAAAACTCTCCCTTATCCGAGACCGAGTCCCATGTGGAGGATGACGGCCCCTGGGACTTCTCACGCACCTTTCCTGTGAACCCCAGGATGGATCCTGTGGCCTCTGCTGTCCGCCTGGAAGTCCAGGAGGCTGTTCACATCCTTTCTTCATCTGAGGATGGGGGCCATATCGTCTCCACGCTGCAGTCCCTGAGGCGGTACCTTGGTGAAACGGAGACCCAAGCCCCCCCTGGGGAGCAGGAGGAGTTTAGCAGGACCCACTTTTCCACTGTTCTCAGATGTCTGGTTGGCAAGCTGAGCCCTGACTGGCTGGACCTGCTGCCTGATGGCCAGTTGGAGGAGCTGTGGGCCAGCTTCTTCCTGGAGGGCCCAGCTGACCAAGCCTTCCTGGTGCTGATGGAGTCCATTGAGGGTGCTGCCAGGTGAGTGGGGCTGGCTCTGATTATGGAGTCGCTTGTAACATCTGGAGGATTTCGAGCCAGTGGGTTCTCCAAATTATGTGACAGTTCGGCATCCTGGGAAGTGAGAAAGTAAACGCAGGGCATGTTGGAACGCTGAACTAAAAGAGGGTTGTGTTAATCTCTGCAACGGACAGGCCCTCTGTACTGCCGTGTGGGCGAGGGGGTCGCAGGAGTGGTCACACCGGTGGCCGGGCGGGCCCATGGGACAGCTCCCAGCTTAAGTGGTCTAAGCAGGCAGTGGGGCGTGGCCATCCTCCGGGGGAGCCCTCTCCTTCACTCTGTGGCTCCCAGCTCATCGTGAGGCACCCCAGCAAACCCCCTCCCTCGGCATCAAGCGCCCTGAGGGGATGCTGGTTTAGGTTCCCTGCGGTGGGATGGGAGGGGGCGTGTCCAGGGATCCCAAGGTATGGAGGATGCTCAGGAAGTGAGGCTGCTCACACCTGCTCTCGGTTCAGCCCCAGCTTTCGTCTGATGAAGATGGCGCGGCTGCTGGCCAGGTTCCTGAGTGCAGGCAGGATGGCCGCTGTGATGGAGGAGCAGTGTGGGCAGCAGGCGGGGCCGGCCTCCTGCCTGCTCCAGGAGACCCTTCTCACCAGGGTGGTGGGCCTTCCTGATCGCCTGGGCAACCGTCTGCAGCGAGAGACACTGGCCGCCTTCTTCCCTCAGAACTACTTCCCTCTGCTGGGCGAGGAGGTCCTGCGGGTGCTGCAGGCTGTGGTGGACTCTCTCCGAGGTGAGGGCCCCTCTTCTGACAGCCTCCTTGGGCCGGCGTCTGCTCTGTCCTGCCCACCCTATCTGGCCTCCAGGGACTCTGCCACCTCTGGGCAGTGCCACGGGCAGGTCGGACGTTATGGTCTGTCTGGGGCCGCAGCAACCCACCTGTGAAGTTTTGGCCCGGCTCGCCTTGCCGTGGAGATGGAACTGGCCCTATAGTCCTTGTGTGTGTGTCTGGCCCCCCCACTCAGAATAAGGGAACGTCTGAGGTCTGGAAACTAAAGAGCAGTGATGTGAAGAGGGTCCATCTGAGGTGGCTGCCGGCCGAGGTCCCCGTGTCCCTGTCCTTGCGGGTGGAGGGCCTCGGGTCTCTGGCGGGTGGGGGCAGTGCTGGGGGCCAACTCTGAGGGAGCTTTCGGTGCCCAGGGCAATGGGGGCGGCATCCTGCCCACCCTCTCTGGAGCAGCAGGAGCCTGGCTTCTCCACCGGTGTGGTCCTGTGGTCTGGGAGCCAGTAGAAGCTGGGGTCGGGTCAGTCCAAGTGAGGGTGGGCATTGGCCCTCCCCACAGTGAGGCCGTTTTTCCCTGCGGCCTGGCCCCTGCGCTGCCCCAGCCCTGGCGGGAGACCCTCACCTCGCCCTCCCATCTTGTCTGAACTGAGCAGCTGAGTGATGCTGTCACCCTAAGCCTAGCTTAGGACCTCCCGGCAGCTCACCCCGCCCCTTCCCAGCTCGGCCCCGCCCACTCCCAGCCCCGCCCCGCCCCCACAGCTCGGCCCCGCCCCCTCACGGCTCTGGAGCAGCTCTGGCCTCAGGCGCCGCTTTTCTGGGCCGCTTCCCGGTCACTGTCTCGCCCTGTTTAGTATCACAGCCGCCATCTCGACCTCAGGAGTGGTTAGAGTGGCCCCTGTCCTGCTGTCTGACTTTCCCTCTGGCGTGAGCTGCCATCCCGGACTTGTGTCCACAGCTGACCTGGTCCTCACGGGTCTGTTGAGAGAAATGGACCTGAGTGTTGGGTCCTTGGGGCCGAACTGTCTGGAACACATCTCCTCCCCCCCGGCCCTCCCGCTGTGTGGCCGGGTTGAATTCACTCCCGGACGCCCGTCCGCAGATCGCAGGTGCCGTGTTCCCCTCGCGTGCGGGGCTGTCTGTCTCCTGCTTGGTCCTGTCACGCGGCTCTTCCAGGGCAGCTGCGGCCTCTCCCAGCGCCACACGTGGTCCCTGCTTTGTGGGGTCACCGTAACGATGAAGCAAGTGAACATGATGCTTTTTGATGTTATTTTCACTGGCTCTTTGACTTGGAAACAGTGCTGGCGGGGCTGGAGTTAGACTGAACGAGTTGGCGGTTTTACAGTGCGGGATCCCCCTGCCAGGAGCCAGGTCTGTCCCTGCGAGAGCGGGTGCACACAGGTGGTCTCACCGCCGCCTCCTCCCATCCCAGGTGGCTTGGACTGCTCCGTCTCCTTTCTGTCTCAGGTCCTGGGCAAAGCCTGCGTCCACGGGAGACAGAGTGAGTGTCCCTCCTGTGGGAGAGGCTGCGACGTGTCCCGGGAGGGGCGATGCGCTCGTCTGGGCTTGGCCCTGCTGGGTGGGGCTTGGCTGCAGCCACTGGACTCCCCATGGGCCCCGGGCTCAGGGCACCCTTCTCTTCTCCTCAGAGGAGGTCCTGGGCGTGCTGGTGCCCCGGTTGACGGTGCTGACCCAGGGCAACTGCCTCTGGCAGCGGGTCTGCTGGCGCCTGGTGGAGTGTGTGCCCGACCGGGCCATGGAGGCCGTGCTGAAGGGGCTCGTGGAGGCTGCCCCGGGGTAAGAAGCGAGGCATCTTCCTGCTGCAGACGCTCCTCTCCCAGAAGGGCGGGTGGTGGGGATCCAGAGGGCGCCTGGCCTGCCCGTCTCTGTGTGGTCAGCGCCATGGCATCTGGGTGGGAGCCCCTTCGTCTGGTGACTGGTCCTTTCTTGGAGTTCAGTCATGCAAACGCCCATCCCTCCTCACTCCTGGTGGCCGAGTCAGGCCCCTCTGTCTGCACCTCTGTCTTCTCTGCACCGGAAGGTCCCTGTGCTCAGAAAACTGAAGTCCTGCAGGAGGGTGCTAGGCCCGCGGCTCCATCCTGCCTGGTGACCGTGCCCGGGGGCTCTCATGGAAGCCACGGGAGAGTGCTGGAGAGTGCTGGTCTCTCACTTGAAGGAAGCAGGGGTCTCTTCGTCTAGATCAGAGACTGCAAACTACAGCCTTAGTGGCGCACAGCACACAGCCATGCTCAGTCGTGGACCTACCTGCCGTGGCTGCTCCCGGCTGTGGCATCTACAGAACCCAGTGGGCCATGTGCCTGGCCCTGCCCAGAGAAAGCTGGCTGCCCTGCCTGAATGGAACATTTCACCTGGACCCGTCGGGGCAGGGAGGGATGTCCTCTGTGTCCAGCACTGGGCTCCCCAGTCTCCACAGTTACTGGGAGGAGGGAGGGTTGGCACCGACTTGCGGCTGGGGTGCCTCCCCAGCTCCCCAGTGGTCAGCGTGGATCCGGGGAATTCAGAGCCCTGCTTTTCCCTCTCACCCCGCCACACCTCACAGGCCAGAGGTCCTCTCGCGGCTGCTGGGGAACCTGGTGACAAAGAGCAAGAAGGCCCAGTTTGTGATGACGCGGAAGCTGCTGTTCCTTCAGTACAGCTGCTCGGTGAGGGCCGGCAGGGCGGGACCTGTGCTCGGCTCCCTGGCCCCTCCTGCCCCCGGGCTCCCTGGCCGGGCAGGCGGTGTGTCTGCAGACGGTGATGTGAGCCTGGCTGTGTTGCAGACGCCCATGCTGCAGAGCCTGCTGGGGTATCTGGCCATGGACAGCCAGCGGCGCCCGCTCCTCATGCAGGTAAGGGACCCTTGACCCCCAGGGAGTGTGTTCCTGCCGGGGGTGGAGGGCGCTGGCCGGAGCCTCTTGGGGGCTGGCAGGGACACTGTGAGGAAGGGGTGGGGTGTCTGACAGGCTGCACCCGCCGCCCGCCAGGCGCTGAAGGAGCTCCTGGAGACGTGGGGCAGCAGCAGCGCCATCCGCCATGCGCCCCTGGAGCAGCAGTGCTACGTCAGCAAGGCCGCGCTCATCTGCCTGGCGCACCTGGGGGAGGCGGAGCTCCGGGCCTGCCGGGACGGTGAGTGCCCGGGACGCCCCATCCCCCACTCTGACACCCCCACCCCGCCCCCAGCTCAGCCCTGTGGCTCGGTGCTTCCAGAGCTGCTGGCCAGCCTGATGGACGGAGTGAAGAATCGCCTGGACAGCAGCCTGCCCGCCGTGCGCCGCCTGGGCATGACTGTGGCCGAGGTGGCCAGTGCCCGGCTGCATCCCGAGGGTCCTCCCCTGAAGTTCCAGGTGAGCACAGGCGCTGCCCGCTGGGCCCTCCCAGAGCCACTGTCACTCCTGCCCGTCACTGCCCGCTGGGCCCTCCCAGAGCCGCCGTCACTCCCACCTGTCACTGCCTGCCCATCTCTCCTGCCCGTCACTGCCTGCTGGGCCCTCCCAGAGCCACCATCTCTCCCGCCCGTCACTGCCCGCTGGGCCCTCCCAGAGCCACCGTCACTCCCACCCGTCACTGCCTGCCCATCTCTCCTGCCTGTCACTGCCCGCCTGCCGGGGTCCAGAACACGGAGCATCTGTGCCCTGGTGTCCCTGCACGAGCCGCCAGGGGACTCTCAGGACAGAGCTCTCAGGCCCCTTCATCCACCAAGCCCCCGGACATCCTGGCAGATGAGGCCCCATCTGACCCGTCCCTGGGAATGCCCAGACCCTCCAGCCCCTGGTGCCACCCTCTGCAGAGGAAAACCTAGTTGCTCTTGAGGGGCAGCTGGCTGGCTGGCCATGGAGACCTCAAGCTGTGACGGGGGCTTCAGAGGGTCCCCACAGTGCTGCCCCTGCTGCACCCGTCCCGCCGACTCCAGCTCATCTGCATTGCAGTATGAAGAGGACGAATTGACCCGAGAGATATTGGCCTTGGCTGCGCCCTGGCCCGCGCCTCACGGCCCCTCGGAGGCAGGGTGAGGGTCCCATTCGGAGCTCTGGGCATGGTGGGCCCAGCAGGTGGCTCCTTCACACCTGCTACTCCTGACCAGTCCTGGCTGAGACCGAAGCTGAGATGCAGGCAGGGGCATAGCGAGTGTTCCCCAGGAGGCGCGGGTTCTGGGATGAGTCTCGCAGGGCAGCCCTGAGGGTTCCTTTTTTGTTTCCAAAGCCCGCCTGTGGCTCCCGTCGATGGGGAGTCTCCTGACCAAGAGACGGTGGATGGTGGTAGCCCCCAGGCTGGGCGGGAGGGCTCTGACTCCGAGCTGGACAGGTAGGGGCGGCCTCACGAGGGAGGGCGTGAGGGCCCTGGCAGGACCATCTCGGGATGTGGGCCCCGCGGCGCTGGCTCCCTCTGTCCCTCGAGTCCTCCTCCCACGGGGAAATCAGCCCACAGGCTCTGGGGGATGCAGGACCGGTGGGACCGAGTGCCTGTGCGTCCTCCTCAGTGATGACGAGCTGGTCCCCTACGACATGTCGGGGGACGGGGAGCAGAGGAACAGCAAGACGCCCGCGTACGTGCGGGACTGCCTGGAAGGTGCGTCCTCTGCGTCCCGGGTCCCCCGCCCCCTGCCCAGCCTGCCCACCTGCCCCGCCTTACTCGGGCTGTGGGGGCCTCTCTGCAGCTCTGACCGCATCTGAGGACTGGGAGCGCTGGGAGGCGGCCCTGCAGGCCCTGGAAGGCCTGGTGCTCAAGAGCCCAGCTGCCACCCGGGAGGTGAGCATGCAGGCCAGACAGGTGTCGGCAGGGAGCGCCCGGGCCTCTGCTGGGGTGGGGGCAGTGGTGGGGCCCTTATGATCATGCATCTTGACCCCGTGGGCAGGTGAGCCTGGAGCTGGCCAAGGTGCTGCTGCACCTGGAGGAGAAGACGGCCGTAGCGGGGTTCGAGGGGCTGCGCCAGAGGGCGCTGGTGGCCGTCACAGTCACGGACCCGGCACGGGTGAGTCCCCGCGCTGTGTGGAGCATGGGTCGTGGCCCCGATGGGGGCTGCGCAGGGGGCCCCCTCTGGGGTCGTGGCCCTCAGCCGCCTCCTGCCCGCCCGGCCTAGGTGGCGGAGTACCTGGCCATGCAGTTCTATGCCCTCAACTACAGTCTCCGGCAGCGCATGGACATTCTGGACGTAAGTGCCCAGGCCTCTGCCCTCCCCAATCAGAGCAGCACTGGCGGGCCTGGTGCAGAGCCCTGGAGGGGGACGGGGCAGGTGTTTGCCAGAATCTTCGTGGAGGGACCAGAGGTCTCCCCAGCCCCTGTGGCTAGCGTGAGAGGCTGGAACCAGTGTCTGTCTGGTGCTGACACAGCACGGCCTTGGGGGCTGCGTCCTTTGTGTTAAATAACGGCTTCACTGAGTTGTGATGCACACGTTGTAAATTCAGTTTTATGATAAGCAAAATGGGGTATGTTCACATGGTGGAGCATGACTTGGTCTTAAACAGGAAGAAAATTCTGACATGATACTCAGTGAAGTAAGCCAGACTCCAAAGGACAAACAGCATATGATCTGACTTACACAGAAAATGGATGGGCGGGGAGGGGCAGGACTCCATGTTCCCCGGGGCAGAGTTCTATCTGCGGGGACAGGAAGGCTCTGGAGGTGCCAGGGACAGTGGCGCTTTTCCTGGGTCGGAGCTCTCTTCCCTTTGCCCACGAGACGGGGGTGGCGGGACTGGGTGGGCTTTGGGAGAAGTGACCAGGGCCTGGGCTCCTCAGCAGGGAGTGCCCACCTGCCCCCCACAAAGCGGAATGCGCCTGCAGGACCAGATCCGACTTGCCGCGGGGCTCCTGGAACCTCCCCACGGGGACCGCTGGGCCCTCCGCGGTCCACCTCACCTTGAATTTGGAAACTATCGTCCTTCCCCAGCAGGGTGGCGGCTGCCCTGGGTCTCCTCTCCTCTAGGTCCTGGCCCTGGCTGCCCAGGAGCTGTCCCGGCCCGGGCGCCTCAGGAGGGCCACCCAGCAGGGCTCCCCAGGGCCCGGCTCCCAGCCCAGTGTGGCCGCGGTCCCGGCCTGGCAGGCGGTGGTGGAGGAGCGCGTCAGACGCAAGGCCCGGCGGTTCTGCAAGGTCAGCCGGGCCCCGGCGTGGCCTCCCAGATGGGACTCTGCCCCGCGGGCGCGGTGCCCACTCGTGCCCCATGAAGGGAGGGAGGGTTTCGATGGTGGACGCATGCCACAGGGCATCAGGCTGAAGGGGCTGTAAGGCTAGGGGAACAGCCCCGAGGTTCAGCAGCAGCGGTTGGCCGCCGGGTGTGACACGGGGCCACGTCTGGAGACGTTCTCGTCCTCACTGGGGTGGGGGGTGCCCAGCCATCCCGAGGGTCCCCGTGTATCCACAGGGCCTTGAGTGCGCGTGTGTTTAGCAGGGCTCCGCGGGGCGGGCAGCAGCCACTGGCCCCAACGAATTCAACGCGGTGGCTGGTTACTTCTTCTTCCCCCTCCTTCAGCGTTTTGACAGGTGAGGGCATTTTCTAGAGCCTGTGGTTTGGGGAACAGGAGCCCTGGATGCTCCCAGGCTGGGGGCTGAGGTGGGCTCAGCGGGGTCAGGACCTTGGCTGTGGTTGTTCGTAGCATAAGTGACGATAGAGCGTCAGGATGTCTGTCACAGATGCTGGGCTCATGGCAGGGCTGGGCCAGAGCCTCCCTGGTGTCTCAACACAGCCGCCCCCACGTATTTCCTCGTCCCGGCTTCCTGCCCCAGGCCGGGCTTGACCAGGCGGCCCTGTAGAGTGACGGGGTGTCTGTCCACTGCCTCCCCCTTGCAGCTCTGGGCAGCACGTGGGGTGAGGAGGTGAGGAGGGCCCTCCAGGCCTGGGGTCCCTGTGTGGCCCAGGAGGTCGGGGAGCCAGGCCTGAGCGCCTGGCCGGCACCATTGCTGGGTTCTGTTGTAGGCCTGTGGTGACCTTTGACCTTTTGGGAGATGACCAGCTGGTCCTCGGGAGACTGGCCCACACCTTAGGGGCCCTGATGTATCTGGCCGTGAACACCGTGGTGAGCGCCTGACGACCCAGCCCGGGGAGGCTGCCCCGGCCTCCTGGCCCCACCGCCCTTGCCTCGGGGCGGGCGTGTTGCGCCTTGTGGGCCCTGCGGCAGGGGCCGCTGGCACCTGGACCCCTGCCCACTGGTGTGTCTGTTGCAGGTGGCCGTGCCCATGGGCAAGGCCTTGCTGGAGTTCGTGTGGGCTCTTCGTTTCCACGGGGATGCGTGAGTGGCCGCAGGGCCGAGGGCAGTCGGGTGGGGGGGGGTCTCGGATCCTGTGGGTTGTGGACAGCAGCAGGTGGGCCGGGCTGGGGTGGGCAGCACTGCACGGCAGCTCCTCGCAGCTTGGCCTCCGTCTTCTTGGCAGCTACGTGCGCCGGGGCCTGCTGTCTGCCATCTCCTCCGTCCTTCTCAGCGTGCCAGCCGAGCGGCTGCTGGCGGACCTGCCAGACGAACTTCTGGAGGCCCGGTCCTGGCTGGCAGGTGGGTACCGGGCCAGGGCCGAGGTGGTGAGGCTGAGGGGGCCGTCAGCTTGTGGGCGGCGGGACACGGTCGGTCACTTCAGGGCACCCTGCGGGGAACGTTGGAGCAGTGCTTATATCCAGGCTGGACGGGTTCGCCCTCTGTGAGGTTACTGGTGTCCTGCCGCCCCCCCGCCCAGTCATATGTTCTTTTTAAAAACTCCCCTGTGGACAGCATGACCTCTGCCTGTGGGCACTTGAGCCATGGCCCTCATCTCACGCTGTGCCCATGTGCACCTGCGGGGCCCACGTCTCAGGGGGTTCTGATGACGGCCTTTCTCTGCCCACCTGCCCCCACGAGGCCAACAGCCCCTGCAGCCCAGCCTGTTGGGTCTTTGCTGGTTTTCCAGCCGTCCTTGCGCAGCGGCTGAGGCGCCTCCCAGGCTGGGCTCCCAGCCCAGGTGATGTGCACTGAGCCCGGTGCCCTGACACTGTGCGCATTCCCTTCTGTCTTCACAGGTGTGGCGGAGCAGGACGCAGACGAGGACTGCCGGCTGCTGGCGGTGAAGGCGCTGCTGTTGCTGGAGAAGCTCCGCGACAGGCTCCTCCCACTCTCCTCTCCTTAGGCCCCGACCCCTGACCCTTGAGCCCGGGAGGCACGTCGCTGGATGAGCAGGGCGCCTGTTGCAGGCCGGAGTGCCTGCGGCTTGGCTCAGACATCCACCAGGGCCTCGGGCACCGCCCCCCACAGCCTGGCACCGGGATGTGGCCGCTGCAGCTCTGGACTCGGGCTGTAGGACGGCCGCTGGGCAGGAGCGGGGAGCCGCGGCTCAGCTTGGCCTCCGTGCAGACTGCAGACCGGGGCGTTGAGAACACCGGAATCAAGTGTGAGAGGGAACAGATGGTTCTCTCTCGGGCAGGGACCCTGGTCGCAGACGGGGAGACGCGAAAATGGGGCCAGGAAGGGGACGCGGGCCCTTGAGAAAGTAGGCTTTATTTGGAGAATTTCAGCAAATAGACAAGGGGCTTAGGGTGGGAGAGGGTGAGGCAGCCCCTGACAGCCCCTCACGGTGGGAGCTGGTGATGGAAGGTGCAGTCTGGAGGCACAGAGCCTCCGGCCACAGCCAGCGCCAGCTGCCGCCACCCTGTGTCAGGACGGGCTGTGCTGCAGGAACCAGTCAGACGTGCTGCTGGGTGACCCGTGTGGGTGCTAGGAGACACCTCAGGTTCTTAGGCTTCACACCCTGTAGTCGGGGAACGTCATGGAGAAAATAAACCTACTCCCTTGACTGCAAAAGGGCTAAAACCACCTCAGCAAGGATCAGGGACTCAGAGGGGTGGCTTTGAGACGCCCCCCGACACCCGCCAGACAGGCCAGCATGTCTTCCTGCAGCTCTGTCTATGGCACAGAGCTCGACAGGGACGTTGGGCTCCCCTCCAGGAGAGGTGGGCGGGTCCCAGAGCCTGGCCGCGGCTCAGGGCCCGCTCTCCACCTCCTCGGCCACCTCCTCGTCCGCCCCCTTGTGCTCCTCCACACTGTTGTGCCGCATGCGCTCGGGCACCGCGCAGGTCAGAGGGAGCCCCAGGCCCTGGTGCACGGCGTCCACGGTGTGCTGGCTCACGTAGTAGGACATGTTGGCGGAGGGCAGCCGCCGCCGCATCTCCTCCAGGTACTTGTAGGCCTGGGGACAGAGGGCAGCCAAGACGGTCAGCACACAGAACAAGGGCCCGGCCGCGGTCAGAGTGGGCAGCAGAGGATGGGCTCCGGGGACCTCGGGACCTTCCCAAGCGTGGCGGCGGCCGGGGCTCTGGGGCCAGTGCTGTGTGACCTTCCCTGGGAGAAGTCCTGTGGGCAGGCCGACAGCAGGGTCTTGTGTCTGGGGCCACGGCCCTGGAGGGTGGGCCCCCCGGATGCTCACGGAGAACCCTGGGAAAGGATTCACACGCTTCATTCACTGGGGGGAAGGGCAGCACAGTTTACACACACAGGGTTTGTCTGCTCTTGGGCCACAACTGTTGGCCTTCACAGTACAACTATGGAGCCGTAAGCCACAATGAGGGTCTGTCAGCCACAGTGAAAGATCCCACCTGATGCGAGGAAGGTCCTGTGTGCTGGTGCAACCAAATAAATTTTAAAAAAAGGTTTGCCTTGTGTATTTTGACCAGGCGTCCAGTCTAGCGCAGTCAGTCGGCCCTGTGGTTAGTGAGTCGTGTGTGTGTGGTCCTTGGCCAGGGGCTGGTATTTCCTATGGGGCCTCTTCTGGTTCTGCCAAGTGGGAATCGGGGGGGCATGGGGGCCACCCAGGAGCTCGGGGGGGGGGGGGCGGTCTGAGGCAGGATGGACATGCTTATACCTGCTCCACCTGTGCCCCTGCGGGGAGGGTCACACGCGAGCATGAGGGGCCTCATGTGGCTTGTGTGAGTTCACTAAGAATCAATTCAGGATGTGAACAGTTTCCAGGAACTCTGACTTTATGAGGAAATGATGGTCACATCTGAGCATTTCTTCCAGATGATACAATTCTAGAGCAGTCATCTCAGATATAATTGGGAGAGATAAACAAAAGATTGTGAGATAAGCTAGGCTATTTGGAGGGACAAGGGGTGCAGCATACAGGTGCCCAGACTCCCCGATGACGGGGAGGCAGTGTTGGGCACCAGGGCCGTCCCTCATGTCTGCTGAGTGCCGGCTGTGGGCCAGGAGCTGTGCTGGGCGCACAGGAAGCCCAGGCCAGGCTGGTGGGCGCTGTGGTGAGAGGCCTGGCCCAGCGAGGGTGGAAGTGGTTGGGCAGCTGTGGGGTTCGGGCTGGGAGCTGCTACATGGATGGGAGGGTGGGAAGCAGGAAAGGACTTCAGGGGGCGGGGGGACTCGGCAGCGCACAGGGGCAAGGCAGCAGCGTCTCCGGGAGGTCTGGGGGTCTGTCAGGGCTGTTATGACGGGAAGGGCGTCCTGGGGGAGACAGGGAGGACCCCACCCCCGAGCTGCAGGGAGGGTTTCTGTGTTCCCCTCCTGGGAGGAGACATGCAGGCCTGCCCTGTCTCTATTTACAGGTTTTTTTAAATTTGGAGTTACTGTATCCCCCAGGGGACCCCCCCTGGTGGACCAGTGGCTAAGACTCTGCCCACCCCTGGCCAGGGGACAGGGCTCCATCCCCGGTCAGGACATCGAAGATCCTGTGTGCTGCAATGAGGACCTGGTGTAGCTGAATAAGTAAATAAATAAAAGAGCTTAAAAATCAAAATCCCACAGGCTTCAAAGCTTGAGACCACAAAGAATTTGGTGAAACGCTTGCAATGTGATCTGATACTGAGGATTCAGAGGTCTAAGTATCTCTGCTGTCCAGCTTGTGTTCTCCTAAAAGGGGAACACTGTTTGGTTCACTTCAGAGCTGTCTCCACAACAGAAGGGCTCGGAGCTGGAAGTGGACGGGCCGAGAGGACACGGGTGAGCCGGCCAGGAAGTCTGAGCTCACGGTGCTGACCCCCAGGCTGGGGCCGCGGGCGGATGCTCGGCTTCCCTGGGAATCAGGGCCACGCCCCACAAGGCTGGAACGGCCCGCTGGCGACACTTCTGGAACAACTGGTCAATGCTAGGCTTGTGAGCGATTGGAAAAGGAATGGGCCTTGGGTCACTGCCTGCGGGGGCCGTGCCGGGCAGCACTCTGGGCCGTGGCAAGGTATGTGTGCAACCCATGGGGATACGACAGGAAAACATGGTGGGCAGAGCTCTGCTGTCTGAGAGGATGGAGGCTTCCGCTGGGCTCTCTTTAGGTCAGCCTCCCACCAGCAAGGACAGATTGCACAAACGCACCCGGCTCCAGAGAACAACCGTGGCAGATGTGTTGGGGCCCACGCTTAGGTGACTTCTGCTTGTAACCACTGCCTCAGGGAGGCCCGAGCCCAGGCACTGGGAGATGTGAGAGGCACGCAGAAGCCAAACCCTGTCATTGAGAGAGCCAGAACTGGAACCAGAACCGCGTCCACATGGCAGCTGGCATGCGAGGAACAGGGGAGCCCTGGAGCCCAGGTCCCGGCCTTGGCTGGACCCTGACACTGCACGCAGTGTAGACGGGCCGGAAAGAATACGGCAGAAAAAAATATTTACAGATTTCCCAAATACAGTCTCAAAAGGATCAAACTGTTTCCAAGTAACTTACTCTCATCTCAGAAGAAAGCTCAGTGATGTCTAAACACACACACACACACGGGGCTTCCGTGGTGGCTCGGTGGATGAGAACTCACGTGCCCGTGCAAGGTGAGTGGGCGCAATCCCCGGTTTGGGAAGACCCCACACGCCATGGAGCAACTAAGCCCGTGCACACAACTACTGAGCCTGTGCTGTAGCGCCCGCGTGCCCGAGAGCCCACGCTCTGCAACGAGAAGCCCGTGCACCTTAGCGAGGAGTCGCTCATGTTCGCTGCAGCTACAGAAAGCCTGGGCACAGTAACGAAGACCCAGCACAACCAAAGCTAAATAAATAATGTTAGAAAACACACACAGACACTCACACAGGGACAGACACAGACACACACACAAAGAGAGCATTGCCTGACAACCTAAAACACCTGCAGTGTCTAGAATCCAATACATAATCACCAGGCCTGCAAAGCAGCAGGAAAATACGAACCACAATAAAGAGAGAAGACTCGACCAACAGAAACACTGGGACCTAAGCCGAGCGCGGAGGACTGTGCGGTAAACACGCCGCATGCACAGGAAGGCGGAGGAGAGCGCCGCACAGTAAGGAGACCAGGAGAGCGCAGTGCGCTGCGGGGGCCGCGGGGGCGGGACCCAAAGGACAGACGTGAGTCTCCGCACGGCTGGTGCGCTTTGCTGCACAGCAGTGTGGAGCGACTACGCTCCAAAGAGAGAGGAGAGACATGCGAGATGGAGGGAGGAGAGGTGGTCCAGACCCACCAGGGGTGCAAGTGCAGACGGAGCGACAGGAGAGCTGTAACCTGCAGCAACAGCACGGCAGCTGCACCAGTGCAGACAGGAACATTCTGAGAGAGGGACCGGCTGAGCCGGGGCCAACACACACGCCAGACGGGTCCAGATGGGGGTGCAGGGGCCCCCAGATGGAGAGGACACAGTGGCGCACCAGTAAGAGGACAGGCCCCTCGTGACTCGAGGGGGGAGCATGGGCGCTCGTGGGGGAGGGGGGCCTGCAGACGGGGCGTGTGACCACCACAGTGAGACACAGTGTGCACCCCCTACATCGAGGCCACGGTGAGCCGTCCTGCACGGGGACTTTCCAGATGAGGTCCCTGTGACATCGGCCAGCAGGATTTCTCCAATGTGTAATGAACTGTGTTCACATTCGTACAACCCAGTGAACCAGTATTTTACAAATGACCACTGTGATGTGACAAAATCACGTGTGTGTACAAGATCCAAGACAGACCAACGGGTTCTAAGGTAACAAGTACGAAAAGCAAGGCCTGGTCTCTGACTGCGGAGTGTGGCAAGGAGACAGACCCATGGACACCAGGCGGGGGTGCGGTAAGGCCCGCCCCTTCTCGCCTGTATGCTGGTGTGAAGCTGGGTCTTCATCACAGGCCTCATATTTCAGTTCAAACAACCTATTTTGCCAAATAGAATGCAGAAACCAGACATTAAAGAGACT